TCATTGACATAATTTATAAAAACCTGACTTGGGGCCTGCTTGGGGGGAGCGGATCCGCTGTCCCCAATTTGGTGTCCCCTTCATGTCCCTTCTTTAAATGTTTGACAAGTGTCCTATCACTTAACCCTAATATAACAGTGTTAACTTAATAAATAAAAAACTAAAAATTGAAAAACAAAATATCAATAAATCATAACAACCACTGTTACCAAGTCCCTCCGCCCAGCAAACACCAACAGTCAACCACCCCAATCACCCCATCCCACTGGCGGCAACCTCCCTTTCTTACCCTACCTTAGACCAGCCACCCAACATAAGCCGCCCTAGGTTCACGATCTAGTAGTGGGTTAAAGATCTGCTACCAATAAAAATCAACCACCCTTTCCCGAAATCATACACAAGTGAGCAGTCCCTTTCATTGTAAACACATGCAAAAATAACAAAACCAAACCCAAAAATCAAATTGAAACAAAAAATAAAGATTGGCAGAGAAAAGAACGATATATAGAGGAGGGAGGGAGGGAGGGATGGAGAGAAAGAGACAGATACATAAACAGAGGTTGGAGTGGGTGGCTGCCAGGTTGGAGTTCTTAATGCTGATTGATGACGGGCTTTAACCTCATATCCCAAAATGCCAGTTATCTTTGCTCGTGAGGCTCCCAAGGTTAAAAAAGAGGTTGGAGTGGACTGTTGGTGTTTGCTGGGCGGAGGCATTTGGTAACAGTGGCTGCTATGATTTATTGTTATTTTGTTTTTCAATTTTTAGTTTTTTATTTTATTAAGTTAACACTGTTATATTAGGGTTAAGTGATAGGACACTTGTCAAACATTTAAAGAAGGGACATGAGGGGTACACCAAATTGGGGACAACGGATCCGCTCCCCTGCTTGGGACCGTTCCCAAAAAAAGGGCTGATTTTGTGCGTGTTTCGAAATTACCGAGCTGACTTGGGGTCTGCTTTCACGTTATTGGGTGGGCCTATAAATTAGCATGCCGAAAATTTTCAGGCCCTCTATGATTCTATGATTTGGTCTAATAATTTCATTTCTGGGTTTTTGGGCCTATAAATTAGCATGCCGAAAATTTTCAGGCCCTCTATGATTCTATGATTTGGTCTAATAATTTCATTTCTGGGTTTTTGGCCAACCTTCGTTTTTCAAGCACGCATCGTTTCTAGCCCAAAAATGACATTTTTTATTTCGGCAATTAGGAGCTCCATCACAATTGTATCAGTTTCGAATTGGAGCCATTTTGTGCTACCATATGTTTTTGTTAGGCCTTACATTTCTTTTATGCATCCCCATAACTGATAAGATCTATTAAATATCTATAAAATGCTTTTAACGCTCATCCCTTAGCGCAAACACTAAGCAAGTATCTTCCACCAAGATACCCTCCCAATTTTGAAGAAGCCCTCAATCATCCTTAGAGAGCCACGTTCCTCTATCAGAGTTGAGTTACTCCATTCCTCTCTGTATTTGAGCGCATCTCCTCTTTTGAGGGCTTTCGTGAAAAGCTGTTTGTTGGTATGCCGGATAGAAAGGTTCCGGAAAACTGTAACGCTTGCATGTTTATGCAATAGGGAAACATTTTTCAGGCCCTATTAAACACGATTACTATAATCTCTGAGACCCTAATCAACAATAGGGCCAATAAGTCAGAATAGTCATAAACGGGGCCTTTGTGCAATATTGGGCCGATCAATGGGCCAATAGACAATACATACCATACCAGAAACATGAAAAAAGATGAAATCAACAAATAGTTGAATAGTCATAATTGAAAAGAGGTTCCATAATAGAATAGTCATAAACGAAACCAGAAGCAAACAAAATACGTTCCATAATGGAATAGTCATTCCATTGAAACAACAAATAGAATTCGGTATGTTTCTCAACATACTTAAAACCTTCAAGTTGATCTTCCCCCTTATTCAAAATACTCAGGCCCTCAACCTGCAAACAACAAATAGTGTTTGTATTAGAGGAGGCTGCTCATTAACACAGATTATGCTAACAAAACAAAACGTAAAATTAAAATTTACCACCTGAAAATTCAATGGGACCAATTTCAGGACCGTGGAGCTGAACAAACTCTGCAACATCAATCTCACAGTGTGCATGCACAGCCATGCAAGCATCTAGAAATTCCGTGAACTCGCCAAATCCTGGGAGATAAAAGCGCAGGTCTCAGTGGAGGACATACCAGCGCAGGTCCCAGCAGAGGAGAAACCAGAACATAATCACACAATTGACAGGTTGTTTTTTAATTTTTTAATTTTATTGCTTCTATTAGTTGTTTTCAAATCTAGGTATCTGTTTGCTTGCTGATTGATTCTCTGATTTATTTCCGAAAGCATAATCTGGTCGAGTTAAGCAACCATGATTCAAAAGTTGGAAGGTGCCTTGTATGATTCCTTTTTTATTCTTTCATGTTTTACCTAAATGGCGTCTTGTTTTCAAATCTAGGTATATTCAAAAGTTGGAAGGTGCCTTGTACTCCTTTTTGATTCTTTCATGTTTTACCTAAATGGCGTCTATCTGTTTGCTTGCTTATGGATTCTCTGATTTATTTCTGAAAGCATAATCTGGTCGAGTGTTTTCAATATTAAGCAACCATGGTTCAAAAGTTAGAAGGTGCCTTGCATGTTTCCTTTTTGCTCCATTTATGTTTTACCTAAATGGCATCTGCTTCTGGGCGTTGTGCCAGTAGTAGTGAAGAATAGTTGCTTTTTATCATTATTTATGTTTCTGTTTTCAAATATTAAATTGTAGTGAGTGTATTCCTGATGATCTCAAAGCAGGCAAGTCGTCTAGGTTCAAAACCCTTGAAGACATCCTGGAGATCATCAGGAATACACTCACTACAATTTAATATTTGAAAACAGAAACATAAATAATGATAAAAAGCAACTATTCTTCACTACTACTGGCACAGTGCCCAGAAGCAGATGCCATTTAGGTAAAACATAAATGAAGCAAAAAGGAAACATGCAAGGCACCTTCTAACTTTTGAACCATGGTTGCTTAATATTGAAAACACTCGACCAGATTATGGTTTCAGAAATAAATCAGAGAATCCATAAGCAAGCAAACAGATAGACGCCATTTAGGTAAAACATGAAAGAATCAAAAAGGAGTACAAGGCACCTTCCAACTTTTGAATATACCTAGATTTGAAAACAAGACGCCATTTAGGTAAAACATGAAAGAATAAAAAAGGAATCATACAAGGCACCTTTCAACTTTTGAATCATGGTTGCTTAACTCGACCAGATTATGCTTTCGGAAATAAATCAGAGAATCAATCAGCAAGCAAACAGATACCTAGATTTGAAAACAACTAATAGAAGCAATAAAATGAAAAAATTAAAAAACAACCTGTCAATTGTGTGATTATGTTCTGGTTTCTCCTCCCTCCTTCGCTGAGATCTCGGTTGGGATCTCCGCCGCTGATGCTTCACTCATTGCAAAAACGTTTTTTATGTTTGGAGGCGAGAGACGATAGGCTTACAGATAGATGTGTGTTTATATAGTATCAATTAGGGTTTTCTGCAGAGTTACGAAACTACCCTTTGTCATTTACTATTCTTACTTAAATTCCGGTTCGTCAACACGCGACTCCAACTCGTTTTTACTATGCATTGACCGTCCAAATTTATCTAGCGATCACGAATGTGCCACGTCATTTAAGTTTTTTAATCCATCAGATAAAACTCCTTGCACTGTTACAGTCCACAACTCCCTGCCCTCCTCCCTCATCTTCCTCCCTCTCACCGACATCCCTTCGCATTTCTCCTCTGCCTCACCAAAATCAAATCAAATTAAGATTGAACCATGACGTACACATGCAGTATGCGACAAATATAAATCCTACATAACAAACCCTAAATTAACCTACCTATCTCTCTCTCTCTCTCTCTCTCTGCATTATCACGAAGAAAAGCAAGCAAACAATATCTATCTCGATCGGCTCCGCACGTAAGTTTTTCATTCATCAATCTGTCGAATGCTTAATTTGCTTTACTTTTATTTGTTGTTTCCGTGAATTCATCAGTTCTACTTGCTTTGTTTGTTTGATATTTTATTCGGCTTAATATACTTCTTTTCCTATTATATTCATTGTTTACGCTGCTGATGTAAATACTGGAGCTGTGATTTTTCCTATGCATTTGTTATCATCTTGACCGTCCAACTTGTAATCTTTCGAGTCTTGCTGTGGATGGCCAAAGCTTGTGCTGCTCAAATTGTGTGAGCCATTTATGCAGTAATCTTTCTGTAATTTTGAAAGCTGCTGGAGTCTTCCTTTGTGTCTGTTGTGTTTCCCTCTGCTCTGTGAAAGGCTTTGCGTTGTGTCTGTTCTGTTGTGTATACTACTTAATTAATACTTATAGTGGAAGTGGTTATTGACGTTGTCAGTTATTTCTGTCTTATTACTTTTACCTTGTATTATATTAAGAAAAGGCACATAATCTCATCATTTGCAATTTGCAATTTGCACGAGAGGGGAATGCATCATGTATTAATTTGCACAACTGACTAGGCTTTTTGCCTATTAAAGTTACCACACCAACCCAATGGCGACTTTTTTGAATTTACCAATTCCATTCCTGAATCCAATCTCGCATGCATCCCTCAGTTTCATGTCAAAAGATCATCTGAAGAAATCTACGTTACAGAGGTAAAGCATGCCTTCTTCCAGTATCATTGTTCAAACAATGATATATCCAGTTACTTTGCATTTTTTACTAGTAGGGTTCTTTCTTCTTTTCATTTTCCTTTCCACAATGTGAATTATGATCGTTTTATGAAAGATGTTATTGTATGTCCTATTAATTGCTTCTCTTGTCGAATAATGTTCTTGCATTCTCTGTTTTTCTCTACATATTTGCTTCCTTTTGGCCCGAATTTATGCAAATGTCCTTTGTTCTCATCTGATGCTAATGTCTGTCTTACATTATACTATAGAAATTTCTGTTTTGCTTTATATAGCAGCTTGTTATGTTTTTTGCTACTTTCGTTTCTTCTGTGAATTGAATAGTGATGACATAAAGTTGTCCAATAACCAGTCTGATTACTGGAGAATTTTTCCTGTATCAGATGATGTTGCAATCAAACATGGCTGACAGAATTCTATAATTCTAAAGGCAACTTCACAGGGACGGGATAAATTGACAGCTTCTTTGACTTACTTTAGTGCGCTAAATGAGACGAAGGAGGTAATGATGTGATCTTTAACTTTTTTCCTAGTTCCTGATTTGTTTTTTATGATTCTATTTTAAATTTTATTCTTATTTTGCTTAAGTTGGTTCGTCTCTGCTTGTAGATTCTCAAGGTTGCACAAGAAGTCATGGTTTGTGATAAAGTCAAGTTTAGTTTGGATAAAAGTGATGCGTCTCCAACCATTTTCCGTCCCTGGGCCCCTGCTATTTATCAGGAGGTTGGTATACTCAATTTCTTTAACTTCGACTCTATTGTTGCTTAGGGGATCTGAACACTATCAAATTATACAGGTTGTGCTAAGGCATCCAGTGACTAGAAATGGTTCTCTTCAGACATGGGTATTGTGTCTGTGTCTGCTTCTGGGGTTGTCCAGGCCAAGAAGCCTGGTAAAGCTACTATTAAAGTGCTCTCAATATTTTATCCATTCAATTATGATGAGGTACAGGGTACTGTATATGTTCTTTTGCGTCCTCATAGCATCAAGTGTCCACTGACCTTCTTACTCTTTGCTTTATGGAATCTTTTAAAGTTCTGTACGCTGCACAACCTAATATCTAATCTCAAGTTTCTAACACACACACCCTCAAATGCTATACAATGTTTACATGGATCTTTATATCTTTCTCTCTCTCATCCCTATTGTCAATACTAGTTTTTATAGTATTTAGTCTACAGCGATAGGTTGTCGTTGAAGTTTCTGTCCCAGCATCTATGGTCATACTCCTTAACTTCCCTGTTGAGACTGTTGTAGGAACACATCTTCAAGCTGCTGTTACAATGAAAGCATCAAATGGTAATGTCATATGAGATACACATATATACCAGAATCATATGGTAATTGATTTGTGTCAATGGTGGGTGGCCTTTTAAACTTTGATTTTTTTTATTTTCAGGTGCATAATTTTATAGATGTGATGCGTTCAGTTCCTTCATAAAGTGGAAAGCAGGCAGTGAGTCTTTCTTTATTGTCAATGCAACAGGGGAGTCCCCTGCTTTAGACAGTTTAGGGAATGCCGACTTCCATGCATCAAATTATGGTCTCCCATGTTCATGGGCATATATTTATGCCTCTGCTTCTGGCGGGGCTAGTCTTCATGCTACATTATCAAAAGAATATCACTACTTTTGATAGCTCTTCTGGTGGACCTATTGTCTTAAAAGCATCTTCACTTATTGTGGCATACTCACCGCTTAGCATTCGTCAGGGAGGTGATGGAAAACATTTCAGTGGATACTTTTTTGATCTGGCTCTAGCAGAAACTGATAAGCAATTGGTAAAGTTGGACAAAATATACCTTGTCCCTGGGATGCATTTGGATGATGTGCTTCTTGGTGGACCTGAAAAGTGGAACAATGGTGTTGACTTTGCTGAAACTATGGAAATCTTAAATGAACAACATGGTCACATTGACAATGGTGCTTCTGTGGAAATGTTATCTGAAAGCTATAAGAGTTTGTACAGAGTTTCATGCCAAATGCAGGGAACCTATGTAAAATTCCTCTCTTTATATTTCAGACTGTTTCTGATATAATTATCTTTATGCAAAATTCTTAATATAATATATATTTATCCTACAATGACTCAGAAAATTGTTTTCAAACGTGGTAATCTGGTTGGGGATGGCCATCCTCTGCCTGCAGTAGCAGAAGTTCCATTGTCTCCTATATGTAGCATTCCTGCCTCAATTGTTCTGATAGTGGATGAACATGGCATAAATGACTTCCTTTCTTAAAAAATGCAAGGAGTTAAATTTTACTTTCAATATATTTTAATATACACTTTTTAAGATTATGGTGAATGGCCACTCTACAGTAAATGAACGTGAAGTCAGACGGACTGCAATTCAAGCTGACTGCAGCTCAGGGAGAATTCGTGGCACCCCTGTTATTGTGGCAAATGGGCGCACCATTAGATTAGCTGCAATTGGCATTAGTATCTCTGGAGAAGCTTTTGCAAACTCATCTTCTCTTTATTTGAGGTGGGAACTTATCAGTTGTAATGAGATGGCTAATTGGGATGATGCTGATAATTTAGAGAGGTCGGAGCACGGTTGGGAGAGGTTATAGAGCTTGAAAAACTAGTCAGGCCTGGTACTTACAGAATTTCATTGTTCTTTGTCTTTATATTATCATCTCTTAGTTCTGTTATTAGATTGACAAAATTTATGTCCAGAGCTTTAACTCAAGAAGTGAGACCTCATCAACTGAATTTGTTTCTAGATGCATATGACGTTAAAGTATCAAATTTCCTTATTTTGTTATTGGGGTTTCTTTTCGGTCCCACTTCATAGTATGTAAGGCCTATATTATGTTTTCCTTACCTTGATGTTTATATGCTAAAATTGGATATGAGCTAACGTGTTTAATCCTTTGCTTCTTAGTGTACAGTCCGTGCTACTACCATTGGTTTCAGAGATAACATGGGTGGTCATAAGTCTGTTCCATTGCTTGATAGTTCAGAGAATGTTCTTGCAGATGGTATACAGGTATAATTCTTCTTTCAATTTTTTACTATATTTTCCTAAATGCATCCCGGTTCATACTTTTAATCTTCTAAATCTGTCAATCTCACGTTTAACTTTTTTAATACCGAGTAGCTAGTTTCTACACTAATGGTCAGCCCAGAGTTCAATCTGGTGTTTTTCGATCCCAATGCTAAGGTAGGCTCTGAACACATTATCATATTCTATTATTATGGCTTTTATTAAGTAACCATGTCTAGTTGCGGGAAAGATTGTACTCTTTTTTACTACTTTCCGTATTTATTTATTTTTTCTTTTGGCTTCTATTATCCGTAATATCTCCAGTTAATTATCTCTGTGGAAAAATGGGGAGAAAAAGAAAATAGACACACAAATTGCAACCCTCCCTTTTGCAACAAAGTGGTAGTAATGACTAAGGTAGAGCTGTGGAATGCCTTGGACCTGTCGTCCTGTGCATAAGTGCTTTGGTATACGAAAACCCTAATGTAACATAAATTTTCCCAGAGAAATACCGGCTAAATCACAAGAATGTCTACCTCCTTGGAAGGTTGTTTGCTCAAAGATACCTTAGAACGCTGGAAATCACAGGCTCATCCATTATGTAGCTTCGCGCAAAGATCTTCAGGTTAATTTGGGAACTTTTGGCTCTTTACATCGATTGGCCTTCTCGTCGTTCTTTGAGTTTCTTGCTAGGGCTTAAAGTTTTTTCTCTCTCTGCAGGTAAATTATAAAGCCAAAGGGTTTCAGCGAACGAGACAATTGGTAAGGTGCAGTGCATATTATATTTGTTACCATTTCTTGAATTTTCTCGTTTGTCTAAAATATTTTTTAATTCCTTAAGTTCTTTAATCCATCAGATCAAACTCCTTGCACTGCTCCCACCGATGACAGTCAACAACTCCCTTCTCTCCTCCCTCCCTCTTACCAAGCTCACTGCGAAATTTTGATTCGAATATATAATGTTCAACATAACTCGTGTGCATGAGTTGAGATGTAATAGCCTAGTAGGACTTGGTGTACTTTGTAGATGCTGATATTTCTGTACTCAAGAGTGGAAGAAGTGAAGAAGGGTAGTGTTGGTGCATAGTATTATTATTCTAAAGGATTGCATAATTTGGTCGCTAAAGAAAAAATGGTGCAAGGTCGGTCACTCACTCAGTACTTTCTAATCACCACACCCACATCCTGGCTTGACTGAACTGATCCTCCACCTCCTGAACTTCTCATAGTACCACATGTACTGTTAGAGTTTGTATAGGAGAAACACCTTTGTCCCGCATTGGAGAGAAGCACTCTCACTCTCCTTGCGTGGTTTATAAGGGTTAGCATTCAATACAAGCTTAAAATTCAACGAATCTATGATTTCTTTGCACAGTGATTAATTATTGCCAATTCCCAGATTAGTGACAATGCATATGCAAATAAAAGAACACTAAAATCTATGATTTCTTTGCACGGTGATGTTGATTGCTACCTAATTTGCATCAAAAGGATTAATATAACCATCCCATGTCACTTAGGCAGATGCAAGCATGTTCTAGCCAAGTCAAAATCAAAATCAAGAGTAGATTGAAAAACACCTTTGAGAGCTCGTAGATCAAGTGATTGAAAGTATTTATTCATGCATTTGAAGTCTTATATTCGATTTCCCCAATATCGCTGGTGTTTGAAAAAAAAACAGGAATCATAGATGTTCCAACTCTGAAGAGATGTAGCGCATTTGACATAGAAGAATAACAGCTAGGTTGTCATATATTTAAGTAAAAGCATGGACATGACATCAATATATGTACAAAGATGAATTATAAAATAAATAAAAAAACAAAAATCAGCTTTGTGCATGTTATATTTATGTCATGTGCATGCTTTTATGACAACCTACATATTATCTAAACCCACTTATGTCCGCCAATTGGTGTTCTTCCCTATCGTGCTGCTGCCTCCCGCGCCATCCTAAAACCAGAGCATCATTTCATTATGTGATAATACTTATTTCATCAAATCAAATGAATTTCAGAATTTATCTCTTTTTTTCTTCTATTGTTTATAAAGAGAATTGCCTTGACTTACCACTCATCCAATTTGACACATGCTTTCCCAAATTAAAACTCATGGTCTTATGCCAATAGGGTCTAGCCAAGTAGAAAAGAACATTGATTTGCAAACAATATGTCTCAAATTCGAACTTAGTGTGTGTGCATGTGAGAAATTCATGTTCCTTTAAGTTTATACTATCGCTTGTACTATAAGTTTAAACTATCTTTAATTTTCTATAACTAGACAGACAATGTACACGCAAGAATGCGATAGCTAATCATGGTTCCATTGCAATTATGCGTCCCTAGATTTATTGACTCAATTCATACGTAATTCACTTTACCAAAAAAGAAGAGTAAAAGAAGCATAATTGCAGCTTTAAAACAAAGAACGCCCACAAGCAACCAGTTTGTATCAACATCAAGTTGCCCTCATCTCATCTCAACTTGCAAGAAAGCCGAAGCCCGAGTTTACCAGAGTATGGGAACACATGAGCAGAGTCCAGATAAGTCCAAATCATTTTGCCCTGATTGGCAACGACCTCAAAAATAAAGTAAATTAAAAGAGAAACGTCTAATTAGCACGGAAACCTATAGCAACTGAAATATTTGACAGACGCTCGTTTTGTTAAGTGACAACTAAGATCAATTGGAAAAACAACATTATTGCTACTTCCAAGCAAAATAATCACATGCTTTGTAGTGATTGTGTGGAGCCTGGAGAGAGGCTGTCAAGATAATAAATAGAATAAAATCTCCAAAAAATATTCCATTATGTCAAAGTCTCCATTTTTTATTTATTTAAAGTTGTCAATTACTTTCGCTAATATCCAACTGCGAGCTCTGTTCCTTGTGCCATTTTTTTGTTGTGTGGTTCGCAAAAACGAAGGCACCCAAGTTGCTTTGCTTCCAAGTGAAAACACCAGACAGAGAACAAAATGGCTTAAGCATCCTATGGCACCTGATTCTTGGATAGTAACCGCTTCCGCTCCCAATCCTCCCACCTCTTTGGCAACGAAAAACCGTTTTTTAACTGCCTTCTAATCGTTTCGCAAATCACAAACGTGTGATGTTTTTTTCTTAAGAAAGATTAAATTTTTCAATCCAATTCAAAACTCCAACGTTTAAAAATTGAAACTTGAAGAAGAAAGAGACCCTCCACCTTTAGTCCGTCTTAGTCGTTTGGTGCCAGAAGAAGAGTAAATCAATGATTTTGAGTAAGTTTCTGATATGGGTTTGCGGCATATTCACTTGTCGTGTACCTGCGTTGTGTAGTTTCTGGTTTTCTGCTCTTTATGCCACTAAAAACGAGATTTTTACTGTTTGCAGGCTGAATTCGAGTTGAATATGAGGTGGGTTTGTTTCTATTGACTTTGGGAGATCTGGTTGGGCGAGGAGTCTGAGTTCTAAGAAGTAAGGAGGGAGATATGGAACCCCCAAAGGGGGTGTTGGCTTCTTTGTGGAACTTTATCTGTTTTCTACCTTACTTCATTGGCCTTCTCCTTCTTGGCAACTTTAAAGGTAAATATCAGTTTTGTCCTTTGTTTCCTTTTTCTTGTGCTAGTTTGTATTTCTGGTTAACTCAAAACTGATTATGTGGTTATATTAGGTTCTAATTTCTGATGGGAATTGATAATATTTTGGAAACAAGGATTTTATTGTTTTTACAAAACAGTTTAGGACACAATACTGTCATTCCATAATTTTATTTGTGCTTAATGTAACCTCTCCATCTGGCGTTGAACCTGTGATCCAATAAAACACTTTCATTTCCCATTTGCCGAATTATTGTTTTCTGCTGATGCCGGGCCTGGCAGTGGTTTGGTTTTCTTTTGCAGAACATTTCTATCTTTATTACCATGTCTGAAGAGATAAGATTTCATACACTATGTACAATAACAAGTCTGTGCCTCGAGTATCATTTTTGAATTTTGCTTGCTTGCTATCTTGAAATGGGTTGTTAACGTTGTAACTAGGAGTGGATTGTTTAGTTAAGACACATTGCTTGAAGGAGTATGACTTAAGGAAAACACGTCAAATCTAACATCACAGTATTATTTCAGGTATTCTGTTCTGCCCATTAATTTGCCTTATCATGACAATTGGAAACTCGGCTATCATATTGGGTCTTTGGCCGGTACACTTTCTCTGGACTTATTATTGCATGTTTAGGTACGTCCCTTGGCCTCATTGTTCTTTGTTTCATTAGTAATCTCTATCTCTCTCTCTCTCTCTCTCTCTCTCTCTCTCTCTCTCTCCGGCTACTTTGGGAGGAGGGGTTGGGAATCTCGTTCTCATGTTGTGTTAAAGCAACAAAAGAATAACCGTTCTTGTGATTCTTCTTTTTTAATTATTTATGTATTCGTTTTGTAAAATGAGCAGAGCTAAACGATATGGGCCAGCTCTGAAGATTGTTGTCTGCATATTTGTACTCCCCGTCCAATTGATCTCGTGGCCAGTCGTTGGAATTGTTGGAAGTATTGTGGGTGGAGCAGCATATGGCTTTCTTTCACCAGTAATGGAAACTTTTCAAGCTGTTGGAGAAGGGAAGACCAATCAATTGTACCACTGCTTTTACGTATGTCTTCAATTTTCAAGTTGGTTATAAATTATGTTTGCTCTTCTCCGCCCCATTATGGAGATTTTTCTTTCACAACATTTTGCAGGATGGAACTTGGAGCACCATCCAAGGGTGCTTCACTGTTGTGAGGGATTTTGGGGATGTTTGTTACCACACATACTTCTCGGTTATGGATGACCTGAGAGAACAAGGTCCTCCAGATGCAAAATATTATGAGATCCGGTATGTTAATCCAGGAAGTTAGGGATGAACTGCATGATAAGTTTCTTTTTCATTTCAGTTTCATGTGGTTTGCTTTTGTGGTCCAGCAGTTTATCTCATGATCATTCCTTGTTTCTCACCAGAAAACTTTCCAACTTTCTTGCAGGGTGCTATATCTTCCTGGGGCTGTTATAATATCAGTCCTTGGTTTCATGGTTGATATGCCGGTGATCTCATTTATTGCCCTATGCAAATCCCCATACATGCTCTTCAAGGGGTGGCATCGTTTGTTTCATGACCTTATAGGTCGGGAGGGCCCTTTCTTGGAAACAATATGTGTTCCATTTGCTGGTCTTGCTATCCTACTCTGGCCGTTGGCTGTTGTAGGGGCAGTGCTGGGATCAATGGTGGCCAGTATCTTTCTAGGTGCTTTTGCTGGAGTGGTTGTTTATCAGGTTATTCTTTGCTCAATTTTTCTCTACCGAACTTGTTTGATGTTACTTGCATGTATCTCTCTGTGTATATTCAGATATTTTTGGTTAAGTCCTTGTCATGTAGATCGTAAGTATTAAGAGATTGTATGACCTTTGGGTTACAGGAGTCCTCATTTTGGTTGGGGCTATGCTATATCATTTCATCCTTGTCCATATATGATGAATACAGCAACGATATCCTTGACATGCCAGAAGGATCCTGCTTTCCAAGGTTATAGTCAAGACTCTAAAGTCTAAGGTTTTGATATGGGGTTCGTGCACTTTGACATTATTTAATTGATTTATTGTAATGACAGGCCAAACTACCGAAAGAAGGCCAAATTGGTCCGAACAAATTCTCGTGGACCCTCTTTCTCAGGCCCGGCTCCTTCCGAAGTGTTCCCTCCCGCTCGGTTTCATTCACTAATCCTATCTTAGAGTTGAAGCCCCTTGAGGTATGGTGCATGTGTTATGTGTTATGTTTAGCCTTAATGGCTGCTTCGTACTGGAATCAAGTTTGCATATTATCTGTATGTGTTGGATGATGCATGGACTAAAGTGTACAATTTTGACTGCCTAGAACACATCCTATTTAGTTTATGGTTTAGGTGCTGATGAACAACTTTCATGGCTCGTGTAGCTAATGGATAGCTTATTTAAGGAGTGTAAACATCACGGGGAAATCATGGTTTCTGAAGGAATAATAACACTTCAAGACATTGAAGATGCCAAGTCCAGTAAAGGTAGCAGAGTTATAAGCATTGGCTTACCAGCTTATTGTCTTCTTCAAGCACTTCTGCGATCTGCAAAAGCCAATTCAGTGGGCATATTGTTAAGTAAGTCAAATTTTTTTTCCCCCTCAACACTCTTACCAGTTAACTTGTGTAATTTTGTTTTATAGAATTCTATACTGAGATAACTAGCAAAAATAGACCAAACAAACACTCTCTTTGATTGGTTTCTCCAAACTTCTGTTGTTTTACAAAGTTTCATTTAATACTCTCACAACTGATGACTAAGTTTGTACCTGATTGATGTAGGTGACAATGTTACTGAGTTGACTAGTTCAAACAGACCAAAAGAAACATTCTTTGATTGGTTTTTCAATCCGTTGTTGATCATCAAGGACCAGATAAAAGCAGAAAACCTTTCTGAAGCAGAAGAGGCCTACCTTTGCATGTTAGTTCTGTTGAATGGTGATCCTTTGAGGTCGAAAAACTCAAACATTGTCTCACCACCTGAATCTGAGCGTAAACAGGCTGAACTTGATGCATTTGCTCGAAGGTAGTCATGCAATTTTGCTTATATTACAGGATCTTCCAATTTTTTTTCCCCTTTCCCTCTTTTCTCTGGTTCTCTATTTTGTGATTTATCCTATTTCTCATGTCATGTAGGCTCCAAGGTATCACTAAGTCTATCTCAAGGTACCCAACTTTTAGGCGTCGATTTGAGAATCTTGTGAATGCCATATCTGATGATCTTGCCCAGAATGATGGTAGCACCAAACCAACCGATGGACCAAAAACAATTTCAAGATCAAAGAGTGCCTTTGCCCGATTGTTCAGCCAGAAATCTTTTAGTTTTACAAACAAAACAAGCAATCATGGGTATGATTCAGAATCACAAACAGTCGTAAATGATGTGACAATCACATAATGAAATATGTTAAAAGTAGCCTTTGTTTTCTCTCTTTTTTTTTCTTCTTTTGGGTTTTTTTAGAGATTATTTTTGTTCATTCTGCAAAGGGTAGTTAACCTAGAAGAATGTATTTTTCGATATACTGTATACAAATATGATTGCAATTGCAAAGAGATGAATGTTGTTGGTGGATCTGATATGATACCTTACAATTGCTTTGACTCCTAACCTCTACAAACGCTCTCATCCGTGCTTTGCTTGTCATATCAAGGCTTCTATTCTATATATAAACTTATGCAGCTTAATTTTCTCTCCGTCAAAATTTCATTTATCACCTGCTGGTTTTGGATCTGACACTGAACCAACAACACAGTAAATGCTCCAGAATCACTAAACTCAACAAATACAGAACTTGAAGCAGGGTTACCACAGTGGTTGTTCCTCCCCCCGCCCTCTTCTTCCCCCCTGCTGGGCACCCAGGACCGAAATCTTGGTTTCTTTTCTCCCAATGTAACCAAAAAAAGAAGTAGTAAGCTATCCGGGATTAAGAACCTTTGATTTTCACACCATGTTCAAGTTTATTCAAGTCACGACCCATGATCCACCATAATTCTGAACGTGCAAACTTAAAAGTTAGCTCACCAAAAGATAAAAAGATAAAAGAAATTCCAATTAGTAATTGATCAAGTCAAAGCAAGCCCCAGCTTCTCAGGTCACGTAACCTCCCACTACCTATGTTAGTGTAGCAACTAACTCTCCCACAGCTACTATATTAACCCCATTCCCACCTCAGACTATCTCACATCGCCTGCAGTTAGTTGTTGCACTCTGATATTCATCGTCTCCATCGTCTCCTTGAGACTACCGAGAGCTTTTGTGTTGAAAAAGCTGCCCAATATGGCTAACTGCAACATGAACTGTGTCAGAGCAACCCTGTTTTTGTTGACCATTTTCATCTGTTTTGGCCATTTCTCAGTCTCTGCCTTTGAGTTCCAAGTAGGTGGAACCAAAGATTGGGTTGTGCCTCCTACTAATGACAGCAAAATCTACAACGACTGGGCCTCCGGAAACCGGTTCCTAGTAGGCGACACCATCCGTACGTAGACGCATAAACACATGCCATTTTCATGCTATTTTTCTGTTTCATAGTTTTATAAGTATGTGGTTTGGTGCAGGTTTTAAGTACAAGAAGGACTCTGTTATGGAGGTGACAGAGGAAGAGTTCAAGAAATGCAATTCAACTCGCCCCAACTTCTTCTCCAACACTGGAAATACAGTTTACCTGTTAGACCACGCCGGCTCTTTCTATTTCATCAGTGGAGCTTCTGGGCACTGCCAGAGAGGACAGCGCATGATCGTTAAGGTGATGTCATTGGAGGAATCTCCTTCCAGCGACCGCAGATCTTCTGGCTCTCGCGCTGCGGTTTTCTCAGTCTTTGTTCAGTTTGTTTTGTCCTATGTTGCTTGTCTTCTCTTCTAGTTGACATGTTTCATTCGTTTGAGTAATGTTAATTAGGATGTTGATTGTTGATGTTTAATTCGATTTGGTCGTATTGTTGCCGTGTTTAGATATTCTAGTTAGTTTCTAGATTCTTTGTTTATGTAGTAGCAGGTACCAACAAACGATGTTTAAGCTCTAGTTAATTTGGTTCGTACATTAATCTTCTTCTTGTTCTGCATTGATCGCTCGCTTCTATTTCATGACAGAAATTTGATGGTTTTGCATCTTAGATTCAAGCAGAGGAAATTTAAGTGTAAAAACAAAAAGTACGAACAGCTATCGATGGATCTTGCCATGCTAGTAAAATCCAAATTGGCCATCTTTGCTAGAAAGAAACTCTACGCCTTGAACTCATATATATCATTCAAATCTTTCAAAATACATATGTACATACAAAAATGGTGAAAACATGTTGTCATGTTGAAATTTTTTAGTTTTCCTAAAATTGAGATAATGTTTTATACTATACAAAAATATGGGGACATTGAATTAAGGGGGTTTAACAAGGAACAATCACAGAAAGAGACAGAGAGGGAAGGAAAGAAACCACAAATTCCTTGGTCCTTTGCCATCAGACTAAGTTGCAGTGCACGCATGGATGGATTAATAAGTTGTGATGATATGCCACAATGCTCCAATTACAACATCTCAGATTCTCACTCCACCAAAGCCAGGAGAGCTTCACATGCAGCAAAACCACTTTTTCTGCAGTCAAATTAATCGATGTAAGTATAATTCCCGAGAGTTACGCGAAGAACGAATAGAATGAATGGATCAAAGTGAGGGTAATTTGGTTGAAATGAATGAATGTTGTTACCTCTGGGGGATATTGAGAGTTGGGTTCTGGTTTAGATGAAGGTGTTCCAGTCCCAGGAGCCCCATTGGACATCTTCTGGTCTCTAGCTTTGGTAAATATCACAGTAAAACCTTCAGCTGATGCAGGGTTATTCACATCCCACTCTCCAAATTTGGGCAACGGTCGTCCAATATCCTGCTGCACATCCATTCATTCATTTTTAACCTCAATCTCAATCTGAAACCCTCTTCATTTTAACCATTCCAAAACCATTGACAAAAGTTGCTATATGACATAAACTTCAATTCAACAATGACACATTTTTTGTTGCAGCTGAAATAACGATACAAGAATCAATTATATCTAAACCACCCTACGCAATCAACTTCGAAACAAATGGTTTCAATCAATCTATTTTTCGGCGTAAAAGCATCACAAAGAAACGAGCAAGATGGCCAGAGATAACAACAACAATTAGAATCCGAATTATATATGTACAATGCTATATTCAATGCAGATACATAAGATTATGGATTCTGGAAATTAAGAAAAAAGAACATACCGATGCCATTCGCAGGCAATACGCAGCAGCGAAATGTTAGGATTCAGAGGAAGAAGATAAGAAAGATTGAATGACCAGAGAAGAAAACTGAGGCGTGAGGGTATTAAGGAAGCCTAAAGCCTACACCCATGCAAATGGCTGGCATAAATCGTCACCCCAAGCAGTTAGTTAGTAGTTATCACGTAGTTGTTGTACCCCAACTGTCCCTCCTTTGCTTTGTCACAAATTCTTAACAATAATCTCAATGACGCTTCTAATTAATTCCAATTATCGCTTCCTAACTATGTTTAGCCACCTCCCACCCCCTCTTCAAACAAACTTATCCACATTACCATAATGTACACCATATCAAATTTGTTTGGTGACTCGGCGTGTATTGGTCTATGTAAATTAAATTCGATTATTGTTGGATGTATTATATTGGGCAATAATTCAACATATTATTGACTTAAAAGTTTATTCCAAAAAACAAAATGTGATAATATGTAATTCAAATAATTAAGAGCATTTACCTTTATACCAAAGTCCTAAATACGATTTCACAACCGCCAATATCGCTTGTATGAAAAAAAAAGAAAAAAAAAGACTATAAATTGAATCGGGCAGTACCAGTCATCAAATGGATTTGTACCCTCAAGGTTCGGCGTAAAGAATGGCCCACGTAACAAGCATTTGGGGCTTAGAGTAGCCCATCAAAGTTGCCACGTGGCAATCATCCAATTGTGGTTCCATGGTGAACACGCGCCTAGAAACTCAGAAAGCAGATATTAAAATCGAACGACTGCTGCATAAGAAAACCACGCTAACTCCTAAAACAAACGGCTCCTGATCGGACATGTCACCACAGAAAGACGGAATACACAGCCAATCACTACACGGAATTGAACTAATCCCTCCATTTAAATTTACGAACGTACCCTCAACTGTTCTAAGCCTTCCCGCTTTATAACCCATTTTGGCATTTCCGTCATTTTCTCATACCCCTGAGAGTCTGAGACCCAAAGCCCCTCCCCTCTCCCTCTTTCTCTCTCTCCCCATTTCTCTGTCTGTGTATTCCTGTAGAAGAACACTGGAAGGTTAGAGAGTCCAGAAAGGCAACAATGGCGGGGTTGATACGGAGGGCTATAGCTGCAGGTGTTTCATCTGCATCGAGATCGACAGCGGCGTCGTTTCGGTATGTGGTGGTGCGGGGCATGGCGTCGGAGGTCCAGGCCCAGCAAGTGGACCTCAAGGCCCAAGACAAGACGAGCTTGAAAACGTTCTCAATCTACCGGTGGAACCCAGAAAACCCGAAGAAGCCGGAGCTCTGTGAGTACGAGATCGACCTCAAGGAGTGTGGGCCCATGGTGCTCGACGCCCTCATTAAGATCAAGAACGAGATGGACCCCACCCTCACCTTCCGTCGATCTTGCCGCGAAGGGATCTGCGGCTCCTGCGCCATGAACATCGACGGCTGCAACGGGCTCGCTTGCTTGACGAAGATAGCGCCGTCGTCTTCCGTCGGAGCGACGACGATAACGCCGTTGCCGCACATGTTTGTGATAAAGGACCTGGTGGTGGACATGACCAACTTCTACAATCAGTACAAGAGCATAGAGCCGTGGCTGAAGAGGAAGAGCCCGCCTACTGAGCCCGGGAAAGAGATTCGCCAGAGCAAGAAGGATAGGGCTAAGCTGGATGGGATGTACGAGTGCATATTGTGTGCCTGCTGTAGCACATCCTGCCCCAGCTACTGGTGGAACCCGGAGTCTTATTTGGGCCCCGCCGCCTTGCTCCACGCCAATCGGTAATTCATTTCTCTCTCTCAATCCCCAATTTTTTTAGGGATATTGATTGGTGATTGATATATTTGCATGATCATCTCTTTGATTTATATCACTGCACCATGTTCGATGTAGGAAGTATCCTTTTTGCTTTCTGTGATTATGAAAGTTTTGCCCTTTTTCATATTTGTTGTAATCTGATGTTGCTTGATATCTTTCTTCAAGGATGACTTGCTAGATTAGGTTAATGTTTGTATATGTGTAATGTGAAAGATTGATGGTAAATTTGTTGTTTGGGTACAAAAAGTTTTGTCTATCTTTTTCATTGGGAAGTTTTATTGTGATTGTACTAAAAAAAGAAAACAGAAAAAATAGTACTTTTTCTTGAAAAATGAAGTGTTTCTTTTTCAATGTGATTTTCATGCCATGTTTTGCGCTGCTGCTATCAAATGTCAGTGTTCTGTCTTGCGTGTTGAATGATGAATGACTGAGATTCTATAACAGTCGTTTCAGTTGTGGCTCTCTTTAGCATTTACCTGATTAGTTATGCACTGAGAGTAGTGATTGAATAAGTTGCTTTAGTTCTTATTCTCTTGTCTTTTTAAAGAGTTTTGAGGAGCTAGGTTGATAGAAACTAACTCGAAGCTGCAGTGTCTGTGAGCTCACGACCTAGGTTGTAGTGCTTAATGAGATTGTTCTCGAAGGCGATGATGAGGGTGCGCGTTGCCATCTCCAAAAGGCTTTAATTTGATGAGAAAATTGCTATATAAAGTAGTAAAAGAGAAATAATACTATGAGACAATTGCTTAATCCATATCATATTTTGGCTTATTAGCTTTTACACTGCAGTGCTTAATCTCATGTTGTTTGGATAAGATGCCTATCAAACAATGTTTGTTCCTTGACTACCTATCCCAAAATCTGTATCTTGCCATAGAGTTGGGATTTCTCCTCTGCATATAGTATTTGTTTCTAGTTCTACATTATCATTGGTAAAGGTAAACACTAGATCCTGAATCATTCTTGTGGTGTTATGCAGGTGGATAAGTGATAGTCGTGACGAATATACAAAGGAGCGACTGGATGCGATAAATGATGAGTTCAAGCTCTATCGCTGCCATACCATATTGAACTGCGCTCGTGCCTGCCCAAAGGGTTTGAACCCTGGAAAGCAGATCACACATATCAAGCAGCTCCAGTTAGGAGTTGGTGCTTGAGTGTCTTGAGTTTAACAAGCATCATAGTGTGTGCATTTGACCAGTTTTTCTGGGAATTTTTTTAAATTCCATCAATTATGTGGTTTGATCAAATAATTTGTGAACTGATTGTATCTTTTACATCCCTTTTATAAATTGGGAAGGAAGGCTGTTGCTTTTGTTTATAAATAAGTATTTATAGAACTTAGTCCCATATATAGGTTTCGGCTGTGAGACTCTGATTATCGCCTTCTGCTTCTGCGTGTAGAAGCTTTTCGTTGATCCAAAAATCTGAAATGCTGCTACTCTGGCATATCAGAAAACACCATATGAAGTTCAGCTGTTGCATCACATGAAGTTTCTTCATGATACCTGCAACTTTCATTATATCAACCTTTTAATTTTTCTTCTTACCTAATAAGGAACCAGAAATGGAAAAATAAGTCATAGCCATTTCTTTTATAATTTTCGTACGATTCAAAGAAGTTGTGATTGTTCTGTAGCCCGTAGAATAGATATCCATCAGAGATTAAATCATTGTATTCACTCACACATTTATAGGATGATCCATACATTTATGTTTGAATAGTAGAGATTTTCATAGTGTGACTCATATCTCAGAAGGGGTTAGGTTTTCTTCTCTCCTAAACTTCAACAGCTAAGAAGCCTATAAATAGACACGGTTGCTAGTGAGAAAACTTCACCTACTGGGAAGCTAATCTTTATATCAGTCGTATATCTTCCCATATATCATAACCGACGTAATGGTGAAGTTGCTGCTGCTGGCTGGCTATTTGGTTTTTATGATCGTTATACAAGTGAGGACCGAGCTTGTTCAAGCGAGCACTCGCCTTCCTTTTCTCATCAACTCTCAAGACCTCGAGCCATATGAATATGTTACTATAACAGGTAATCTAATCAAACTCCCTCATCTGGTCCATTTGGGTTTTCATTTTCACTTGAACTGGATTCTGTCTCCAACTTGGGAGAGAAACTTACCTGCCAGGAGTTGCGTACACCCTCTCCATGTCGTAATGAAACAGACTTAAGTGTCACGAGAGAAACAGAGGCGTATGCAATCTGTTACATAACTGATGGATATATGCATCATGGGATTTACATGCTCAAGTAATTTTTATTTAGCATCATTTTTCTGCAGGATGCAACGATGACTGCGACACAGCCTGTTGCAATTGCGATATCAGCAAACAGCCTCCATTATGCGTGCTATGTTGTAGAGAAGACCCTTGACTTAATGAAATCGTGAGATCTAGGATTTCAAAGTAAACATGACGCCAGGTAGAAGTTATCTTGCAGAGCCATCATGACGCCATTGGCAACTCAAGTATCGTCTTCCTCGTATAACAAATGCCACTTCCCCTGCTGCAATTTTTAAGTGAACGTTTCCAAATTTCAACTTTCAGCTGCTTGTATATCATTTTCAGTTTTTCCCATACCTACGTAAATGAATTATAATTCCATATCCTGGCATTCGTTTGCATTTCTTTCCCACAGTTTATGAGGCATTAAAAATAAACAATTTACTGTATTTTCAAGGTATTCTACTTCCATGAAATCAACAAAAACGAGTTTGGAGGGGTTTGTGGGAAAGGGCAGGCCATAGAAGTAACTAGCTCTACCACTCCCTATTGTACAAGAGTGAAAAACTTTATTGCCACTTGCATTCCAATGCCAATTATTATAACATTAATTTAACCTCACCTCATCGATCACAACACAAGCTCACAAAATTTTGCGCAGCACAAGGGAGAGTTCTACATCTCTATAACGGCGTGAACATTTTAAAAAGTAAGATAATGGAAAAAATATGTATGGAGATTAAATCCTTCTTGAAAGACCTAAGAATACAGCAGCTGATGCGATCTGTACCTTGAGATCAGCTAAATCTACATCATGACCGCCTTCAACCAAACCCCACCTGTCCACCTGCAAAAATAAGATAAGGCTTTTAAAACTTTGCAAGAGCTTGTTAAGCGAGTGATCCATAATCCATTATCTCCAGACAATTTTGTTGTCGAAGGAGAGTATGTATTTGAATATTTGTTTGCATGTTGTTCAGTATATCAATAAGAACCTGTAAATCTTCTTCAAGCCTAATCAACTCAATTGCTTCTTCAGTCTGTAACTTCCCCCGATGAATTCCAATAGCAATTATCAGAGAGTGTGCTGATGATGCAATGGCATCAATTGCTGCTAATTCACAGTCATCTGTTTGCTTTAGCACGGTTTCTATAGCCTTTGTAAGACCATCCTCCTGCTTCCCACCAAAAAAGCTGGAGTACACAACAGGCTTGAAGCCAAACTCTGACTTCACCCAATCAAGTAAAGGATCAATTTTCTCCACTTGCCGTTCTACAAAAAATTTGAGGCACTATGAATTAGCAATAAATATACGTTGTTGAAATTCATATTAATTTAAAGGAAAAAACACCAATTTTGGAGCTTGGAACTGTAAAGGAATAGGCAAAGCAATGCCACAAAAGGTTCCTTGGGCTTTACATAATGCCAACCATCAAAGCCTTCCTTACTGACAATTGAATATCATATATAAGACTCAGAGAGCAAGAATGAACGAACTACACTTCTTCTTGCTTTGTGTGCAGGAATGTAGAAGAAGTGATACTTATTGTGCATAATGATACTTCAGTATTCCTCAAATAGAATAAATAAAAGACACACACATGACGACGCATGTGAAATAACTCAAAACTGAAATAATCAGACAAATTCAGAAACAACATACCATGGACAACGCTTGTGAGATCATTGTCGTCTGGTGCGCGACAGAAGACTAAATCTTGATTAAATTTCTGCATCAAATAATCTATAACTTTTGGCCGTGTGAGAGGAACTCTTTCCAGTGCTGTACAAGCCAGTCTCATGAGAGGCATCGTGAAGGGCCTAATCCCATCTGTTTGCTAAAAATCATTAAAGTTTCATAAGACAACCACCAAACATCTTAACACAAGTCAAGAAAAACACACAACCTCGAAGTTTTTTCTTTTTTACTAGCATTAGTTCGAGTAGCTTGCACAAAAAAGCTTAATGTAAACTAGAGAACAGAGCTCCAGGAATAAAGGGCAGAAGTTCAATTTTGAAAGGAACCCACTTGTGTAACTTTCAACTTTCAAAAAACCAATTTGAACTGAGCTATTACTAATGCAAAATATCCAAATTAGATAGGAATATAGAAACACAATCAAGGAGAAGAAAAAAAATCAATTTAGAGAAACCCATTTGAGCTAAGTTACTACTAAACTTAAAGGCCCAATTCAAGTAAACAATTTCCAAGCTTGGGTGAAACTTATTTGAGCTAATAAGCTTCTAAAAGTTGAAAATAGGGCATAAAGGCAGCAAACCTGGTATTCCCACTCAGCAGCAATGGCCTTAGCTAGAGCTAAAGTAGGAAGCTTGAGGGGCCTTTTGGAAGGCGTTTTGAGTGTCCGATAATCAAGCATTACAGTCCATCCATTCCCATCATCAGCCTTCCTCGTCGTCACTTGGTTGTAAAACCTCTTTCCCACAATTGACCCCGTCATGAACGACATTGGCATCGTCACCGACGACGACGCCGTTTCGTGCTTGGAACTCGAACTCGACGGCTTAATGTGTATGCTGTCATCTTGATTGTTTCTATTGTTCTTGTTTTCTTGGCCATCGGACGAGAAGCTAAAGGACGACGATGGACCGTCGGAATGGGGCTGCTCAACGGCGGCGATGGAGCTGAAGTGGCGAGATCGAGAAGAGAGCGCTGTGATTAGTTTGGAGTTTCCGATTGATTTTAAGGTTCTGTTGATCAGTAAATTGGCCATTGAATAAATCGATTGGAATTAGAGTTCTCCAATTTCAATTGGAGCTGGGTGGAAATGGCTTCGTAATGTGAGTTTTCAGTAGGGTTTTGCTGTTGCGGGCAAAGGGAGAAGAGGAACTGGACTACATGAGATTCTCGGCTTAAAGTTCCTTAATTTAAGATCAGATTGGGCCTTGGGCCATCTCAGATGGTGAAACTGGTCTGGGATAGACAAGTCATTGGCGCCTAATTGGGTGCTCGGAGAAATTCTTTTTCTCATTTTGGTTTTGTAAACGACAAAAAAAGTTGACACCGAGATTATGTGTTCAAATTTCGTCTCTTCCAATATGGTTTGTGTCAAAAAAGAAAAAAGGACCAAAAGGGTTGCTAATTATTAATTGTAAATGTTGTATCATATCATTGAATCAAAAAGTTGTGGCATTGGTTATAACTCAAAGCGAAGAAAAAAAATTTTTTGAACTTCACATATATTTAGTAATAATATACACATGTGGTTAATCTTAGCTGCACACAGCCTCAACTGAGAACTTCTTTGCACTTCCGGGACAAGGATCTCCTCCAAAATATGCTGGAGCAACAGGTATTGTGCAAAATTGTTTTCCAATGCATATCCTTCTAGGAAAATCATACGATTTGTGGGCATGGCAACTCCCTTCCTTGAAGCTTCCACATGTCCCTTGCGGCCACCCATAGCTAGCAAATTTAATATCAGAAATGATCTGCCCAGGTTGACACCTTAAGTGGGCTTTTGCTTTGATGAGTTTGGCAGAAGCTAGCTTCTGAGAGCTTTGCAGTGTTGGCTGCCCTTCAAATATATCAGCACAAACACTTGATGTTGCTCTTTGCGCCAAAGCAATCTTTGTTGGCTCACCACCCCATTCTTCAAAGGCAACCAACAGATTCCCACTCGGATTCAACCATCCCCTTGGAACATGGTACCTGAGAATAATACATAAGCTCATTAGCTCTGCAATGATTTTTGTATTTGACAAAGTATAGAAGTATAAAAATGAAGAAGATGAAGAATGAACTTTTGCTCACCATCTCTGAGAGGGCTCTCCGCATTTGGTTAGGCATTTGTTTTCATTGTAAGTTCCGGCATAATAACAATCGTGACAAGCACCATGTGCTGTATATGCAGGCCAATGGCGTCCAATGCTCCGTCCATTTATCCATATTTGACCTTTTCCCATGCTTACCATATCTAAAGCTAATGGATCATTACCTGATGGCGCATCAAAAGTAGCCTGAAAATATCACAGCATAAATGAACATCTTTGTCTTGGATGAAAGAAGAACGATGGACATACATACAACAATAAGATTATAAATGGTAGCTAGTGAAAAAATACTAACCTTGTACCATGTAAGGGGTGGTTTTTTAGCCAGATATGGTTTCTGTACCCATTCCACAGAAGAACTCCCATTGACAGTATGGAGGCTTAATGCTTCACCTTTCAGACCAACCTTGTAGGTCCATTTCCGTTGTGACAAGTCCCATGTCCCCGAATTCAGACCTTGCAATGTGACTGGGCCTAGAACTCCAACATTCCATGTCTCAAAATGAAGACCAATATTCTGATTTTTGTCAAACCACAAGAAGAAAAGAAGCGAACTTGTCAATTTCCAAACTTCCAAAAAAAAAAAAAAAAAAAAAAAAAAAAAAAAAAATCATGGTTACCATTAGAGGATGAGGGAACTTACCGGCAGACCCAATGAAACGCTTAGCAAAGCAAGTTTGTTGATGCCAGATCTCAGCTTCACGTTGTCACTAAATCTTAGTCTACGCTTCTCCAAACTCCCATAAGCTGTTCCTGATAGCTGACCGTTGATGAAAACATGCAGGGCATGACCTGCTGAACCGATGGTGAGAAGAGGTGACTGTCCACTCTCTAGAAATCCTTCATCAGGGCTTACTGTGATACTGGTAACAGAATTTAAGTTACCAAGTTAGAAAGAAAAGAAAAAACAATACAGAAAGTATATATACAAAAAATGATTGGTTTAATATATACTTACTCTGTCATGTACCACAAGTAGTCTGTAGAATCCCAAGTCATATTTATTTGGTCCCTCAATCCGTCCAATGTAAATGTATCAGGATCATCAGAAGAGGCGGTTTCTTCGGTGAACGATTGCCAAGAAAGTGCATTATTTACTGGTGTCATCTTCATTTGGGAGCTTTGGGCACCAAGCTGTAAATAGAACACAATCCTAAGTGAATATCCAAGTAGAAATGTTTGATGGAGAAAAAGACAAGGAATAAATTAAATGAAAAATATCCAGCATAGGCAACAGTCTTCTCCTCACCCTCGCAGTGTTGTAAACTGCAGTTTTGCAGTCAGGGAGAATGCTGATGGACCAAGGTGGCAGGTCATATTGCCCATCTCCAAACCTCACTTCCACAGAGTAATTTGTGTCATAATTTGCAAGGAATGCAGCACACTGATAACTTGATTTGAATACATGAGCCTACAAGGATTAAATCATAACAGTGACAATCATTATAAAAATCCAAAAAATAATAAATTAAGTTTATGATTTAGTTATGAAGTTCTAGCTTACCTCTTGGTGTCTTCCAAGTGATATGACTGAAGGATCAGCAGAAACTAAAGCTGACTCAGATAACTTGATGGCTCTATGCAGATCTCTCAAATGTCCCCACTTTGGTTCCCTAGGTAGGCCTGGCATAGCAAAGGCAAAACCCATTAGATGAGGAAAACTTTATAAAAACCTAGTGTTAGCTAATCCTATTTGCATACCAAATTCATCCAAAGGGGAGTCATAGTCATAGCTGGTGGCAATGAAGGGACCTCCAGCTGTTCGGCCAAAATTCGTTCCTCCGTGGTACTGAAATACAAAATAGGAGAAGAAGAGACAACATAAATTAGAAAATATGCTCTTGCTGATTAAAACATCAGTCAGATACAATCAACTTTGATATTCAAGAAGAAAAAGAAGAAGAACTAACCATATAATAGTTCACAAAAGAACCGCCATTTTGTATGAACCTTGCAACGGAAAATGCCAAGTCTTCTGCAGGTCTAGTAGGAACTGCCCCACCAAATTCTGTATACCTGTAAATTATAAGCGGCGAGGCAGCAGCCTTAGCAAAGGATTTGAAAGACAATACAAGAAAGTAACTATACAATACACTTTTGGCTTGTAAAGTTAACAACAGTGTGAATTACCAGCCAGTCCAGACTTCTGTCCACATTTTGGGTTTATATTTCCTGGTTGGAGTGAAATTTTGGCAGTAGAAACCGTTGCAGGTATCAATCTGTCACATAATAAATCATAAGGTCTCAGAGATAAAGATTGAAATATATTGAAGCTTTCTTTTTGTCACAATTATTATCAAACAAGAAGAAGACACGCACATCATGTTTAAGGAAAACATTCAGTAGAAAGAGAAGAAAAGATAGAAAGATAAAAGGGAGAGTAGCTTACTATTGGATCTGGGGCATCCTCTTGCTTGCACATAATCCATGGAACTCCAATATTAAGATTCACAGCCATCTGAGCAGCCCAATTGGTATATGCTTTCCCAGGAGCACCAATTTCCCACTCTACTGGTCCATATTCGTTTTCTATCTGTCAAATTTTAAATTAAAGAAAAAGTAATATTAGCATTGACTGACCAATTTTACTCTGCAAAACAAACAGAAGCAAGAAAACTAAAAAAGCACAGCCCAAATTTTTTAGAGAATTAAGACTTGAACTAATTGTCACACCTGGGACAGAATTATGGGACCTCCCTGAGATTGAAACAGGCTTTCTGCCTTCATCATACCAACAATCTTCTCTGTGAATGTTTGCATTGCCGCCTTCATAAAAATCAATTACAATGAAAGTGATGAATTAGAAAACTTAATAATGTAAAATTGGTGTGTTATAGGTAACAGAAAAGTCCTAGTGACCAACCTTGAAAGGCTCATTGTCTGTTCTAAAAGCAATTCCGGGAACAAACTTCAGCCAAACAGGGAATCCCCTGTATCAGAAACAGAGCAAAAACAGAGTAATGGGTAAGGCCATATTTACACAAGAACAAAAGCAAAACGAAAGTTTTCTTAAATTCAGTCTTTGCAAAACCTATACAACATTTGTTTTCAAATATTATTACCCGAAGTTCCATTCAGCACAGACATAAGGGCCAATCCGGAGGTTAACATATAGGCCTGCTTGGTGTACCAGCTTGATGAACTTAACCAAATCATATCTGTCCTCAAAGTAATACTGAAAATTTCAAAGACAAATTAGACTGTCAATGAGTATATTTTTATTTGCATGAGAAAAAAAAAAACAAGAAGGAAAATTGAATTTTATTTGCATTACTTGTCCTGGAGAAGGTTCATGCCCGTTCCAAAACACATAGGTCTGTATAACATCCAGGCCTCCTTCTTTGGCCTTCTGTATTAAATCTGGCCACATCTGTAACCACACACAACATAAAAAAAATTGAGCTAAGAAAATTCGTAGAAAAAGAAAAAGAAAACTATGAACCACATTGGCATTATTAGTAAGTACCTCAGGTGTGCTTCTGGGATAGTGAATGGAACCCGAAATAAGAATCCTTTTTCGGCCGTTAATTATTATGGATCTGTGGTCATAGCTCACAGAGGCTGTGCATGCAGAAGCCAGCCATGAAAACAAGAACAACAGCAGCAGCATGTTGGCTCTCAACATGCTCCACATTGTTTGAGTTTCAAGATCTCTGTGTTCTCAAACGTGCAAAGCAATGTGCTTATGTTTGTTTTCTTCTTTTATTTAGTATCTGGTAGCTCCTTAGACGAGGGTTTAAAACTTGGAGTGATAATATGGTAGTATAGTTACAATTCTAAGCTAGGCTTTATTTAGCCAGCACATCCTAATTCGGCTAGGAAAAAAAACCACAACTCCTAAATTACCAAAAGAAATCAAATATTTAATCCCTATTCAGAAAAGGAAAAGCAAAGTGCACAAAATCGGGAAACTTTCCAAATAAAATTATATGCAGTTTTGTTTTGAGGCCGGAAACTTTCCCAAAATTAAATTCAAACCAACTTAGAGCACTTCCACCCATCACCTTTTGCCATGGCAAAAGGAGGCCTAGGCTCCAAAAATAACTTCCAACTATCGCCTTTTGTCATGGCAAAAAGTGGGCCCATGAAATTGGGCAAGTCCAAATGCAAGACTTGCCTGGGTTGCTGCTTGGGCAAAGTGATGTCATGATGATGTCAACGACCAATTTAAAATAAAAAATATTGAAAAAAAGGGGTCAAAAACCAAAAAATTTAGATTTTTTTTTTCCTATAAATACCTAGCCATGTTCTTCACTTCATATATCAAAATTCATACAAATTCCTCTTCTCATATCTAATGTGAATAGTGGTTGCCCTTAGGTTGCCATAGCAATGGGTGGGAATGCATCAAAAAAATTGTTAGGGCAGTAACTATTCACGTGAATAGTATCTACCCTTACTTGCCCTTGCATTTTGTCATAGCACAATGAGTGAAAATGCTCTTAAGAGGATGTTTGGGGTGGGCTCATTGACATGACCAATTGACCAAAGGTTGCCTTCCACGACAATATGCTATTGTTGACTATGCCATGTACATTATACAAGACATGCCAATTAGTCATAAGCTGATTTCAGGTCATACAATTACAATTTACAAGACATGCCAATTAATGATAAGCTGATTTAAGGCCAAATACAGAAACAGAACAAAGAAAAATAATGGTAGACAACGTCATCACGTGCGCCCAAATTGCCTACCTAATAAATGAAAAGTAGCCGAGTTACAGTTAAATTGAATAGGGAACTAGCGCCACTCAACAACACGAAAAGAAAAGTCATGCAAACAGAGCACCCTCTCTGTCTCTCTGTTGCTTATAAGAAGAAGAAGAAGAAGAGAGAAAATAATGGCGTCGTGGAATTCAATTCAGCTGGAAATCACATACAGAGTTTTGGGATGGATGGGTTTCGCATGTTGGTCCGTCGGTGGCTACCCACAAGTCATATTGAATTTCCGCAGGAAAAGGTACTCAATTTATTTCCTCATCAAATTTTCCTGAATTCAATTCCAAGACTCTTAATTTATTTGGTGGGATTGGAATATTTTTATTGTAGCGTTGTGGGATTGAGCTTCGATTTCGTGTTGCTGAGTTTGACAAAGCAGTCTTCCTACCTCATATACAACGCCTCTCTCTACTTCAGCTCCTCCGTTCAAAAGCAGTACTGGGAGAAATACGGCTATGGACAGGTTTCTTCTGTTCTCAGTTTTCCCTCCCTTCCCTACTTATTCACCAAAACCCAAAGAAAAAGTTGATTGTTTTGATGTGGATGTGATTGCAGATGATCCCTGTAGCAGTAAATGATGTTGCTTTCTCAGCTCACGCTGTTTTATTGACAGCATTTGTTCTGTTCCAAATTGCAATCTATGAAGTTAGTGTCTCCTCATGTCATACCTCTGTTTTTCTCTGTTTTTCCAAGCTTATTATTATGATTTTGATTGTGTTTTATATGTTGGCATCTGACATTTTTGTTCATTGATGGCATGGCTTTATGCAGCGAGGAACTCAGAAGGTGTCCAAGATTGCCATCGGAATTGTCATTGCAGTGTGGTCAGGCGCTGCAGTTTGTGTTTTCGTAGCTTTGCCAACCCATTCTTGGCTTTGGCTGATTAATATTTTCAAGTAAGATCCTAATTACCACCATTTAATTCTTCATCTTTTCAACTGTCTGATACATTAAGATTAAGTCGAGGGTTGATTCAGCAAGGCAATGCTTTAAGATGCATTTTCAAGGCGGCTCCCTTTCGCACAAGTTAGCTTATTTCTTACAACAACGGCATACATGTATTCTCTACTACCGCTCCCTTATTTCCTCCATGTTTATATATTCCCTTTTGCAGCTTAATTCAAGTTTGCATGACAGTCGTCAAATATACTCCTCAGGTTTGCATTGACTTGAATTCACCCTAAATTGTTCATCTTGTTTTGATTATTTTTTTTAAAGTCATGAAATGAAACACAGCATGCATTCATTGCCTGTATTATTATGTATAGGCATTCCTGAACTTCTTGCGGAAGAGCACAGATGGATTTAGCCTTGGCTCTTACTTGCTTGATTTTTCTGGAGGGGTCACAAATTATGCACAGATGACTGTGCTTGCTATAGATCAAGGTTCATCCTCCCTCCTCAACCTCAACCAAACAAAATGATTGACACAGTTTGATAACAAATATCCTTCATGTCATGCTTTAATTTGTTTTGATCTTGTGTCCCTTCCAGATTCTTGGGTGAACTTTTATGGAAACATGGGGAAAGTACTGCTATCTTTGGTATGAATGATCTGATGATATCAACGATGTGAATTTATTTTATCCGTTATATTCATTATTTGATGGTTTATTGCAATTTCAGATATCTATATTCTTTGACCTTGTCTTCATGTGTCAACGCTTCCTGCTGTATCCTTCAAAGAAAGCACCCATCCCTCCTCCTCCTCCTCAAATCATCAGCAAGGACAAGGAGAGCTTGGAGCCACTTCTCCAGTCTTTATCAGATCACCCACTCAAACACACTGTCTGAAAATGTATACACAAGAGCTTTTCTACTACAATTTTTTATACCACATGATGTGGCAGCTGATGTGTACATACCACATCATGTAAAATACTAGTTTCTGTTTTTCTAATTTTATTTATTAAAATACACTTCATTCATTTAATTGATGTAGCATATGATATAGATATGCCACATCATGTGGTATAGAAATGTGGGATAATAATGTGGTAAGTGTAGCATTACTCCTTAATAAAAGGGCAACAATCCTTAGCAAAAAACTTTTTTACTCCTTTTTTTTTTTTTTTTTTTTTTTTTTTTTTTTTGGGTTTTGGGTTTTGAATGGAGGACACATGTCACTTTATGGTTGAGCTACAATAGAAAGTACGGAGGAGTCTTGCCTTATGGATAAGGAGGGGAGTATTTTCCTTAAATTTATTGTCATAACGTTTTAAATAAAGGGTTAAATTAAAAGTCATATCTCTTGCAAAAGAGGTATAAAATAGAAACTCTTGACAAACCAGTGTACGTTCTATTGTCCCTCCTCATGTCTTCTAGTACTATGTTTCCCTATTGTCCTTTCTTTCTCTCATCAATCTAATGGGCAATCCGATAAACACTACTTCGTATGTCATGATCGTGCTTAATGGATCAGACATCCTGTGAGTTTCAAGGGTTGTATTTTGAAATTGTAGACGACCGTTATAACCTACACGTAAGGAAGTTGTATCTTGAAGTTGTAGATGACTGTTATAACATGCACGTAAGGAGGCATCTACAGCTTTAGGACAGCGACTACGTGCCTCTCTTGACATCACATGCTAGATGTTCCTAACCCTTTTCCTATGTGTTTATTGTATTAATTATTGTGCATGACTGATGTGTTGTTGAGTTTTAATTTATTTAATTGATTCTATATGAATATTATAAGTATAATTATAGAATATTTCCAACAGAAGCAGCGAGTAAATTGAGCTAGGACATATGAGAAGTGAATATATATTTTTGGTTGTTGGTGTTGATAGGGGTAATAGAAGAGATTGTGAGGTTTGAAGACATGGTATTTACAAAGGTTTGGAGAAAAAGAGAGAGGAAGAAGAAGGAAAAAAAAACCTATTACAAACGTTAAGTTGGGAGTTAGTCAAGTTAGGGCTTTTTTTCCTATTTTTAATTAGGAATAAATTGAGTTTTTATTTTAAAGACGATGTGTTCAGTTTAATTTAAATATTTTGAATTAAATTTTAATGAAATGATATATGAAGGATGAAAGTCAAACCGATTATCACATAATCATAGCAAATAATCCAAATCTCTATTTGGGGCAGGCTCACTCTTACAAAACAATTACAAAACATGCCAATTAATCATAAGCTAATTTCAGGCCAAATACAGAACAAGAAAAATCATTATAGTCCAGGTCATCGCATGGGCCCACGTTGCCCACCTGATACGGACGGGCGTCCGAGTTACAGTTAACTGAAGAGGAAAGCAAACAGACCACCTTCTCTGTCTCTCTGTTTCTATTTGTCTGTCACCGGCTGGCCGTTTGGGTTGTTTAGAAGAGCAGAAGAAGAAGAGAGAAAATAATGGCGTCGTGGAATTCACTTCAGCTGGAAATCACATACAGAGTTATGGGATGGATGGCTTTCACATGTTGGTCCGTCGGCTTCTACCCACAAGTAATATTGAATTTCCGCCGGAAAAGGTACTCATTTATTTCCTCACCGAATTTTCCCTTAACTCAATTCAACTCCAAGACTTTTAATTGATTTACAGCGTTGTGGGTTTGAGCTTCGATTTCGTGGTGCTGAATTTGACAAAGCATTCTTCCTATCTCATTTACAACGCCACCCTCTACTTCAGCTCCGCCGTTCAAAAGCAGTACTGGGAGAAATACGGCTCCGGACAGGTTTCTTCTGTTCTCAGTTTTCCCTCCCTACTCATTCACCAAAACCCAAAAGAAAAAGTTGACTGTTTTGATGTGGATGTGATTGCAGATGATCCCTGTAGCAGTAAATGATGTTGCTTTCTCAGCTCATGCTGTTTTAATGACAGCAATTATTCTGTTCCAAATTGCAATTTACGACGTTAGTGTCTCCTCATCTCACTCATACCTCTGTTATTTTCCTCTGTTTTTCCAAGCTGATTATGATTTTGGTTGTGTTTTATATGTTGGGATCTGACATTTTGGTTAATTGATGGCATGGCTTTACGCAGCGAGGAACTCAGAAGGTGTCCAAGATTGCCATCGGAATTGTCGTTGCCGTGTGGTTAGGCGCTGCAGTTTGTTTTTTCGTAGCTTTGCCAACCCATTCTTGGCTTTGGCTGATCAATGTATTCAAGTAAGATCCTAACTGCCACCATTTAATTCTCCTTCGTCTTTTTCAACTGTCTGTTCCATTAAGATTAAGTCGAGGGTTGATTAAGCCAGACATTGACAATGCTTTAATTTAAGATGCATTTTCAAGGCGGCTCCTTGTCGATATTTATTATTCTGTGATAGCTGGGTCTGTGTAAAATTCCCTTTTGCAGCTCAATTCAAGTTTTCATGACAGTCGTGAAATATACTCCCCAGGTTTGCATTGACTTGAATTCACCTTAAATTGTTCATCTTGTTTAGATTTTTTTTCTTTTCTTTTGAAAGTCATGAACTGAAACACAGCATGCATGCCATTGCCATTCATTATATAGGCATTCATGAACTTCATGCGGAAGAGCACAGATGGATTCAGCATTGGCTTTTACTTGCTTGATTTTTCTGGAGGGGTCACAAATTATGCACAAATGGCTGTGCTTTCTATAGATCAAGGTTCATCCTCTCTTCTCTTCCCCAACCTCAACCAAACAAAATGATTGTCACAGTTTGATAACAAATATCCTTCATGTCATGCTTTCCAGATTCTTGGGTGAACTTTTTTGGAAATATGGGGAAAGTACTGCTATCTTTGGTACGAATGATCTGATATCGACTCTTTGATTGAATTATTTTATGATCCGTTATAACTTACGTATATATATTCATTATGGTTATTACTACTATTTCAGATATCTATATCCTTTGACATTCTCTTCATGTGTCAACGCTTCCTGCTTTATCCTTCCAAGAAAGCACCCATCCCTCCTCCTCCTCCACAAATCATCAGCAAGAAGAGCTTGGAGCCACTTCTCCAGTCTTCTTCATCAGCATCACCCACTCACACTGTCTGAAAATGTATAAACGACAGCTTCTCTCTCCTGCCCAAAACATGTAGATGGAAACAAGGATTATATGTTTGGAGGCGAAAACTTAAATAAATATGAAAAAAAAAAAACAAATTCCATCCTTTGATTTTGGCATACATACAGATACAGTCAACTTTAACAAATTACACAAAAGGTAAATTTTTTATTTTATTTTATGTATTGAAACGCGAAAGATAATTAAATCCCAATAAATCAAACCAGTAGAAAGTTAATCATAATTTGTTCATGAATAAATAATGATACGATGGTCAAAGAAATTTCTTTTTCCTCGTCATCCAATCCAATAATCTGGTTATAATATTTTAGCTAGCTTGGGAAATGACACAAACAAGTTTAATTTGATGGGGTCTAGGTTGGATGATGGCTTTGGCGCCTTATACGTTAAAACAGGATCACACCTAAAAATTGAACCTTTATCAGGATCAGGAACTCAATGAATATGGCCGTGTAATAGTCCTAATTCAAACCCAACCCCCTTTCTTCTTCTGTTCTTCCAGTCCAATCCATGTTACGAAATTTGCCAAAACTTGGAGGAAAAAGCACCAACCGTGTCCTAGATTCAGAAGCAAGGTGTACAGCCCTAAGCCGGCCCACGTCATCACCATGGCCCACTTTGGATGGACGGGCCAATTACATTGCAAACATACAGATACAGTTGAAGTTTTAAAAGTCATTGCAAGCAAGCCCCTTTCTTCTCCCTCTTGTCTTCTCCCCTCTCTTCAAAGTTGATCAGACAAGTGGGAAATCGCAATTGCAATTTTGGAAGGGAGGAATGGCTTCGTGGAATTCGATTCCGCTGGAAATCACATACGAAGTTCTGGGATGGGCGGCGTTCATAAGTTGGTCCATCAGCTTCTACCCACAAGTCATCTTGAATTTCCGGAGGAAAAGGTATTCATTTATGTCAACCCACAAACACTTTGGTTTTTCACACCTCGATTTTCTGCTGAATTCAATTCAAAGATTCTTTCTTTATCTAAATTCGTTTTGTTTTTGGTGGATGGTGGTGGCCGGTGGGCGTTTGAATTAGTGTTGTGGGGTTGAACTTCGATTTCGTGGTGCTGAATTTAACAAAGCACTCCTCCTATCTCATCTACAATGCCACTCTCTACTTCAGCTCCGCCGTTCAAAAGCAGTACTTCGAGAAGTACGGCTTAGGACAGGTTTGTTTTCCCTCCCTACCAGCCTAGCCACTTCTTTTTATGATCATTTTCATTCCCAGTGGCTGTGTTCTTGGTTTCCAATAGCAAAGCTTAGATCTTTTTAAATTATTGCATATGGGTATGCTTTTCTTGGTGGATTGGCAAATGTTTTAATAAGCTCTGCTTATATATTGATAAGGAATGTAATATGTAGCAGATTTAGTTGTAACTCGATAGCAACTGTTATCTTCGGCACTTGGAGATTTGTGACATATATGGTAAATTGGATTTCAAGGCCGTAAACAACTTTATATATCAGAAAGCTAGTGTTTCAAGTGTGTTTTGTCATTTAGGTTTTTAAGCACATAATTTTTGCATGAAATATGATACGTGTATATTGTAATCTCAATACTTTGACAACTCCAACAGCTGAAGAGGGATTATAGTTTATCAACTGTTTAATATAGTCTGTGCATCTTAAAAGGAAGGATGTATGGAATAGATTGAGTTGGTGATTTGTTATATGTATATTTGGAAGTACTTATCTTTTTTGTGCTATAATTGCAGATGATACCTGTTGCAGCAAACGATGTTGCTTTCTCAATTCATGCTGTTTTACTGACAGCAATTACCCTGTACCAAATTGCAATCTATGAAGTAAGTGTCTCGATCTTCTTTGCTGAGTTTATGATTTAAAATCGTGTTAATAGGTTCTCTATCCTGATGTTAGTCACTTTGTCATGAAAAGTTTCATATTTGACCTTTTGCTGATGGCTTTATGCAGCGTGGAAATCAGAAGGTCTCCAAGATTTCCATTGGAATTGTTGCTGCCGTGTGGTTAGGTGCTGCAGTTTGTGTTTTCTTAGCTTTGCCAAGTCATTCTTGGCTTTGGTTGATTTCCATTTTCAAGTAAGATTTTCACCTTTTTGTTTTTGTGCATTGAATTTTGATGTACTGTCAATGACAATTATGACCAACACTTAATTTTTGCGGAAGGTTTTCTTTAAAAGTCCTTAAGGTTCTGAGTGATGTCCAATTACCTTAATATTTAGTATTTTGTATAAAGTTTTCTTAAAATTTTCCCACATCAAGTTCTGTCGTTGTGGATTCTGAACCCTCTTTACTTAAATAAGTTCGCGTTGACAATGAGCTTTCTAGTACCTGGCCAGAATTATGCCTTTTCACTAGGAAAATTGAAATTACTATAATGCTGATTAAGAAAGGCGGACGTCTCATCAATGCTTTAAGATGCATTTTAAAGTCGGCTACTTACATGTTGGAACTTCCATTAAGTGATTATGGTCTTGGACTGCTATTATTTTATTAAGTGATTGTTGTGTTTGTGTAAAATTCTCTTTCTAACATCAATTCATTTAATTTTGTTCCAGCTCGATTCAAGTTTTTATGACAGTCATCAAATATATTCCCCAGGTCAGTATTTAGTCCCTTTGAAATATTTTGTGTTCCTACACTGAATTCATTGCCCAAGCCGTGCTATGAAAAATGGTCGCAGGCTTTATACATTTGCTATGCATTTAATGTAGAGTTGTTATCTGTTATTATAGGATGCTTAGGAAATGGAGAAAAAGAAAAGGAACTGTTACTGTTGAATGGACCTTTTTATCTGCTTAATATTTTCTCATGAAAAAGCAGTAAGCCTGTATTGATACAAAGCCTTTCTAAATATAGGCGGTCATGAACTTCCTGCGAAAGAGCACAGATGGATTCAGTATTGGTAACATTTTACTTGATTTTTCTGGAGGGGTGGCAAATTATGCACAAATGGCTGTGCAATCTATAGATCAAGGTTCATCATCACTTCCTCAACCAATGATATTTGCAGTTTCATAACATCCTTCATGCTAACTTGTGCACCTTTCCAGGTTCTTGGGTGAACTTTTATGGAAATATAGGGAAGACACTGCTGTCTTTGGTAGGGATTCATTCATGGCAATGTCTTGAATTATATCAAACAATTGACACATTTTCTAGATTGTCTCAAATTGAATTGGTTATGGAGCTATATGTTGCTTATACATGGATGGGTTTTACTGTTTCAGATATCTATATTCTTTGACCTTCTATTCATGGGTCAACATTACGTGCTGTATCGTGGCAAGAGAGCAGTGATCACCCCTAAAATCATCAGCAAGGAGAGCTCGGAGCCACTAGTCAAGTCATCTGATGACCCAGTTTCGGAAAATGTATAAAGCTTTTGGCTTGGCTCTCAAGATGTATGATAGATATTAGCTTACATCGTCGGTGTAAGAATTAGCAAACTTATTGGGTTTCTGCAGGTTATTTTACCTAAAAGCATGTTGTATCACGTTGTGTACAGGAAAAATAAGAAGGAAAAAACATTTATTTGGAGCATTAAAAGTAGGCAACAGTGTATGAAGAACATTATGCAATTGAAGTGTATGTTTGCATAATACTTTTACTAGAGGATCCGTAAGAAATAAAAAGAGAGGTTTTTACATTTTCCAAACAGAACCTCAAACTCACTCAATTTTGGAAGATCATGATGTGATGTGAGGGTAACGCATGGATTTCTTTTGATTATGATCGCCGGCGCCAAGTTCTAAGAAAGCCAGATGCACGCAAACTCTGTCCCTCATGCAAGCGTAACGCATGGATTTCTTTTATTGGTTGCTAAAAAAAACTGAACTTTTAGACTTTTGTGAACACACGTTAAAAAGTTATCTCACTAGGCTAAAGTAGTATCCCGTTACAGGTAAGTTTTTCTGCTATGAAGGAGCCGAGCAATTTTCAGGAAAAAAACAACTGAGATTTTTAATGCGAAAAAGATTCTTTATCTTGACGAGTTGTCAATCTTGAATAATTTATTGGCCTGGTCCACAAGAATTAGGACCTTCCAAACCAAAGACCGTGCTTCCCAAGTTTTCATTCCCACCAGCAACACTATATAATGAGAGAGGGCGCAATCTAACACCTCCATCATTCATCCGTCTTTCAATCTTTCATTCAGCCCACAGCTCCATTTGTCAAGAATGAAGAGCGAGGGTCGCCAGCACGGGATGTTCCGGCCTTACCGGGTCCTACCAGACCCATTGAACCTGAGACCCGGAACCCGACAGGTGAACAAGTTTGATTCACTTTCTACAGCCGGGTTATTCACCAAGGTGGCCACCAAGCCCACCAACCACTCCAAGTTCACGGGTAAGTGCGGCAAGCCCAGGTGCACCGAGTGTCACATCCACCCGGCTTCTAAGGCCAAGGACAAGACCAAAGGGAACCACAAGCTCAAGTCATCCGACGTCATATCCAATCATCGTTTGGTCAAATTTTCCGGGTCTTCTGCCACGGGGATTTTGGATCATCTGTCTACTAGTCATTATGATAACAACGATGATGATGATGAAGAAGATGATGAAATCAGTGGTTATGCAAGTGAGTGGAGCCTATGATAATAGAAATGATCATGATCATGATGTGATGTGAGGGTGGATTTTGATGAGGTTGAGGAAGATGGTAATTATGAAGATATGGGTTTCTTCAATGTGGAATATGTGATTGATCCAATTGAGGAAGATGAAGGTTGGTGTTTAGTGCCACAAACGTGATTGTTGTTTGAATAACGCGGATTGAAGTCAACCTCTTTTCTTCTGCTTTGTATTTTGATGTACAAGCTAGTAATAATGATGATGATGATGATAATCTTATTTCTCAATATTTGACAATATTCCTTTATTGCCACCGGCGCCGCCTCTCTTTCTTCGTCTGATTTTATTTCTGATGTACTTATTGCGGACCTATGAGTCCGTGACTAAGGAACATTGGGGGCCGGGGGGTGCTTCATTATGAGTGAGAGTTCTTTTGATCGCAATGAGGAAGAAAAATAAGCTATTTAATTAGTTTAATGTCCGAACTCTTATGTATAGAGATACTCACTTAATCTTCTTGACTTTAGTTTGGAATTTTAACTCTACTCTGTTTGTCCTCAATAAATTACAACCGATTTTCTACAAAAAATATTTGACAATATTCTCATTAGAATTTGGCCTCCAATCTAATTCAGTTTAAGCAAATCCAACCCAAATGAATAGAAAAGAATCTCAATGATATGTGCATTTCATTTCCGAACAGCACCTTAAGCTGAGTCATTTTGTAAAACCAATGAGCAACTGCCACGTCAAGAGACGGGTTGAGAAAACTAGTCCCCACTCTGTTTCCAAGTTTTCCCACCAGTTAAGTCACTCTGAAACCGAATGGAGCTGAGACAAAAGCCCTAAATCTCTACAGTTCTTCCGGTTGCTCTCTGCCTGATAGACCACAATATCCGAAATATCTGGTTCGTTGAAATCCCACCGGAGCATCCAAGAGCTTTGCACCCTCAAAGCAGCAGAATTTTTCCCCGTTTCCCTTCCTCTTCTTCCCCTTTTCACTCTCTAAGGTTTGCCCTCTCTCCGTCTCTCTCTCTCTCTCTCTCTCTCTCTCTCTCTCTCTGTGGAGTAATGGCTTCTCTTGCATGTTTGGTGCAATACTGGTTACTTTTTTCATTGAGAATTATAATGAAAGCTTTGGTCTTTCTGATCTTCCAGTGTTCCTTGTTTCATTCCTTGCTACAATGGTGCATTGCATAATTGCATTCCTGTTTTCAATAATTGATTTTTTTCTTCTTCTGGCATTCATGTGATGGTTGAAGAACAGGGTATGCTATTTGCTATAAGGACTCTGACCCATGTGTAATTTTATCTGAGGGCTAAAGCTCTAATTTGGTCATTTCTAAGCTCACCCTTTCAATTGCCAAGTATCAATTTTTCGGCCCCTTTTCCACCCAATTGATATGGTGGAAGCTATGTGTATCAGTAAAGATAGCATGCGTAGCTCGTTGTTTTGCCCTTTTGAGTTACTTGTGAATATCAGTCGAAATAATCCTAGCTGTTATAGATATGATAATTTGATGTGCTACATTATTGTAAGTAGCTTGTTTTTATGGGATATTTATTTATTATGGTGAATGATGGCTCGTTTTTATGGGTATTAAATTGAATTTTTCCTGACTTTTTTGTTTTTCCTTCCTTTTTCTCTTCCCTCCCTAATGAAGGTGGATGGGTTGTAGTGAGCCTGATATAAGTCATCCACAAGAAGAGAGTGACTACAATGAACTTCCAACGTCACTTAGATTGGATATTGATGTGCAACGTGATTGTCGAAGCTCAAAAGATTCCTCTGCCGAAAAGAGTCAGGCAGTTATCGACCATGAACATGACTCTCCGAGAGAGTGTCAAAGTCCAAAAGGTTCCTCTTTTGAGAAGAGGCAGGTGGTTATTGATACTGAGCAGGAGTGTCAGAGTCCTGTTCCTTCTTCTATTGACAAGAACCAGGTGGAAATTGACTGCGAGGAGTGTGAAACCCCAAAATTTTACTCTGTGAGTATGTTTGAGATGGATGTAGATGGTGGGCAGGACTTGCAGAGCCCAAATGTTCCCTGTGCTGATGTACCAGGAGCTGGTATGGCCATGAAAGGTGAGGAATACATTTATGTGGTACCGCAAGTTGGGGTGGAGTTTGAGTCAGAAGACCATCTATACAATTGTTACAGTAGATATGCTGTGCTGGAAGGTTTCAGCATTAGAAAAGATTTCGTAAATAAAAGTAGGATAAATGGTATAGTTGTTTCCAGAAGGTACACTTGTCATCTTGAATTTCCGGAGGAAAAGGAATTCATTTATGTCATCCCACAAACCATTTGGTTTTTTCACACCTCGATTTTCTGCTGAATTCAATTCAAAGATTCTTTCTTTATCTAAAATAGTTTTGTTTTTTGGTGGATGGTGGTGGCCGGTGGGCGTTTGAATTAGTGTTGTGGGGTTGAACTTTGATTCGTGGTGTTGAATTTGACAAAGCACTCCTCCTATCTCATCTACAACGCCACTCTCTACTTCAGCTCTGCCGTTCAAAAGCAGTACTTGGATACGGCTTAGGCCAGGTTTGTTTCCCTCCCTACCAGCCTAGCCACTTCTTTTTATGATCATTTTCATTCCCAGTGGCTGTGTTCTTGGTTTCCAATAGCAAATCTTAGATCTTTTGAAATTATTGCATATGGGTATGCTTTTTCTTGGTGGACTGGCAAATATTTTAATAAGCTCTGGTTATATATGGATACTAGTATTAAGTTACATAAGGAATGTAATATGTAGCAGTTTTAGTTGTAACTCGATAGCAGCTGTTATTTTTGGCACTTGGAGATTTGTGACATATATGGTACACCGGATTTCAAGGACGTTAACAACTTTATATATCAGAAAGCTAGTGTTTCAAGTGTGTTTTGTCATTTAGGTTTTTAAGCACATAATTTTTGCATGAAATATGATACGTGTAGATTGTAATCTCAATACTTTAACGACAACTTCAACAGCTGAAGAGGGATTGTAGTTTATCAACTGTTTAATATAGTCTGTGCATCTTAAAAGGAAGGATGTATGGAAGAGATTGAGTTGGTGATTTGTTATATGTATATTTGGAAGTACTCATCTTTTTTGTGCTATAATTGCAGATTATACCTGTTGCAGCAAACGATGTTGCTTTCTCTATTCATGCTGTTTTACTGACAGCAATTACCCTGTACCAAATTGCAATCTATGAAGTAAGTGTTTTGATCTTCTTTGCCGAGTTTATGATTTAAAATCGTGTTAATAGGTTCACTATCCTGATGTTAGTCACTTTGTCATGAAAAGTTTGATATTTGACCTTTTGCTGATGGCTTCATGCAGCGTGGAAATCAGAAGGTCTCCAAAATTTCCATTGGAATTGTTGCTGCCATGTGGTTAGGTGCTGCAGTTTGTGTTTTCTTAGCTTTGCCAAGTCATTCTTGGATTTGGTTGATTTCCATTTTCAAGTAAGATTCTTACCTTTTTGTTTTTGTGCATCGAATTTTGATGTACTGTCAATGACAATTATGACCAACACTTAGTTTTTTGCCGAAGGTTTTCTTTAAAAGTCCTTAAGGTTCTGAGTGATGTTCAATTACCTTAATATTTAGTATTTTGTATATAGTTTTCTTAAAATTTTCCCACATCAAGTTCTGTCATTGTGGATTCTGAGCGATCTTTACTTAAATAAGTTCGCGTTGACAATGAGCTCTCTAGTTCTAGTACCTGGCCAGAATTATGCCTTTTCACTAGGAAAATTGAAATTACTATAATGCTGATTAAGAAGGGTGATCTTCTCATCAATGCTTTAAGATGCATTTTAAAGTCGGCTACTTAAAATTAAACTTTTCATTTTTTAATTTTTTTCATTAAACAGTAATTATATTATTTTAATTTATTTTAATATTTTATTTCATTTGTGCAAATAAAGTGGGCTATGTTCATGACACATCATCATTTGTGGTTAAAATACCAAAATAGCCCTGCTACGTCATTAAAATTGATGGAGCTATAAATGGAGATAACGGCAGGGGCAAAGTGGAACACAAAACCTTGGTCAAGGGGGTTAAGTGAGCCACTTTAACTTTTAGGAGGTAAAATGAGATTTGACCAAAGTTTTAAGAGAGCGCTACAGTAAATAAGCTTAAAGTATATGTTTACATACCAATTTTACTAGAGGATCCGTAAGAATAAAAAGATTGGTTTTTACATTTTCCAAACAGACCCCCAAACTCACTCAATTTTGGAAGATGTTGTAAGCTTTTAAGTTTGGTTGGTTTTTAACTTTTGATTATGATCGCCGTGCTAAGTTATGAGAAAGCCTGATGCACAGAAACTCCGTCCCTTATCCTCATGCAAGCGTAACGCATGGATTTCTTCTATTGGTTACTAAAAAAAAACCAAACTTTTAGACTTCTGTGAAGGGATAAAGACTTCCATGCAACAAGGATAGCATTATTTTGCTATCTCTGGCCTATAACTCAAGGACACGTGAAAAAGTTATCTTACATGTCATTGCGTGTGTTATACCTGTTACAAATAATTCTGCTGTGAAGGAGCCGAGCAAGTTCCAGGAAAAAAACAGCTACTGAGATTTTTGGCTTATGAGTTGCAGTTCCAGCGGAGCAGCGTCCCTTTGCCTTGGGGCTCACACCTTTTCTCATCAAAACTTGTGTAATTAATTTCCACATTAAAAGAAAAAAAAAAAAAAAAAAAAAAAAAAAAAAAAAATCAACAGGGTCAACCCTGTAACATGTAATGTAAGTGGGCATCATTATTAAGAAACAGACAAATGCATACCGTCAAGCATAAGCAATTGGTCATTGACAAGTACTTGCTTTATTTATTAAAAAAAGTTACTTGCTTTTATAAAAAATAAAAATAAAAATTAATATGCGAAAAAGATGTATTCTTTATCTTGGTGAGTTGTCAATCTTTAATGATTTATTGGCTTGGTCCACAAGAATTAGGACCTGCCAAACCAAACACCGTGTTTCCCAAGTTTTCATTCCCACAAGCAACACTATATAATAAGAGAGGGCACAACTCAACACCTCCATCATTCATCCTTCCTTCAATCTTTCATTCAGCCCACAGCTCCATTTGTCAACAATGAAGAGAGAGGGTCGCCAGCACGGGATGGTCCGGACTTACCGGGTCCTACCCGACCCATTGAACCCAAGACCAGAAACCCGACACGTGAACAGGTTTGATTCACCTCCTACAGCCGGGTTGTTTACCAAGGTGGCCACCAAGCCTACCAACCACTCCAAGTTCACGGGTAAGTGCGGCAAGCCCAGGTGCACCGAGTGTCACATCCACCCGGCTTCTAAGGCCAAGGACAAGACCAAAGGGAACCACAAGCTCAAGTCATCCGACGTCTTATCCAATCATCGTTTGGTCACTTGGCGGGTTGTGGACAGCCGGCCCAACTCGAATTTTTCTGGGTTTTCTGCCACGGGGATTTTGGATCATCTGTCTACTAGAGATTATGATAACAACGATGATGATGAAGAAGATGATGAAATCAATGGTTATGCAAGTAGAGCCTATGATAATAGAAATGATCATGATGTGAGGGTGGATTTTGATGAGGTTGAGGAAGATGGTAATTATGAAGAGATGGGTTTCTTTAATGTGGAGTATGTGATTGATCCAATTGAGGAAGATGAAGGTTGGTGTTTAGTGCCACAAACGTGATTGTGGTTTGAATAACGCGGATTGAAGTCAACTTCTTTTCTTCTGCTTTGTATTTTGATGTACAAGTTAATAATAATGATGATGATGATGATAATCTTATTTCTCAATATTTGACAATATTCCTTCTTTGTCTTGGTCTGATTTTATTTTTGATGTACTTGTTGCGGATTGTAACCCGTGAGTTTGTGACTAAGGAATATTTGGGGTAAGGTTGCTTCATTATGATTCATGAGTGAGAATTCCTTTGATCGGTATGAGAATAGACTACTTGATTAGTCCAATATCTAAGCTCTTATGTGTAGAAATACTCATCTAATCTTCTTGACTTTAGTTTGGAATTTTAATTGTACTCTGTTTGTCCTCAATAAATTACAACCGATTTTCTACAAAATTCTAATTAGAATTTGGCCTCCAATCTAATTCAGTTTAAGCAAATCCAACCCAAATGAATAGAAAAGAATCTCAATGATATGTGCATTTCCATTCCGAACAGAACCTTAAGCTGAGTCATTTTGCAAAACCAATGAGCAACTGCCACGTCAAGAGACGAGATGAAAAAACTAGTCCGCACTCCGCTCTCTGTTTCCAAGTTTTCCCACCAGTTAGTCACTCTGAAACCGAATGGAGCTGAGACACAAGCCCTAAAACTCTACAGTTCTTCCGGTTGCTCTCTGCCTGATAGACCACAATATCAGAAATATCTGGTTCGTAGAAATCCCACAGGAGCATCCAAGAGCTTTGCACCCTCAAAGCAGCAGAATTTTTCCCCGTTTCCCTTCCTCTTCTTCCCTTTTCACTCTCTAAGGTTTGCCCTCTCTCTGTCTCACTCTCTCTCTCTCTCTCTGGAGTATTGGGTTCTCTTGCATGTTTGGTGCTATACTGGTTTCTTTTTTCATTGAGAATTATAATAAAAGCTTTGGTCTTTCAGATCTTCCAGCGTTCCTTGTTTCATTGCTTGCTACAATGGTGCATTGCATAATTGCATTCCTGTTTTCAATAATTGAATTTTTTTTTCCTTCTGGCATTCATGTGATGGTTGAAGAACTGGGCATGCTAATTGCTGATAAGGACTCTGACCCATATGTATTCTTATCTGAGGCATAAAGCTCTAATTTGGCCATTCCTAAGCTCACACTTTCCATTGCCAAGTATCAATTTTGAGTCCCTTTTTCCACCCAATTGATTTGATATAGTGTAAGCTATGTGTATCAGTAAAGATGGCACGCGTAGCTCGTTGTTTTGCCCTATTGAGTTACTTGTGAATATCAGTCGAAATAATCCTAGCTGTTATAGATATGATAACTTGATGTGCTACATAATTGTAAGTAGCTCCTTTTTTGTGGGATATTTATTTATTATGGTGAATGATACCTCTCGTATTAAATTGAATATTTCCTGACTTTTTTTTGTTTTTCCTTCCTTTTTCTCTTCCCTCCCTAATGAAGGTGGATGGGTTGTAGTGAGCCTGATATATCAAGTCATCCACAAGAAGAGAGTGACTACAATGAACTTCCAACGTCATTTAGATTGGATATTGATGTGCAACGTGATTGTCGAAGCTCAAAAGATTCCTGTGCCGAAAGGAGTCAGGCAGTTATCGACCATGAACATGACTCTCCAAGAGAGTGTCAAAGTCCAAAAGGTTCCTCTTTTGAGAAGAGGCTGGCGGTTATTGATACTGAGCAGGAGTATCAGAGTCCAATTCCTTCTTCTATTGACAAGAACCAGGTGGAAATTGACTGTGAGGAGTGTGAAACCCCAAAATTTTACTCTGTGAGTAAGTTTGAGATGGATGTAGATGGTGAGGAGGAGTTGCAGAGTCCAAATGTTCCCTGTGCTGATGTACCAGGAGCTGGTATGGCCATGAAAGGTGAGGAATACATTTATGTGGTACCGCACATTGGGGTGGAGTTTGAGTCAGAAGACCATGCATACAATTGTTACAGTAGATATGCTGTGCTGGAAGGTTTCAGCATTAGAAAAGATTTCGTAAATAAAAGTAGGATAAATGGTATAGTTGTTTCAAGAAGGTACACTTGTTATAGACAAGGATATCGGCCTATCCAACATAATGCCAACGTGAGGAAATCCCGGCGGGAAACAAGAACTGGTTGCTTGGCACACATGACCATTGCACGTCAACCCAATGGCAAGTTTTGTGTTACTCATTTTGAACCTAAGCACAATCATGAGTTTGTTGCCCCTTGTACAACTTATATGTTACCATCACAGAAGAGATTGAATTTTGCTCAAGCAGTTGAAGCCGACTTGGGTGATAAATCTGGAATAGATGGGGTGCCAAAACTTGGAATGGGGTTCGACGCAGAAGATCACGCATATGAGTTTTACAACACTTATGCTGGACGGGTAGGTTTTAGTGTTCGGAAGGATTATGTAAATAGGAGCAAAATAAATGGTTCTGTGGTCTCTAGAAGGTTTACCTGTTTTAGAGAAGGTTTTCGGCAGAGAGACAAACGGGACATGAATGTGAAGAGACCTAGAAAGGAGACAAGAATTGGCTGTTTGGCGCAATTGGTCATATCTCGACAACCTGATGATAGATACCGCGTCACTCACTTTGAAGAAAGGCACAATCATGAGCTTGTTGCTGCTTGTAGAGTTCACATGTTGCGGTCGCAAAAGAGATTAATTGCAGCTCAAGTTTTTGAAGGCGATTTAGTGGATTGTTCTAATATGCAGCCAGAATCAGCCTCTGAGTTAATATGTAAGACAGGTAGAGACTCTGATAATCACGGTTATGATCCCATAGATTATAAAAATAAACTTCCTTTCAAATGTATGCGAGGAATGAGAGAGGGAGAATCAGCCAGACTGCAGCAATTTTTTCAGAGCAAGCAATTGAAAAACCCTTCCTTTTTTTATGCTTTGCAACCTGATGTAGATGATCAAGTAACTAATGTTTTCTGGGTTGACACCAAGATGGCGATGGACTACGGTGATTTTGGTGATGTGATCTGCTTTGATACAACTTACAGATTACAGAAAGATAGCCGACCATTCACACCTTTTATTGGGATAAATCATCATAAGCAAATGCTGATCTTTGGTGCTGCACTTTTATATGATGAAAGTGTTGAATCTTACAAGTGGCTCTTCCAAACTTTCCTAGAGGCCATGTCGGGAAAGAAGCCAAAAACTATACTCACAGATCAAGATGCACTGATGGCAGAAGCAATTGATAAGGTATTTCCCGAAACACTGCATCGAATTTGTGTTTGGCATGTGTACCAAAATGCACTTAAACAACTGAGCTACATGTTTGCGGGCTCTGGTTCTTTTATCAATGATTTAAGCAGTTGTCTTTTTTATCATGAGGATGAGGAGGATTTCATTAATGCATGGAAGGTATTGTTGGATGTATACGGTCTTTGGGAAAATGAGTGGTTGCGTGAGATGTTTGAATATAGAGAGAAATGGGCCACAGCTTATGGAAGGCATATTTTTTGTGCTGACATAAAAGCTGTACTGCTACATGAAAGTTTTACTGAAAACCTAAGAAAGTATTTAAAGTCAGACTCGGATGTGCTTCTGCTGTGCAAGCATCTTGGAAAGGTCATAAATGATTGGCACTACAAAGAACTAGAGGGTAATTACAACATGCACCACCATCTGCCAGAACTTATGGGTGATGTGATTCTTTTGAAGCATGCGAGGAATGTGTACACACCAATGATATTTGAATTGTTCCAGCAAGAGTATGAAAAATGCCTAAATATCATTGTGAATCAATGCACTCAGACCGGGCTGTTGTTTGAGTACAAAGTTAGCATATATGGGCAACCACGAGAGTACATGGTTACTTTTGATTCATCTACAGAAACAGTTGCCTGTAATTGTATGAAATTTGAGTTTATGGGAGTTTTGTGCAGCCATGCATTGAAAGTACTTGACTATAGGAATATAAAGATTCTCCCTTCCAAATACATTCTGAAGAGGTGGAGTAAAGATGCTAGGGTCTGAAATTATGGACGGAAGTCGTTTGGGGCACTGCATAGGAAGGTAATAAAGAGAAATGTCTGATCACTGATTGTAAACGAAGACTGTTTGATTTCATGTAATTGCTGCAAAATATTTCCTAAATACCGTCCATTTTGTATTTCAAGTTGGAAGAATGTTAAACCCTTAAAAGAGAGAATCTTACTTCTTTTTCTTTTCTTTTATTTCAGACATCTCCATTGCTGCTTCTATAGAAGAAAATCACTTTCAATATGCCTCAAATTATCATTAGGCAGATATTGACTGAAAAGAAGATGCACAGTGCTTAAGATCTGTTATGGACCATCTTGAAAGACCATCGTGTAACTTTTTTATGGCAGCTGACCACAGTATATTGTACCATCATCCTGAGGCTAGGTTGGTTTCTCTTGTCACAGATTTCAATGTGTCCTGGAATGAAGACACATCATCTGTTACATATATTATCTCGGCTATAATTTTGAATCCTTGCTTAACAGATTTTTGTTTCTTTACTACTTAGGGGTACACTCAAATTATGAGATGCTGAAACCTATTTCCAAATGGAAATTCCACAGCCTTCCACAACTTCTACACTTCGTAGAACAATTCTTGGTACAGGTAAAAATGGAAAGACCGTACAATTTTTTGTCCACTAACCAACTACACTCTTCATACATTTGCCCAAAATCTATATGCATATGTCTCCGGCAAATTAATTTTGGTATGCGGTGCGATCAAACCTAACTAAAATTTGCTAGAAGCTTTCAGCAGGACTGATATATCTCAATAAATTCTGCTCCAACAGAAACTTGGCTTCTTAAGCTTGGGTTATCCCAGCTGAATGTTTGGAGATGTATTCTCACGAGTAGTCTTTAAGGATCGTGAAATGAGAGAACAAGTTGGGGTTCGCTTATTCTTTCCCTGGACATTCTTGGTGCCACTGCTCTTGATTGGAGCTCCTCTGGGAGATAAAGACGTTGAGGCCTCAACTACGCTTGGAGTTGGAGTGGGAGTGGACTTTTTCCCTAGCTTCTGTGGCAGAGGATGAGCCACTGGAACCTGTTGGAAGAAATCAAGGATAATAATAAATGATTAAACACTGAGTTAACGTATTATGGTTATCGCAGAAGCATAGCTGCACAGCTTGACAAACATACCTTGTCTATCTCACTCTTTTGTGATTTTCTTTCTTTATAGAAATCAGGAAGTGGCCTGGCCTTGAAGCAAAGGGTTTGGCGAAATTTTCCAATCTCTATTTCTTCTTTCTCCTGCATAAACCATAGAGATTCATGTATTGAGCCAAGTTGTGGTGACCAAAATTAGTTTGATAAAGGTAGAGTGCATGGCTGTTTTCTGCCTAGGTCCATTAAGCTGCATTCTGTTTTTCATATCTTGGTTTGTACAAACAAAAATGGCAAAGGATTGAAGAAGCTTGGTAAGGAGAGAACAACCTTGAGTTTTCTTTGCACCTGCACCTTTTGTGCCTCATTAGCATTGAACTTTTCTTCAAGCTTCTGAAAACATGAGGTCCATAAGTACTTCAACCACATATATAACTATCTCATGAAACAGATTTGATCACAATTTAGGAACATGTATATAGAAGAGAAAAGGCAAACCCTTGCCTTCTTTCTACTTGCAGCTCTTTCCTCAGTTCTTAAGTTGAAAGGGGCAGATGAAAATGGGGACCGCGCCTTGTTTCTGCAGGCACTCAAAAACTTTGAACAACTGGCCAAATTGGGAAAGAAAAAGAAAAAGAAGACATAAGAGCTCAAAGTCCCTTTTAGAGAAATGGCGCTAGGTGGGACCCATAGTAAATCCATTAATTCAGATGTTTAATATTTGAGAATTCAAGTTGAGTTGCTCTGCATATTCTTCTGGAGTTATGATTGTGATTTTTATCAGTAATGTTTTAAATATGTGCTGGCTAAATTGTGAGCCTTTCATGATGCTACATGTGATTAAACAGGAAAAATGTCAAAAGATAAGGCAAATACTCTGTACGGAGTGAGCGCCATCTAGACAGAGGTGTTTTGGTTCCACTTGCTGAGGGATCAAGTGGTGTTTTTGCCCTGTGATTCATAAAATACACGAGCAGAAACAGAATCAGTCAAGATTCATTTATCGATTAATGAAAAAATAGAAAAAAGAATAAAGGTTGAAACTTCTTAGAAGATTGCTTGCTCTGTTTTATATGATCAGGTACCTTCTCTTTTCAGAACATGGGGTTTTTGTACAACGCTTGTGCACCTCATTCTTAGATACCTGCAGTTCCAAAGATGAACTCTTTAGCAGTAAGCACTGTTGGAAAAACTGCAAATCTTTGGAGACACTTTTAGAAAAAATTCGAAGAAATTGGGAGGCACACCGTAGTTGGAGTTCTTAGAGGAGTCATGCAATCTTTTGATGTCTTGGAAGAACTACCACCAACTCTTGAATTTTCAATCTTCCTGATGACTGTTGAAGTCAATCTGGAAAGTTCCCTGATGGGTGTGAAACTGACTGACTTGTGAAGTGATTTGGGAGTTGATCTTTTCTTGTCCCCCAATTCTGTTGCCGGCTTCTTTCGCAATGGGGTGAGAATATCATCCTTTCTGGAACAACTAGAAACTACGGGTTTGGCTGGAGAAGATGGGACCTTAGGTGCTTTATGATACGCTAATGATGATTTCGAGGAAGTAAAGAGTCTTGTTTTCTTCCTTTTTATGGGTGTCGAAGCTTCTTGATTTGAGCTGTAGCTCTGCTGAAACAAAAAAAGTGCTGGTCGATTAAGTCCACGGGTATGAAAAGGATAGAAACTATGGTTATAATTCAATTTTGTTACCTTTAACAGAGGTTTTTCACTCTGGGGTGTGCCACTGAGCTCCATACCATTTACCTCCGTGTCGTTAACAGCATTGTGCATTTGGCTTGAAAGTTCAGGCTCTGCAGAATTCTCCGCCAAAACTTGGGGTTCATGAGTTGCAGGGATATCAGCAACTTGCACCCTGCTGCTTGCAAGTTTGTCCATTTCAGTGTCTGAATACCCATTGGTATTACCAGTGAAAGCTTCTTCTTTTTTAGTTGGCTCTTCGACCACCTTTTCCTCTTCCTTTTCTACTTGTTCATTGACGACCACTTCAGAGGTTGGAACCACGGTCTTCAGATCTTGGCTTTCAGATTTGGGTTCAGGGGCATTGTCTGATGCTACAGCAGTAGCAGCATTAGCATTTGCTTGTTCAAGCAAGGCTGCAGCCCTTTGAGCAGCAACTTTCTTGTAATGTGCTTCAAAGAAAGCCTTTTTCTGGGCAACAGAGCCGGGGCGGGAGTATCTCTCTGCCTCTTCTACATAGCGGTTGTGAGAGAATGTGGACCATCTTTCCCAAGCTAACGACTCTGACGTGAACCTCCCAAATGATATTGAATGCCCGAGTGCATGAATTGGGTTCCCCTGTAACAGAAATTCGAAACCCAGATTTTAGAAACTACCCAGTAAGTGAAAAGTGAAGAAGAAAACATAGAATTTGTCCTTACAAATTACAGGAAACGCAAAACAGAGACAAATATCATGAACTAACCTCATGTGCTTCATTGGGAATGCCTGAAACATAGGAGAATGGTTGCATGAGGCACGTCGATTCTCCCATGGTTGTGGTTAATTTGATGTCGTGAGACCTACGAAAAATCCAAACTTGAAAACCCTTTATCCTCTGGTTTATGAATCAATTATCGATTTTATGATTACATCGTTATGGTGGTCGTCGTCCTCGTTGATTTCGAATTTGAAATTCAAACGAAAAGTGTCGTGGAAAAGTTGGCCTGCTGCTGGCCCCCCCCGCAGGCCGCATATAGAAACTAGAGATAGAGATGAGACTTCGGAGTGCAAAAGCCGAGTGACAAGTGGGGTCTCCTTAAAAAACGCCAATAACCATCTCCCGGACTTCGGACTTCGGCTCCAAATTTTAAAATCCAAATCCAATCCCTTTTCAGCCCTGTGGTATTTTTTTCGTAGGGCCCACGTGCGGAAACCAACGGTCTTCCTCCAACGTTCAAATTTTTGGCCAATTTGAATTTGGAGTGTCCTCCCCTCTCTCTCCTGTAGGTGTAGAGTCAGAATCTAGCAGCAGTACCAGTCTATCTTGCTCTTGTGGCTTGGCTACCTATGAAGTTGATAATTGGGATGCTAAACAAAGGGTAGGTTGGCATTAATTTTTTATTTTTTGAGTACAAATAATAGTTTAAATTACTCTAAAAGGAGGGAGATTCGAACTTAAATACAAGTAGGCAGACTCACTATCCTGACCAACTAGCCTAACACATATTACACCTTGACAATTTACAAGGAATATGCCATTGAATTGAATGTAGGGATAGAGAACCAGCATTTTTACAACATTACCAATACAAGTAATACACATTAAATATAACTTTTTATTAGAAGGTTGGCAAAATTGAAGAAATAAAACAGGTGCCCAACCAAGATTGTGGGTGGGTTTTGGATTGCATGGCCCTTAGAATTGGAATTTTCCCCAGCCCACAAGTGATAAAGATGAAGGTTGACTTGGATTTGGATGAAGACCGTAGAGGAACAAGTTCTTGACCAGGAGGGCCCAGCAAAATGTACAAGCAAGCAGTTTGATTTAAATATTTAGAAGATATAAAATACGGAAAGAAGACAAACTTCTGCCGTGGAAGCAAAAGCGTATATCAAAGTTCAAACTGTAAGCACGTATACGATTTGGTATGGAAAAGAACACAAATAGAATACAAAGTGATATCAAAATCAAAATTAATACACGACCACCTCTTTCTCTTCCTCTTTAATGATAATAACCCTAACTAGCATTTGGTAAAAGTGTTGACTTTCAGACAGGCACTTTGCTTGACTTGTCCTTTGGCAGTGAAACTTGGCCTGGCTTAGCAAATATAATGGTCCTCACTGTATTGTATACTCATGGCAAAGGCAAAAACTTGGTCTTCTCCATCTATCTTTTGATAAACTTCTTGAATTTTACCTCACAATAATAAAATGCAATGTCATAAAGGTACTTCACCTCCACGCAAATGCCTATCACGTCCATTAATATCCATGAATCCTGAACCAGAATTTCTTCTCTTAATTCTGTAACTTTTACCTCTTTTACCTTTCCCTCTACGGCCTGAAAACAGCACTGACGCAACCGTTAAGAAGCCCAAGCCACAGAACGCCCATAGAGCCACAACCCAGAACCTCACAGAACTAAACAACCCATCTGTCAAAGTAGGTTCTGAAATTTCCTGAGAATGATTCATTTCCGCATGGTTGCTTCCTACAACATGACTTGCATCCAACTTGCCAAATTTCCTTGACACTACAACTTCCTCTGCTGCATCGGAGTTTGAGTTGGACAAGGAATTGGGATCGGCGCAGTTCCTCCTCTCATGATGCAGGCGTAGTGCTTCATTTAGTGTCTTTATGCATTCTATGCTAAGCAGATCCGTCTGCAGTTTGTTCTTGTCTGTCTGATCAAGTGTTGAGGGGTCGGGTGGGTCTGGAAACTGGCCCCAGCACTTATTAACCACGTCAACATTCCTCCATTTTGCCTTATCAAAGCTCCAATTTCCAACCTTGTATTCCAAACCGTAGTGGAATACTCTGTATCTGATACCAGGTTGAGGAGCATATCCTGGATATATCAGTATCTCGCTGCTAATCTGATGCCTTAGTTTCAACTGCATGGAAAAACAAGGGGGAACAGAATCATCACCACAAATTTATTCTTGATTTTTAAAAAGATCAAAGGTGTTGCTCATGGAAACCTAAAGCATTTGTACACACTCCACAAAGCATGATCTTTTTACGTGAAATCCCATGGAAACCTAAAGCATACAAACTACAAGATAAAAAGGGACCACTTTTTTACACAGTAGAAACAATTTACCTCTGCCGCCCCGAATGAGTAACCATACATCTCACTAATCCAACCAGATTCATATATATCTCCAGTAATATTTGTGGCATAGTGAGCCGTGTCCGCCCGGACTTCCTCTGTTTTATGCAACCATAGTAAAGCAAACTTTCGTAGATCATCTATGTGCATGATGATAACGCCCCCAACCTTGTCACAGGCTTCAGGATGGCGAGTATGGAGGTTTGCGAGCTCATTGTCACAGCCAATAAGATAGCTAGAATACACAAATTAGGAAAAATAAGTCCTTGTATGGATTATGCAACTAGAAATGTGCACCCCTGAACACACACGCCAGAAATATAGCGATATATTCTGTCACACCCTGAATTACATTTTGGGTCCTGAGATACCAAAGATAAAAATTGAAAGCATCATATTGTCTTACTCATAGGGAGTTGAAACTGGTCGGCCACGTGCTGCTTTGAATTCCCATGGTGTAATTGGGCCTCTCAAGATCATATCAGCATCAAGAATCACTATGTACTCTGCATCAGTATTTGCATGATTAAGCCAATGAAGGACTGCAGCTGGTTTGTTAATTGCTGGATACCTGGTAGAAAGAACAAAAGATAGACCATTACTTGTTTCTTATGTATTGGAGATGGGGATTAGAATTCCCAATTTATGTTAACTCAGGCTCACAAAATTTTTGGAGGATTCATCAAGCCTTCCAACCCCACCCCCCAAAAAAAATCAAAGAAAAAAAGGCAATGATGACATTGACCTCAAATCACCACCAAGAAGAAACTAAAATAAGGAAAGGAGATATGAAGAAAATAGAATTACCAATCGCCCGTTAATGGATGTCGGCTCATGGAAGGGACATAATGGGTGGGAGCCAGATCATGGCCAGTATATTGCTTCAAATCTTCATCAGTACAGCTGAGCAATCGTGTGATATTTCCAGGTTGGCCACTCAGGTGAAAACTGTGGACAAGTCCTACAGTCTGCCAATCAAAGTAAGGGGTGCATTCTGTAGAAAAAAGGGTGTGGATTTTTGGATGTGGCTTCGTGGGCTCATCGACAACTTGCTGCTGTACTGCCTGTACTACATGTACTGCCTTCTCAAATTGTAAAGTAGCGGGAGTCAGCTGTTTTGGCCGAGTCAGTTCAGCAAAAGTTTTGCTTTTCAGAAAGCTCAAGTATTTTGACCACTTTGGCTTCGGGCAACCGTTTGCTGCATGTTGTAGTAAAAGACCCTCATTCAAAGTGTTAATGCACTCTAAATTCATAAGAAGAGCTCGCCTTTTATTTGGATCAGATTCCATCAGTTTTACCTGGACAAAGTAAGAATGTTAAATTTGAAGACCTTGAACATGATCTTCCATGTAAGAAATTTTGAGATTTCTAAGATAAAGACCTAAATATTCAGCCTAACAAACAAAAATAGACATTCCATTTCTGATCACATACCTCTTTTGGATACGGAGGTTCAGGAAAGAGTCGGCCACAGTCATAAACAATACCATCTTCATGGTGATCTAATTTACTAAAAGACCAATTACCTACACTAAATGGCAAGCCATAGTGAAAAAGAATAGGCACAACACCCTCTCGTGGAGTATAGCCTGGGTAGATCATTAAGTTATCATTTATTTTGTGCTGAAGACCAACCTGAAAAAAGAAATAAGGTATCCAATACAAATTAACTAAAAGAAAACACTATGCAAAGGAAGCTGAAATGGTAAAGTATTCAGAATTTGTGAAAGATCCGACATATATATTACTAAAGGAAGAAAAAAGAAGGTTTTAAGAAAAGTAAGAAAGAAACTTACCTCTGCTGCACCAAAAGAATATCCATACATCTCACTGATCCATCCTTTCCCGTAGATGTCACCAGTTATATTAGTTGTCCAGTGAGCTCTATCTTCGCGCACTTCTTCTGTTTTCGAAAGCCACATGGGTGCCAATGCTCGAAGATCATCCATATGCATGGCTAAAAGCCCACCAACCTTATCACAGAGGTCTGGGTGCTTTGTGTGCAGTTGAGACAGAATATTATCACATCCAACCAAGTACCTGAAGGAGAAATTCATTATAATCCAACCAAGTACCTGAAGGAGAAATTCATTATACCAATGTATGTTGATAGCCACAGTACTTATAAGGGCGAAAAAAGAGGAATATTGAATAATAAGTTCAAAATACATTTACTGCCCATAAAATCCTCAGAAGAACAGGTTCACAAAGATATTATGCAAATGCCAGAAAAGAGATCTCTGCAGTTCCGAAATTGACAAGGTCACGTTCTTCTCATGTCAGTGATGGATCAAGAACAAAGAAAACCTCACTTCAACCTCCAAAGCATGTCAAGTACAAACTCTACTTAACCACCCTTTTAATTCAAACTAATTTAGGTTGGCTACATTGACGACAATTATGAACTATTATTAGTGAACTCACAAGGCATTCGTAATGCTCTTGTATGGTAAAACCTGATTGCAGCTAATACATACCCTTACGAAGAACATCCTTTCCAAACAGATGCTTTAAAAATTTTATCATGGGAGAAGGCTTAGCTTTGATGTAGTATCAGTTAGATGAAAGGAAAAAAAGTGTTATCGTAATACCCGTAATATGCTGCAACAGGTTTGCCTTTCTCAGCACCAAGTTCCCAAGGAACGATTGGCCCCCGTATGATCATATCCGCATCCAGAATCACAACCCAATCAACATTCTCAGCTTCTTTACTGTGCTTAAGCCAGTGCACAACTCCAGCTGGTTTGTTAATAGCAGGGTACCTGAAAATTAAACAAAAAACATTTCAACCATTATTTTTTTCCCTTTTCTGCATCAAAGAAAATCCAATGCTGTCCACCTTAACCAAACCCATCAAATAGAAGGAATAATTAAGCAAGAATTGCAAAGCAACCCAGAATTCAAAACCCAATTTGAGACCAAATTAAGAAGAAAACCAATCAAAAATGAAAGAGGTGAGGAACAAAGCACACTCCAACCACTCACCAGTCACCAGTCTTGGGGTGCCTGCTCATGGAAGGCACCTCAAAAGTGGGAGCCAAATGCATCCCTTTGTACTTCTTCTTCTCGTCGTCCGTACAGCTGAGGAGTCGGGTAATAGGGCCCGGTTGCCCGGCCTTCTTGTAGCTGTGCATGAGACCCACAGTCTGCCAGTCGAAGTAGTCCTGGCACTCCACCGAGAACAGGGTATGGATCCTCCTCGGAGCCTCCTGACCCGCTTCCACCCCCCAACTACCATTCATGCACAGACCCATCAAGCCCACCGCCACCAAAACCAAGAATCCAGCCATTGTAGCTCAATTGGGGCTCAGATTTCAGATGGGTATTGGGTAAGAGATCTAAATTTCATGACTTTGACGGATGCACTCAAAAGTCAAAATCGGAGCTTTGGTGTTGTTTATGTCTTGGCCGGGAACACGTAACTGAAGTTGGTGCAACATGGGATTTTAATAATTGCTTATACACAGCATAGCTGGGTATATGGATTATTGAATTCAACGAAACTGATCAATTATTTGATGGTTGGTGCGTGTGATCGAATTATGTATTAGGAGGAAATACGAAATTTGTGTACAAGAAATGGACTTGTTCTTTCACAACCACACACGGACAAAACAAAAGCCTACTACTAGATTTTCCAGCTTCACTGCCTGCCTGATACATTGTTTTCTTTTTCTTTTTCTTTTTCGAAACGAGACGTCGTTTGTTTTAGTCGGGAGATTGGGACAACGATTATGACACAAGAACATAAACTCGGCTATTGCGTCACACTGAGTGAGCTAGTACTCAAATGCATGGTAGATGTGGTATCATATTCCATAATTAATGTTCAACATATTGCTCTGATTACCAAATAACAAAGTAGATATGGCTAGAGCAAATGTACTTTTCACTTTATACCCGAGTTCAAATCTTTCTCTCTATAGTTTAGATTATATTAAATTAGAATATAGCTTTTATAAAAATAAAATAAAAAAACTAAAACATATGTGAGTTAAGCAAGTTGATTATGATAACGAATCTGCCATCATTATTAATTTAGATTATTGTTTATATTTATATATAAAAAATCAACATTAGAAAATAGTTTATAAAGAAAAACACCAAAAATTGATTTGAGAGTTCATATTATTATGTTCTTATTCCTTAAAAAAAATAGTTCAATATTGTAATTGGGTTGGGCCTTGTTGAAAATGGCGACCCAGAGGCTGAGGTACAATGCTGTCCGCTGAGTTTTAAGTTGGGCTTGAGAAGAAAGTTGGGCTTCACACGTGGCAACTGTTGATTGGTGAGTGGGGCGTGGAGGCGGCAGTGGGGCTCCGTCTCTGAAGTCGCAGGAGCAGAGAGAGAAAGAGGAGCAGTGGAGATGCGAAATGGTGTGTAGCTTTGAGGGTTGACGCGGAGGCAGAAAATGAAGAAGAAGTGGTGTAAAATGAAATGGGTTGGTCTTCTGTTCCTGTGCTGCTTATCAGCGTCTCTGCAATTTTGTATTGTTTCTTCAACTTCATCTCCTCAGCCTCTGCTAACAAATCAGGTATCTTTATTAGTTTAAATTTTTCTTGCCTTTCTGTTGTTGGTTAAACAAGAACTCAGCAACCCAACCTGCATCTCTACCAATTCTTTAATGGGTAAATTTCATTGATTTGCATAGCTTTGCCAGAGCTTATCTCTTCAGAGAATTATTATGTTTATTTAATATGACCCTTTTCATTATTTTTTCTTAGGGTCATCAAGAATCTGCAACCTCAAGGTACTATATAGTTAAATGTTGAAACTTGAAACTATGTGGGCATGTATGATTAGGCTAGTCATTTTTATTACATTTCTCAGCGTTCTTTTGAGATGGGCAATTTGCTTATGGGAATTGATTTCGCCTTCATATGTCTCAAGATTATACACCTGCAAATCGTAGCACAAGTTGTTGCATGTCAGTGTTGCATATCATTGTGCTCTTCTTGAAATTTTAGAGCTGTGTCTATTACTAACACCAGAATTTGATGTATAGAACTTTGAAGCAAGAGCTGGAAGATCCACCTGAGGTGCATTGTTCTAGAGAAAGGAGTAGGGCAGCATGGAAAATAATTCAGGAGGTATGGAAGAAAATCGTACACAGACTCTTCTATTACTACATCTTTATAGCGGTTTCACTCATATCAATATCATTCTCTCTCTTATTTGGTGCAGTACTTGATGCCCTTTGTAGAGAAAGAGCGGTATCAGATTCCAAGAACATGCAAGCTACATCCCAGCAATGACCTGTACAGAGATCAGGAAGAGCACAAAAGCCTTGTAGAATTAAACGATTGGCAATGTGGATATTGTAAGAAAAGATTTTATGATGAGAAATTTCTTGATAAGCATTTTGACAACAGGCACTACAATTTGCTGAATGTGGTAAGTGCCCTTTCATTTATGTTCTTATTTTCTTTTCCTAGCAGTGATGCTTATTTCAGCAACTGACAAGGGACAAATAGTTGTATTAGGAAGTCATTTTTTTGTTTCATGGTATTAACTACGTTAGCTTGCATTGACTGGGAAACAAGGGAAAGAGCATGGCCATAGGCTACACTGAATGTATCTTAGGTTCATTACTCCATTGGTCCAAAAGATAAAATCGTTGGTCAAAGTCTAAACATATTTCACCTGATGCTTCAACCTGTACAATTGAGCTCATTTCCTAACCTTCTTGTATTAAGCTAATTTTCTACCATTTTTGGTTCATTTGATCTCCACTTGAACTTTGGCAATTATGGCTTTTCCGTTTGTTTAGCCTCAATAGGGCATTTCTAATTGACTCATGGCATACCTCTGCTGAATCAGAGTCATAGCAGGTGCTTGGCAAATGTTTGTGGTGCATTGCATTGTGACCTCGCGATGGATTCTGTACCACACAAAAAGACTAAGTGCAATCCTGCTGCTGCTGCGCGGAACAAACATCTGTGTGAGGTCACATCTGAATGATGTCTTGTATATTTAAATTGCAGCATTCTTTTTATTCATAAATTGCCCATGATGTGCAGGGTCTAGCTGATAGTTGTTTTCCAGTCAGTAATGGTCCTTCAGCAAGCCGTCTTCATGGTAATTTTATATATTTCTTTATGATAACTACAAAATATGTACAAGTTATCTAAGTTTATCGGCGTATGATATAGCTTTCTTAATGATTAATATGGCAGAGTTCTTCTTGCGTCAATTCTGTGATGCCCACACTTGCACTGGAGGTCGAAAACCTTTCTCTCAAGGCCGCAGGAAGGTAAAGTTCACCATCACCTGTCCTTGGGCTGTTTATATGCTTACATAATCCCATTCTAATCTATTATTCCATAAAACCAAAACCTATTCAGGTGTTTTTTCGGTTATGAACTTATACTTCTCTTCATTGATTGTCTCCTTTATGTGACAAATGTGCAGAAGAGGAGTAGCATATCCTACCTTGTTATTTCCATTCTAACTATGCTGCTGCTGCTGCTTTTCTATTCGTACATTTACATGTATAGAAGGTATCTACATTAAACTTCCTCATTTGCCCAATTTTGGCGACTTTTCTGTAGATTTCACAATATTAATTTATGTGACAGTGGGGTGAAAAGGGGAACTCAAGAACTGAAGCGTCTCACACAAAGTGGAAGGAAGAAAAAGCCCATTTAGTTACGAGTTTTTTTTTAATAGAAAAGCAACATAGGCAGAGAAAGAGAGAGTATGCATTCCATCAGTCACAAAAGGAAAAAGCTGTGTTGTCCCATTCTTTTTGTAATTTGAATTTTGACCATTATTCCGGTGTAGAGGAAGAACAAATATTATTTGTTTGGAATGTGAATGACAAAAATTTGTGAATTAATGAAGATTTAGTCAAACACCTTGTTGTGAAGCTGCTGTGTGCATGTTTTCCTTTCTGCGATTACCTTTTAAATAGCTAAGTTCAGAACTACATCATTACGCCCTTATTATTACTGTTCATTCCGCATAAAAGTTTTCTAGACATTGGTCTTACCAGCTACAATTTATGATAGAAAGCTCATTTAAAAGAACTAAAGAAAATATATGTGGAATTGGAAATATTGAAGTATTGACATTGATCTTCTTTTTTTTTTTTTTTTTTTTTTTTTTTTTTTTTTTTTTTTTTTTTCTGTGGGGGGGGGGTGTGGTTGTTGGGTATGGCTGTAATTATAAATCGTTTAGTATAAGCCATGATTAATACTTTCCAGATTAAAAGAAAAAAATTCAATCAGCACAAGGATTGATGTATAGCCGGCCAACTGGTTTACATGTACATTACAGTCGCAAGAATAGATAGCTTATGGTGCAAACAAACAACAAATGGCAAAGATGTTGAATTTGGCTCCATAAGCTTTTGGTCTAAGAAATGAAGTTGAAAACTAAAGTGTGCCACATATTATCCTGCCATGCTCCTGTTGCAGATGACGGACGGTCAAGTGCAATGGAGCAATGCCTGAATCATTCATTTTCTTCTAGGCGGATCCCGCTTGAGTCCATACTTGTTGAGTGTTTTGATGTAATTTCTCATGAGGCTGAATTTGTTGCTGCCCAGATGATATAAGTAATCCCATGAATAGATGCCGGTGTTATGCAAGTCATCGAAGACAATCCTGAAACATCCACTCCACACAGTCCACAATCACAACATTGACACTTCGGAAAAACAAATTTTTTGTAATGGTGATTACAATTCAGAGTTTCATAGTACCTTACCCCATAGTTTCCTACAGGTTCTGCAGACATAATCCCAACGTGACGCCGCCCAGATATCACCTGTGTCGATTGATAGATGAGTGGAAACCAAGTTTCTGAAAATATTTGTGGAAAAAGAGAACAGAACGCAGAAGTGTGAAGACACATTCAATTGAAGATGAATGGTCAATAAACCATATGGAGCTGCTAAAAATACACAGAAAACATCTTGCTTTTGTAAATATAAAGATTTGACAAAGTGATCACAACACTTTTCACATTCTATTTCCTTTCTCAACGTTTATGATAACAAGGGTCTTTTCATCTCATACATAACCTTGGATTGCCTTCTCTACATTCAAAATTATTCCAACAACTATTTCATAACCAAGTGAAAAATGATATTTTATATATATATATATATATATATACATGTATTTATAAAATAACAAAAAGATTGGGAATTTACCTTTTCACCAGCAATTGACCTAACCTTGGCATCAACAGCTGGACTGTGTATTCTTAAGAATTCAGCTGACAAATTGAACACACTACCATTTCCAAACTCCACCTCTACCTGAAATAAACCACAGATTCGAAAAAGAAAACACTGCTTTCAAAACATCAACAATATCAAGCCTGCCTGACTAGAGCTAGAGCTAGAGCTAGATACGTATAGTTCAAACCCAACTAAGAAAATCACAACAGAGCCTGGAGCTCAAAGCTTAAAAAGCTTACACATCTAGGCGCATGGAGAGACAATCTGGTGAGCCTTGGAGCATTCACGGTAGCGTGGAACCTCCGGATCGCTCTCTGTATCGCTGACATGCTCCTCTTCCTTCTGAATTGATCCTGATCTGGTGTGTGCTGTTCCTCCGGTTTGCTCCCTCTCACGCCCAAGCTCTCTCTGTCTGGGCCTAACAGCGTTATGGGCTGCTTGGGCCATGATACATTGGTAATAGATTTTTTTAAAATTGGTCTTTTCCATTTTTCTTTTGGTCAGAAAACAAAAAATAGACCAAGTTTTTTAAAATCTATTACCAATGTATCATAGGCCAAGCTAACAAAGGACCTATTAGTATAGTGATTTGGAGCAAATGTTCTCTCAAAAAATGTTCTGGATTCGAGTCATAGCATCCGTGTAGTGTGTGAGTTTAGTATGTCTATCGCCCCTCTTAATAAGAAAGGTCTTCAAAAAATAAAATTTGTTAGATCAACTGACTATGCCAATGAACTTACTCCTTAGCATCCAAGTTCAAGACCCTTTCTCTGTTAATTGTTAATTAGATTCCAAGGAATCCTAAAGGGGTTTTTGAAAAAAGAATCATACAAGTGCCAAACATTTAGTTACAAACTTAGCTTTATTCTTTTTTAATCTAGTGGAGTTAAGGGAATTTTTTTTTTCTTTAGAGAGAGAGAGGGAGAGAGAGAATTAACTATTTAAGAAACAAAAAGACACCACCTAGCTAGATGGGAAAACACACCTAAGCCAGAAACAAGGATAAATAACTTGATCAGCCGCTACCCAACATACATATATTATAGAGAGAATTGGTGACGATGATATATAAATATATAGAAGCATGACGCACACCATTTACCTGGACCATCATCTTATAATCAAGACCCCTAACAACCAACTTTATGCTAATTTATATGGTCAACCAAGAAACTCAACTAGCATTTTCCCCAACTTTCTAGTACTAAACTACTTGTGAGTTGAGTATACACTTATTCGCCAATAGTGCTAGAGTCACAAATTCGTATCCTTTCACTGATGCGATGCGACAGAATTTCGTTTATTTATATTCGGGTTTATTTTAAACTACATTTATTTTATTTATAATCAATAAACAACTGTTATATTACGTGTCGCCTTAATATAACTTGAACAAACTTGAGTGATGAACGCCGGATAGCAAGGTGGTGAGAAAATATTCTTTTGTTGGAAGGTAAAGACTTACAGTGATCGTGGGATTCCATGTTGGATCCATTGTGCAATTTGTTTTGGCATGATGCATGCACGTAATTAAGCAAAAGTACCATAAAGCCTGCCTATATCTAGCTTAGCTTGAGAGCTACTCCACTTAATTTTCAGTGCTTAGCACGACCTTAACCAATTACCTTGCTCCACATTCATATATATATTTATTTAATCCTCCGTACAATTAGTCCAATCCAAATTTACCCATCAAGATGAAAAAGGGACTCAATCTCAGTAGATATTCATAATAACCAAACACTTTTTAAGGTTTGTTTTGCAAAAACACAAACGATGTAAAACTTTGGAAACACTTTGAAAGTTGAGTGAAAGAATTGGAGAGATTACAAATGATAAACACGCATGATTAAATTAACATCAGATGACACTTTGAAAGATTGAACACAAGACAAGACAAGAATTAGTGAAAGAAGAGGAAGGCCTGCAACTTAATTTCATATTTGAATGCAACAGTAGTAGTCAATCAAAATCAAAATCATCATCTCGTCTGATTTAACTCGAAGGCACTTAATAATTTTCAATGAATGGAACTTTTCAAAAGAAGAAAAGGTCTTGTTCCAGATTATTGAAGCCATCCCATGAGAGCATTGAATCCACACTGTCCATCCATTTCTGTAGAGAGTGTTCTTGAATTGATTCGCCTATCGAAATCGAAGGGTTGTTAGACTCTTCCACAGAGAATGAAGAAGTGCTATATGAATTTGAAGTGCTGGTGTTGTTGGTATTGGTTCCTTGGTTCAACAGGAATGTTCCCAAATCCAAGCTTCCACAAAACATTTCGTAATTTTTCAAAAGATCGTTCGTCTCATCGAAACCTGCTAACTCTGGTACATTTTGCAATTTGTCATTGAATTCTGGAAACCCTTTATTGCCATTACCATCCTGCTGTAGCTTAGCCTCCAAGCCACTGTCTTGTGACTCTTCTTGTCCTTGTGATGTTGATGAACTTGAATCTTCTCGAGTAATTGTCTGTTTATTTTCTTCAGTGTTTTCTTTCTGCTCAATGGGTTTGTGGGTCAAAGGGTCTACATCAAGGTGCTTTAACCTCTTCTTGATTCTGGTATTCCAATGGTTCTTGATTTCATTATCTGTGCGACCAGGAAAATGGGAAGCAATCTTAGACCACCTGCACAACCAATTTAAGAACCAGCTCTACCAGTTAGCTTGACATGACATTTGTTTATCTATCTTGGTTGGTTAGTTTAAAAAAACAAGACAAATTGTACCTGTTGCCAAGACATGAATGGAGTTGAATGATTTGATTCTCTTCTGTTTCTGTAAAAGCACCTCTTTTGAGGTCTGGCCTTAAATAATTGATCCATCTTAATCTGCAGCTTTTCCCACATCTAAGCAATCCTGCATATAACCATACAAACAGAGGTTGGACTTTGAGAGACAGAGAGAGATGTAAGGGGGAAGAAGCGTGATCAAGATCAAAATGTCGAAACGGTACCTGCAAGCTTAGGAACCATTCGCCAGCAATGGATACCATTGTTGAGAATGAAGTTCATGAGTTTGTGATCTTCCTCAATTGTCCATGGACCTCGTTTCAATCCGACCTTGTCACAACAAGGTTGTCTTCCCATTTTTGGCAAACTCTGCCTCAGCAACAACAACAACAAAAAAGGTGAGAAAGCTACCTTAGCCCTTAATTCCTAAGTGGACAATAAAGTTGGAGGGCTAGCTTAAAAAGGAACTTATAATCCAAGCAAAGATGCTGCCAGTTCATTCAGGCATTATAAAATGAGAATGTTGTTTGAGAGGGGAGATAAATGATTGAATGGAAAAGCAGTCAGTGTATAGATATAAAAGCATGGAAGGTTGCCATTATAATAAAAATGGCACCACCCCAAATGGAGCCAATGGAACAAGTCCTCTTTCTCTTTGTGAGATAAATTTTTACAGAGGAAAAGGAAAACCAGACGTGGGTCGCCTTCATTGAAATATGTTTGTTTTTTGGCAAGCTTAGCCTCTCTCGTTGGCTTTTAATCTATGTAAGCCAAAAAAATATTGAATTTGAAAGGTTCCTTGTTCCCTGAGTCTGCCCACTTTTGTCGTTAAAAACAACTCCTTTTGAGTCTTTTAGAGAGAGAAAGAGAGATGCTTTCGCCATTATATGAAAGTTCCCTCAAATTCCAAACATGGATTCACTTGAGAGTTAACTTCTCAGTCACTTGATTAACATCAAAGTTTCAACCTTTTACATGTTTTTATCTGTACGGCTAAACGAAGGGTAAATTCAGCTGCATTACTGAATTACCCAAATTGTCAAATTGCCCTGTCTATAAAAATAAAAAAAATAAAAAAATAAAAACCATGAATTGGACCCATGCAAGAATTAGCATTGTTTAGCAAGCAAAATCATGCATGGATGGGTGCAGCTATGTGAGTTTAAATCCACAGTGCTTTGCATGCTGCAAATCACTAATTAGCTTCTGAGGAATGATACCTCTTTTCTTTTCTTTTTTCCTTTTTTTCTGGAGAAGCATTGATACTAGCAAATTATAAGTATAAAAAAGGAAGAAAAAAAAGAGAGAACAAATTGAGAAAAAGTAGGAAAAACACAATGGGGTAAGCAGCAATCTACATGATGTCTGATAAGGGAGACAGCGGGGTCACTTGTGTTATATGATTTGAGTACAGAGAGGGTAACAGAGCCTACCAATATGATGTCCTCTGTGGTGCTTATACACAGTCTCTCTCTCTCTCTCTCTCTCTCTCTCTCTCTCTTAAGGCCGGCATTTGACTTAGAAGATGTCTCCGTACATGCAAAAGTATGAACTTACAACAATATAATGCTGCGATTGAATTGATTAAAAGTGGAATAATTCAACTTCCAGTTGACATCCATACAATCCCTTAGCATATAAAATAATTAAGTAGGGTGTTTAATTGGGTTCATGCACAAGAATATTCCCCATGATCTTTTTGGGATGCAGAGTCATCAGAAACACAAACATCTGGGGCCAACGTCGGCGTTGTGGAAAACATTATCTTCAGTCCTTGATGTTCCAAAGATGACCCTTCTTGATTGTCGAAGATTATATTGCTTCTAAATTGCCAAATAATACCAGGGCTGGCTGCTTACCCCCAAAAAGAAAAAGAAAAGAAAAGAAAAGAGCCCAGATTCGCATACTTTATTTGAAATTGAATGCTGGTACACAACATGGTTATCATGTTTGGAAGGCCCTAGGCTTTAGAGAGGTAGATGCAAATTTGAACCTCCCCAATTGTCACCTCCCAAAACCCTAAACATGATTTGAATTGTATGCTTCATCTCACCACAACCATGTGCTCATATTGTGGATATTACTTGCTCCCTTCTCTGAAAGGAAATACTTATAAAAAACACAGACAAAAAAGCTTATACACGCATATCAAACTGTTATTGACACGAATATATGAGTTTTTACCTACATGCTACAGCAGAAAGGGGCAAACATTTTCCTCATGTTATATATGTGTGACTTCCTCCCTCCATAGATCATTTTTATTATTTTTTGGGTTTTGTGTAAGAAATTTAAATAGAGAGGTTGGATGGACCAATCGCAATCCATGACATCATTGTTGGTAAAACAAGTCAAGAACAAAGATCTAGTAGCTGGTGACAAAACTGACGTCCGGTTGGAAAGCATCATATAGTAACAACCAGCCACACTACATAGCTCTCTGCCTCAGCAAGAAAGTTGTGCATAATCTTAGAAGAAATGTAGCGTTAAGCTGTCACTAACACATACCAAGTCGGCTGATCAACAACAAAAAGAAAAAAACAGTTTTAAACTTTGATGCTTTCGAGTTTTGATTCAGACAGAAAGATGAAAACAAGTTTTATGTTTTAATTAGTAAGTAAACTAGAGATTTAATTAACCAATGGTCCAGTTGGGGTGATGGGATTAATGTTGGTGGGGAAGACTAAATAGGTATCTTTGAATCCCGAGATGGGAAGATAAGAATTAAGAATGACGAATAATTGTCGTGTATACAAACAAATACAACCAAGCTCTAAGATGATACTTGTTTTGTTTGTACAGAAAATGCACCCGCAAGCAGACAAAATAATCACCCAAGACAACTACGTATGCATAATCATGAGTTTGGTCTCTTGAGGCTTTAGCATCTCTAGGTACAACTAACGTCGCTCTCACCATTTTTTTTGTCTCAGTCACCACCACTCGTGCAACATCCTTAGTTTTTACAATGGCTGTCAAATACCAAAGACTATTCAGCGTCCCCATCACACCATTACTGAATGTTACGAATTTATATGTTGTAATACGGGTGGACGATCAATGTATATTTTAGGATGTAATAATACTAAATAAAACCCATGTTGTGATATGAGTCTATTTGTTAAATCACCTATCTCCTTCGGCTTGAACCTTTTTGTTAGGCTATCTCCTTAATAGGCCCTCTTGTCTTGGGTTCTGAATTTGAGAAAACCAACGCCCAAGTAGTAGTAGCTTGCCCACCCAGCAAACTTTGGGTTGGGCCAAAATTAGGTCAAGTTAGCCTTCCCAATTTGCATGAAAACAAACACGACGTCGTATGGTCGTATTAATGGTGATCCGCCCCAAACTTCAAGTGTGCGCCACCTGTATTGATAAACTTCTATCTGTACAGTGATTTAGAATGACATGTACACGTGCTATGTTAGAGAATATGAACCTTCCCTTTTTCTTTTTTCTTCTTTTTTTCTTTTCCTTTCTGTTTTTATTTTCTTATGCTACAGCCGATCCCTTGTTCCCCGCAATACTCACAACCGCAGCTCTACGTGACGTGCAAAGTGGAGAGAACAAAAGGTCTTCTTTAGTGGATCCCATCCCACACACACTCCCATAATAAATCATTGACATAATTCTTCTTTTAGGAGCGAAGGTCTACATTAAGGTCCCATCGGCTCCACGCTTGTTGTTCCACCCTCAATGCAGTAACACTTGTTTGTGAAAATTCTTATACAAGTCATATGGTTCGACCGCCTCATTCAAGATAATTTTTATAGCGAGTTTCTGAGGGAGGATGAGACAAATCATCATGAAAATTCTAAATCTTAAAATGAATTAGCATAAAATTATATTTCTTTTTAGTCAAACTTCATAAAGGAATTCTATCAACAAAAAAAACTTTATAAAGGAAATAAGGATGAAGAATCGCAGAGAGATTCCCTTTCCATTATCCATACAAAGACAGATAGGAACCCCAAACAAATGAGATAGATGTTAACGGCCGCAAATTAACCAACTTCTCAACGGGCGCAGCCAACGTCTAGTATTTTCTCTCTCCCATCAAAGCCGTATCACCCCCCATTTCCACTCCCTCCTCTCTATCCCTCCATCTTTTTCTTCTTTATCCCACTCTCTCTCTCTCTCTCTACAAGCAGGCAACCGAAAGAAAGAAAAAAAAACAATTACCCATTCACAACTCACACACAGTTAAGATTAAGCAATATAGTAATTACCGTATGAATGAAAAGACACGAGTGTTTGATAGCTGTTTCTTGGGTTTGCTTCTGTCTGGCTTCCATAGCCGCGGGCCCAAACCATGAAGGGACCCAAGGGTGTTGGTCGTAAGAGGAGATCATCACCCCGCGACGTCGTTTCTTGGAGCACGCTCTTCTGGTGCACCCTCTTCGTCGTCATCAACTGCGCCCTCTTCTCCGGCTTCAGCTTCTACGCTTTCCGCTTCCTCTTCGGAAGTAGGTTTTTAATTACTCTTTTTTATCATCATTAATTTCTACATGTTTTCCATTTTAATTAATGAATGAATGATTTATTCTTATTACTACAGAAACGTTTCAACCAGTCCTGGTGCTAACATGGCTAGCTCCATCCAACAAACCCATCTCCCCCACCACCATTTCAGTTCGAGAAGTCGTTATGTTTCCAGATCAGGCGCTCGTTTTCCTAAATAATTACCCTCGTATCGCTCATGTATTTACCAAAGACGATCTCCACTGCGTTTACTTCTCAGCCAACGACTCGTCGCGGTCCCAGCCTCGCTTCAATCAGCCTCCCATCAACATAGATGGCGGGGATTTTCATAATCAGATCGTCCGGTGCCCGCGCCCGCCGCGTAGCCTCACCGTTTCGGTAGGCTTGAAACACAACCACGACGTTCCGGCGGTGCCCTCGTACAGCTGGGACTGGCTCGCCTACGACGCCCTCGTCGACCGCGACAACACCACCATCGTGTTCGTCAAAGGTCTCAACCTTCGGCGCGAAAGAATTTCCAACACAGCAAAATTCGAGTGCGTCTACGGCTGGGATTTCAGAACGACGAGGTATCTATTGAGATCCGACGTCGTATCGATCGCCCAGGAGATCGTACGGTGCAAAACCCCACTGAGTGTGCTGAGTTTCCCGCGTGGGCCCAACAATACCGTGAAGGTCTCCGTCAGAGTGAAAGGCGTCGGAGCAAAGGGAATACTAGACACCATAGCCCGCCCCGCGATCCGACCCGGACTAGCCAACCCGACCCATTGGAAGGAGCACGAAATGTGCTTGTGCTCGATGGTGCGGAATCAGGGTCGGTTCTTGAAGGAGTGGGTCATGTACCACGCCCAAATGGGGGTGCAGCGTTGGTTCCTGTACGACAACAATAGCGACGACGACACTGATGTCGTAATTGAGTGGCTACGGAGAGCGAATTACAATGTGACGAGACACGTGTGGCCTTGGATCAAGACCCAGGAGGCCGGGTTCGCCCATTGCGCGTTGCGGGCCCGGGAGACGTGCCAATGGGTTGGGTTCATAGACGTGGACGAGTTCTTCCATTTGCCTTCGGGCCTAGTGCTGCACGATGTGCTGCGCAATCAGTCCAATTATGACTATGTCGGCGAGATCCGGGCCTGGTGCTACAGTTTTGGGCCTTCGGGCCTCAGACGAGTTCCTGTTCAAGGCGTCACGGTGGGGTACACGTGTCGGTTGGCCGCCCCCGAGAGGCACAAGAGTATTGTTAGGCCCGAGGCATTGAACTCAACATTGATCAATGTGGTGCACCATTTTCATCTTAGGAATGGGTACGAGCCTGTGAATGTGGATAGGGGAGTGTTGGTTATAAATCACTACAAGTACCAAGTGTGGGAGGTGTTTAAGGAGAAATTTTATAGGAGAGTGGCAACTTACGTGGCAGATTGGCGGGAGGAACAAAATGTGGGGTCCAGGGATCGGGCCCCAGGATTGGGGACGAGAGCGGTGGAGCCATGGGATTGGTCACATAGATTTTGTGAGGTTGGGGACACTGGGCTTAGAGATCGGGTGCTGCAGAGTTTTGTTGATCCGCAGAGCCGTCTATTGCCATGGCAAGAGGAGGATGGTGATCGAGTGGTACAAGTGCAACAACAGCAAAAGGTTATTAAGAGAAGTGTGATGATGATGAGAAAGATAAGAGCAAGGAGAAAGCATAGAGTTTTCTTATGAGTTTAGTTAGAGAAATGGCGGTAATTACTTAGGTGGGTTAGTTTGTTTGTCCATTTATTACTTTGTACATAGGATTAATCACACGATGGCCATATTGTATCTTGACATATATTCTTTTTCTTTCTTTGTTTTTTTGAAAATATTGCTGACTATATTCTTGTGTTCATTCACCAATGTACACATTAAATTTTGACCCTAAAAAAAATGTACACGTAAAATTCGTACACATTAAATTTTGTCTGTCTTCAATTTCCTGAAAAATGACTCCTGATTTGGTTTTGCCTTCTTTATTAGACAGTTGACTTGTATCAATTTGGTTAGAATTTTATCCTGAATCATAGCCGTTGGAAATTCAAAAACAACATATGATTCAAAAAATTTGACCGTTAGCACAAAACCCATCCCATCTCTCTACACGTCATTTTCCTTCTGTCTTCTCTCTCCTACGCTTTTCTTCTCCGCAAAAGACGAACATTCCCCTTTCATTCTGTTCCGCCCAAAAAACAACCAAAGATGGCGAGGCGAGAAGAAGAGACGAAACAGAGTCCAAGAGACCCAAAAGTCCGAGCGAGAGAGTCGTCGGAGCCGGTTAAAGTTGTGAGCAATGGTACAAGCGGAGACTCTAGCATGTTCAGCCCCAGATTCAAATCCGTGGCTGCCATGGCCGGTTGGGACGAAGAGAGTCTTCTAATCGCAAGCCTCGTGGTCGATGATACGCCAGAGAGACAAGTTAAATACAAGAAGCGTTCTGATCTGCACTTCAAGACCCCACCAACCAATTCATCAAGAAGGTATCTTCCAATCTTCTTGAAATGTTTTTTTTTTTCCTCTTTAAATTGATAATCTTTTTTAGTTTCTTGTTTTGTACAAGATTTAATTTTTATTTGTTTCAGAAAGCGCCGAGCTCAGAGAAGGAGCCCAATTTCAATGCCTGTTTCTGTTCTCAACCTTGATGATGACGAAGAAACTAAAAAAGATGGTGCGGAAAGCCTGCACCTTTCGTTCGGAAATTTCCTTCTTTATTTATTTTTCTGAAATTTTGTATGACCCTCCTTTCATTCTCATGTGGGTATATTTGTTGTTCACAGAGAGTGGAAAAGAGAAGGAAGAACCGCAAATTATTGTGAACAAAGAAAAGGAAACAAGAGATGACAAAATGGCTGAGAGCTCTGGTGTTTCTTGCCCACCAAGTTCAAATCTTCCTTGCTTGGATAAGCTTAGGGATGAGCTTTCTTGCGCTGTAAGACCCTTCTGATCTGCATCTCGTTCGCAATTTTGATATTGGTGTATTCAAAAGCAAAAGGGTTTTCGTTATTTTTTCTAACAAAATGTGTATCATGTACTCCGCAGATCTGCTTGGAGATTTGCTTTGAACCCAGTACTACTCTCTGTGGACACAGGTATTAATTTCAAAATCAATTAAGCATAGCCTAAAGTTTGCGTTTATTGGATCTTATTGCGATTTGAATCATATGTCCATCGACTTTGAATTTCTTATTGGTACTTGAACACACTTTATAAGAAATTATTTCACCTTCTTTTAGTAAAAAACAAGGATCACTTTGTTTTGATCACTAGAACTGTTTGATTGTAGTTTCTGTAAGAAATGCTTGCGGTCTGCTGCTGACAAATGTGGGAAGAGGTGCCCTAAGTGCAGGCAGCTAATGAGGTATGTTTCATCCATAATCCCAAGCTATAATGTTAAAAAATGGGGGTTGACATTAGTGCAATGCACTTTTGGGTTTATCTCTATCTTTTTTAAACATTTGCAGCCATAGTAGATCCTGCACAGTCAACACGGTTCTTTGGAACACAATACAGCTTCTGTTTCCACAAGAAGTTGAAGCAAGGAAAGCTGCTGGAGCCTTAAATAGTAGTGGAGAAGCTGTGCGTCAAATCCCTGAGAAGGCGTTTTATAATACGAGGAGTGTTCAAAGTAGAAGGGCATCATCAGGGGTACCAAGCAACAGAGAAATGACCATGAGGAGAAGAAGGGTAATATTAAGCCAAGATGAAGAGGATGATGATGCTGCACTAGCAATAAGGTTAGTACAGAACACAGAAGCTGAGCATCAAAACCCAGAACAAGGTGCTTATAATAATCATAGAAGTATTCGGCCTCTAAGGACATCAAGTAGTAGAAGGATCCCAAGCCAAGATGGGGATGCTGCATTAGCTCTAAGGTTACAGAGAGAGGAGTTTATGGAGGTTTTTAGGGTGGATCATGGTCAATCTGGCAGCTCTCTTTCCTTGGCTCGAGCAAACCTGAGAGCCATGACATCTAGAGCCGCTAGCCACCGTGCTACAACCCGACATTTGTAGTCTATTTACTCATCCATTGTTTTTGTTTTTGTTGTTTCTTCTTTGGTTGAAAATTGTGTTCATTCAATATATTGGTTGAATAATGTTTTCATACAATATACAGGGTGCTTTTCTCAGTTTTTTCAACTTCGTTTTTCATGAACAGAAAGAAACGGACTGAAAAAGAGCCAGAAACCTTGGTATGGAAGACAAGAATTAAAAGGCATAATATTTTATATTAAAGCATACCGAGGCTGATTGAAAGTTGAGGGGCAATTCAGCCTCAACTCATCAAAAATATCCATTAGGAAGAGCTTTTTCCGTGGAAGGTTTTTTAGTTAGGTTATTTTCAAGGTTACAGACATCGACTTTTGGTCACAGACATCCGACTTTTGGTTGAAATATTCGATAATCCATTTTTCGACAAATAAATTCTTTTGAACATAATAATTCATGGCCAACTAATTAATCAAATACAACAAAAACTTTTGAACGTTGATTTCCCAATCTGTGTTTCTTCCATGAACACGCTACACTAATATCCAAGAGTAAGGCAAACTAGTCTCTCTCATTAGACTTCCAAACAGGAGCCTCAAAAACGTCTCAATCATGTAAGGGAAGCAAACAAACAAAAAAAAACCACCCCGACCTATAAAAAAAGGGGGGTGCCATCTTATAAATGTCACAACACAATCTTCATTTCATATTGCATGTTACACCACCGAACAGGGTTGCTTGCTTGCGTGTGACGGTTCTGATTGCAAAACTGTGGTTACTGGAGTCATGTACACAGCACATCCCACCCTCGTAGACAACTTGCATACATTCATGACCTGTATTTGTACAAGGGGCCTTACAGAAGACTTGGACACTTGGTAAATGTATGTGTTTCTGGCGAAGTCAATGCCTGTGAGAGTGCTTTCGGCTACCAAAATGGGCCTCTCCCTTTTCTCTGTTCCATCTTTGTAAGATCATCAAGGCAAAGGAAGTAAAGCCTATAGCAGTCATAGCATAAAATACTCTAAATGGAGCCAAGGCCAGGGAAGAGAGATAAGAATAGTATCCAGCTACCAGGTACATAAAGTTCAATCTCACTTCAAGATTTCGGACGCCAGGTAAAGAAACTAAGAAGGAATTGAACTCGGGCCTTGAAGTGAAGATACCATGAAGAATCACACCTGTGCAAAGAGCTGAATCCACGAGCCATGGAAAGCTATGACCCATCCCTATTCTCTGCAACCAGAAAGTATGTCCTTTTGTAAGTTTATAATGGAAATTTTTATTATAAAAAAGATAAAATTTCTAGAGAGACCAGAAAGATAATTGATATAATTACTGTACCTGAAACCAAGCAACTAGTGATGGGACAAACATGAGCGCTGCAGCAAGATGCAAAATAAACAACCCATGCCGATGATGGAATATCTCTAATTGTGCTTCACCAAAACTTTTCGAAGAGTCTGGACTATTGGAGCAGCAATCTCCATCACTTTTGAAGGGAAGGTGGCGAGAACCATCATTGCCTTCTTTTTTACAATCAAATAATTCATGTCTTTGTGCATGGCTGCGAAATGAAGCTGTCAAAAAACTGTTACACAGACATAAAGCAACTCTTAGGATCATTTTTATCACACATACCCTGAAGGTAATACAACGCATGAAGCTTTACATATTATCAATCAACACAAGCATATAAGAAAAAAAAAAAAAAAAAAAAAAAAAAACTACATGCAATAAAAGGACAGCAAGTGCATGGCTTTGTGCACCATTCCCGTCAAAGTCCAACAGAATCGAAGTGATGACATACCTGCAAAGTGCACTGTGACAGCACAAAGCATCCAAGGACAAGATTATAAATAGACCAAACGCTGCATGAACCAAGCACACCAGAGTAATTGCAGCAAGTGCTGTAACAAGTAGTGGATTGGCTCTTACAACTCGTAACACCTGTTCATGAAAGAATCAAGTGATAGTGAATGGGTTAACTTGTCAACCTTTTCCCAGAGGACATGAAGGAAATAAAGATACTCGAGCAACTAACAATTACATTTATACCACAGGATAAAGTTTACCTTCAATGAAAAGAAACTAGAGGAAAGATTAATAAACCGGTTAGCACTTTTTTCCCACAATTGAAACCTGCAACATAATAGTTCCTGTCATTCAGCACATTAACCAGTGAACATGTACATACATGTATACATAAATATACGCCATTCAAACAGTAATAAAGAGCCGTTTGACCAGCCATACAATGTTTCCCCCATTCTGACGACGGGTTGATGACTTTAGGTTGGAGTTTAGAACAGACTGGCCGAGAATACACAAGCCAATCGATTTTCAAATCATTGATAGTAAATAAAGAGTGGTTGAGAGAGCCTACTAACCTTGTCTTGATGAAAATATGTACAACAGCAGCCGCATAGAAGATGAATTGAGATATCAAAATCAGAATAATTACGAAGCCATTAGCAAGTAAATAACAGATCACTGAGACAACGGTGAAGCTAGCAAATGAAGGAAATGGTTGAGAAATCCAAAAGGAGAGGACAAAAGAAAGCAAGATGGGTGCCATGGCAAGGTAGAGAAATGGCAATGGGATTCTCAAATTAGATTCCACAGCCATAAGAATCGAAGGTATGGGCAGGTCAAGATCCCATGCATGTGTTTGCTGCATTAGTGCAAAAAAGATAACAACAAGGGCGAAACCAACAATCTGCAAGAGAGCAATACCATCACATGATCAATAAACTAAATAAGAAGCATACCTCTTTTCCACAAGAAAATATATTAAACAATAAGGAAAAGCTTTATTAACCATGAGAGGGAGACACACAGGATAGCCTTCAAAGCACCAACAAAAATGAAAATAAAAAGAAAATACAGAATAGGGATTCTAGCTCCAGTGGTAGAGAAAATTAAACCCCACAACCAAGGCCAAAGTTTAATCCTCCTCCTTCTCCTCCTTTGTATCAAACAAAGAAAAAGGAAAGTACAAAACTGCTGACATCCAAGGCATCATGCAAGTCAACAGCATTAAACCATGATAACTTTCCATATCAGATAAAAAACGACAATTGCCTCTCTTTTGCTTGACAATATGACAAATCACTAACAGAAGCAAGGTTGTGTTGAGATGTCCATGCCTTAGTATATAAAAGTAATTTCGGTATCTTGCTATCTGCATGTATACTCTATTTGTGAAGATGTATAGAGTAATGTTAACTAAAAACTACAGAAACTATACAGAAATTTGGAATTATTTACATTTACAGAGGTTGCATATAGCCATTAAAGTCCATTACACAATCAGAACTTGGTATCACATAGGAAACACAAGTTCTTATTCAATTTGCCACTTATAAACTACATGGATTGCTTCAATCAAATCTCATTAAAGTCTACCTCTTTCCACTTGCATTGTTAAGCATTGTGATTATGTTCAAACAGGACTTGGTTGACCTTTTTCTTTAATCATCAGAAATAACAGAAATAGAGAAGACGCTGCTGAAAAACAAAAATAAAAGCTCCTCCTTCTGCTCTATCGCATTAGGGCTGTTGAAAATCATTACCTGTGAATTATATAGAAGCAAAAACCTACTGGCAGCTGCAGTTACAGAAACAGTCACTGCACTTCTGTATGAACAATGTGGATCTACCTGAACAGAAGCAGAGGTAGACAAATGTAAACATTTCAATTTTTAATGATGATAGGAAGAAACCACTGGTAGATTCTGTAATTTACAAATGTCATATTATGATATGAAAATTGAGGCGACTTCTTACAAGCAACATAACAGAGGTTTTCTCAGAACTTTTAGGTGAACTCCAAAGCGCTGGCGAGGAATCAACAACAATTGTCTCACTATATACATTTGGGAATATGTGGAGACCTGATGTGTCATCCCAAGCAAATGCTACAGGTGGGAAACAGCGAAGCTTACAGAGCTCTGTAATACGAACATAGAACTAGCTTAGCCAAACAGGTGAAAGAACAAAGAATTGCTCAAGATGATTACAACTTTTTATTTCACCATCAGTGTTTTGCATTAATCCACGACAACAAATGTAACCAAAAAATATAAAACATAATACTACTACTTATTTAAATCCTTACTGCTATTATCTATATCATCAGCCTGTTCATCTGGAAGTCCAGAATTCTTTATTCCACAACCTGCAGTCTTCAAAGAGAATATGACAGGCAAGAGGCCTAAGCTAGTGGTGAATGATAGATTCAAAGCAAGCGGATGATCCTCCTTCAAAGAAATTTCCTGCATAGAAACCAATTCATGCAAAGTCAAAAGTCAATCATTTAAGTTAAGTGACAGCTTAAGCTTATGCAATTTCCAAATTCCATAATAAAGTAGCATCATAGGGATATCAACCTTATAAGAAAAACTAGACAGTGACCAAGGAGAGAACTCTCGCTCCCCTTCCTCCGGATTAAAAAACTGCCCAACTGCCATGGAAACTGCTGGTGGAGGTCTTCCTGAAATAGTCTGATCAATAGATTGTCAACACTTGTGCACAAAACTCAAAACCACTTGAAATATCCCATTCAGTGAGAGAGTGGAAGTATTATTCAACATAAGCCAAACCACGTACTTTTTTATTAAGAGAGAGAGAGAGAGAGAGAGAGAGAGAGAATAGAACAAAAATACAAAAGGAGATGACAACACATCCACCTAGCCAAAGCCTACTACAAGCACATAACAAACAAACCAACAATAAACATTAAACTCCCATCCCAACTAAACTTTTTGAGAATGAAAAATTGAGGAGAAACAATACCGGACGAGGTGCAACTGAGATGGTCAGGAATCTGAAACCACGCATATCCTCAGGTCCCAAGCGAAATATAGCAGAAGGAGGAGCTTGCTCTGTCTGGCTTCCAGGTTCAATCTAATAAGACAGAGCATTTCCACAGTTAAGAGCATGCAGATAGCATCAGCCATTAAATGTGCCAGTGCAACCCATCTGAGTAGCAGCATAATTTGAACATCACTCTTTCATGTAGTGTGACAAATTTTGATCAAATCAAGATAAAGAAAGTCTAATCAAAGTTCAGAAGTCACATATAATACCATCAAAATGAACCTATTAATAAATGCAATCCCGTTAAAATCATTGTCATGAATGCAACATTAAATACCTGTCTTGGTGCTGGTCCTGATGGAATGCGCACCATCTTTGATGTCACTTCGAGGATTCTTATACACACAGGCAATTCTGAAGTTGAGTTTCTTTTTTCAGGCCACAGATGAAGTCTAACCCCAGAACATGGAGCAAGGTTTGTCACAAACATGAAGTGACTTCTTCCATTTGACCCCTGCACATATGGATTAAAGTCTGAGCACTATCAGGGATAGGAAATTCAAAAAATTAAAGCAACTTAACAAGGGCTATCAGAGTGACAAGAACAAAAAGAATATATGAAAGTTAAATATTAATTTGTAATGCTTCAAAACCCAATACACTTGAGATTAAGTTCACAATAATTTCAGTATCAAGATACAGGATGGAAACTTTGCTGATGCTAACCAGTTTTTGTATGTCTAACCACCGTCTTCGACCATCCATGGCTAAAACAGTGACGGTGGTTGTCTGAATGTATAGGTCCCTCTCAAGGCCATCCTCGCTCCAATGAACATTTCTAGGGCATGCAGCGGAAGTGTACAGTGATCCTGTATCATATTACACAAAACATAGAAGAGACAAAATCATCAACATTCATGACATTCTTTTTTTTTTTTTTTTTTTTTTTTTTTTTTTTGTCAACATTGCTACCAGCACCATAATAAACAGATTTAAAACTTTAGAAAACTATAAAGGGGAATATAATGGAGTTCCCACAAAGACAAAATGAAAATGTACATTACCAGTTTTATCTTTTACGTCTCTAGAAGGAACATGTAACGACTGCTGAGACAAGTGTGATTGCGTCATCCAATTGAAACTCTGTGGTATCCCACTACGAAGCATTTTAGAGAATATCGCAAGTCTTATTCGTTTGTCAGAAAATGGCTGGCCTGTTCTGGAGTCTACCAAACTAAGGAGAGTGTGTGATACCTAGATAAGAGCATATGTATTCAGAACTGTCTGTATGATAATTATATCTGGCTTCAAAAAGTTACTTCCACTTACTTGGATAACTAATTGATTACACCATAAAATAGCTTGATGTTCCATTGACAACCACACATTTCTCATGCCTGTACTACTGATCATAAAACCGTGAGTGGGAGGCACAATGCCATCAAGGGATTCCGACTTGGACCTCACCTAAAGACAAAAACAAGAGTTAAAATGAACCCACAAAGTCAAGGTACATTTTTATTTTATTTTGAAAAGAGACAAAGTCAAGGTACATAAAAAGAATTTATAATACAGTAAACACAATATATCTATACACACAGAGACGTCTATGTACAAATGAAGTTATGAACAACAAAATACTGCAAACACCCACATTAACACAGAACTACAACACCCTTACAATATCTTCAGTAAACTATGAATTTCCTTCTTATTATGCCAAACCAACAACTTAATATCAGTACCTATATAAAATGAGAGTCCATATGCAACATATAGGCAAATTTCTCAATTATAGTATGCAAGACATATTTCAATTTTGCAAAAGAGAAGTGTATACAGTGGTCCTTTCAGTTTAACATCGCAATATTCTTGTTGACAGCCAGTGCATACTGCAGAAAGCAATGCAAAACGTATTTACCTGATAATCATTGTAACTGCCAGAAATGGATATAACAACAACATGTGAGAGAACAGGATCAGACACATAATGTCCTGCTCTACTTGTTTGGACCTCATATCCCTTTCTCCATTCATGATTAACGCGTGCAAAGTAGTGACCCAAGGAAGGCTGCAATGCCACAGGAGGGTATCTGAATAAAGTAGGTAAATTTCATCAAACACTAATTAATGCATTCACTTTGAAAGTAAGAGCCATTATAAGAGCCACAAACTCACTGGTGTGGGCTGGAGAGAGTAAGAATCGTTTCAACTGCTGATTTCCTCAAACGGTTATGGGCAACAGCAGCTCTAGCAACAAAACCACCCATAGAGTGACCAACCAATATTACACTTTTTGGCAAACTCCCAGAGGTTGCAGCACCTTCTCTTTCTCTAGTCTCATAAGATTCTTTATATTGATCCAAAATCTGCACATGAGGTTGTAGGTCGAACATTTTACAAACTAAAAATTTGTCAAAAGAAACATTCCTCTAGAAAACTGAATAAACCACAAGCCTAAACGTCATCAAGAAAACAAAGACTGGGCAGTGCCAAGAGGGGAGAAAAATTGACAACATGGTCATGCGCAGTAAAGCCCTTTTCTTTTACCGAAGCATACAACACCAATTGTTGTTATTTGGTTAAAGTTGACAGTTTCTGCGACCCCTCATAACTGGATGGGATTGGATCATGTAGAGGATGAAAACAATCATTTGGACTATCTGAAACGTGGAACTTAAATATAGATAATTACATTATAAAACACATTCTGTTGAATGTTTTTCCACTGGAAATCCAACATAGAGAAGTGCATGTCATATTTCTGTGTCATTTAATTCTTGATAACACTACCTCTTAAGGCAATATTCAGAAAATGTAATATGATGCATTAAAAGATCAAAGATGTCATATTTGTATGCAATTGGAAGAAAATAATGAGAGAGAGACCCTGTGAATGGAGTGGACAACATATTCTGCATGTTCTTCAAGTATAGCACTATCCATAGCAGAATGTTCTCCTTCAAGATCCACTGTGAACCAGTCCAACCTGGAATCATATTGGTTGGGTAACTGAAAGGAAGCTACATCTATCTCCTCCCCACCCTCTTCAGGAGTTAGGGAAGCTTCCTGATAAAATGTACGCTCTAGGGGTCCTGCTTGATATGCCCTGTCAGATTCTGCTGCCAGTGAACGTACCTGTAAATAGTAAATTTGCAATAAACATAAAAGGTAAGATTCCATTGTCAATAAGATACAATCTTTCTGAAAAATTCGCCAACAAAAATACAAAATTGAGCATTTCAATGAGACATCAACAAATCCCAACTGCGTGGAAAGCAGAAACAACAAGGAGGTTCCTTACCTGTTTGTAGCTACCGCCATTTCCCGGAATAAAAAGAACGGGAATGCCGCTTAGCTTTTTGAGATGCTCCTTAAAATCAATCTTCTTCCATCCTTCGTGGTACAAATACAAGCCGTACTTTGCCGGTGAAACAGCAGTCGTGGTAGGGATAGGAATGTAAGTGGGATACATGTACGTCATGGTACATCCATTTGAAACGGGCTTTAACAAATCATAAAACCCCGCGAAACAAACACATAAGACGAAGACGACGAGAAGTGCTACTCTGGATTTAGCTCTAAAGCCTTGCACTTGCATTGTCACGACTTGTAAGACCACCCAAAACCTATTGCCCGATTCTCCGCATTCACCCACAATTCAACGTTTACTTTCCTTGTAGAACAAATTTGAAACATTAATTAATCAACCAAAAAAGAAAAGAAATTAAAGCATTAATGAACTGAGTTGCTCAAAAAGCAGAACCAGTTTCCACAATAATTGAGAAGAAGATGCATTAAATATAATAAAAAAGGAGATCCGTTGTAGAAATTTAAATAGAGAGAGAGAGAGAGTGAGAAAGCTGGATTGAAAATACTTACAGATGAGGCAGTAGATCTGAGAGAAGGAGCTGAAGAGCAACACCGAGGGCTCACCGGATCGGAGATGCAAAGGAGAGGTTAGCTGATGCAGCTTAGAATTCAGATTAGAGAGAGAAAGAGCACCTACATCTCAAACACTAGCCCAAAATAGAAAGTAGAAAGAAACAGAGAAACCACTTTCACGGGTCGGATCGGGTGGAAAAGGGGTTGGCCGGATTCCTCATGGGAAAGTTTTAATTTTTAATTTTTTTTTTCTATAAAAAGATATAGATACATAAACTCGAACTTTAATTTGAAAAAAAGAAGCAGGCAAAGTTAGTTAAGTAACATGTGAAGTAGTAAATAATCATTAGCGAAAATTGTTGTAGCTGTAAAAACGGGCTAAATAATCTTTGTGTGCGTGGCTTAATTATAATTAATTATGTAATTAAATGCCCAGATTCAAATCCGAAAGCCTAGTTATTATTAGTACGAGAAAGAAGAAGTTGTGTTTTTCCCGACACCGACACGTGGACAACACAAGCGCAAATCAATGTCGACTTAGGAAATCGAGAAAACATAGGTTTCGCTTCGATTCACATAAAAACGTGACATAAAGTATTTGGAATGGAATTTCACCACTTGTCTCTTCCTTAACCGTCTACTACTATATAGCTAACAAAAATGTTTAAGAACAAAAAACAAGGAAAATTTAAAATTCTTAAGTATCTTAAGAATATTGGTAATTGGTGGATGGACAGCGAGCAAATGCTCACAACAAAAACAGCAAATTGAACTTTTAATCCCAAAAGCCTTTCGGCCTAAAACATCGGAACAAGGCATAGACAGAGAACTCTTCATTGAAAAAAGGGAGAGAGTGAGAGACAGTGAGAGAGCATTTGATTAATAGAACTGAACTCTATTCATAAGAAACAGTACATTGTAATGCACAGGGAAAAAATGGCACAAGAACGTCCGAATGTGGCGCTCCTGTTAGAAAAAAGGCGGGTACATCTCACAGGCTCATCATCTAAATCCTACTCTCAGGCGACTTCTCTATCTTACAAATAACACAGAACATGACAAGGTCACGAGAAGTAAATTTGAAACTGAAACAACCCAAGTGCTAATGGAGGCAGAAACCACCAAAACAATATATAGTATCCATCCCAGCCTCCCAGCTAATGGCAGCATACTGGTTTTCTCTTGCTCAGTTTCTAACAGAATACACAGGGCAGAGCCGATTATACCGTGTGGCAACATCAATCGGGTGTGTTGTCTCCAACCTAATAGGAGAACTCATGACCTCGAAGTGAGATGTATTTTTTGACCCAGATGGCAATGTCCTCTGCACAGGCCTGGGCCTGAGGGGTCTTGAGAAGCATATCAAGGGTTGCAAATTCATGAACTGCATCTTTATACTCCAGCACAGGTGCATCAACGTTTACCTTCCGGAGCTCCTCTGAGTAAGCAATGGCACGGTCTCTCATCCAATCATGTTCTGCCACCACTGTAAGGGTCGGAGGCATGAGCTTTACAGGTGGCCCCCTGTCTGGGATGAGGGGATTGGCAGCTGGGTGGTCCAAGCTAAACTCTTCCTCAGGTAAGAATAGTTTCCATGCTAATATGCACATTGCCTTGTCATAGAAATAGGAGTTTGCCAATCTTATCTCAGAATGAGTGGGGACACTTCCAATGAAGAACGGATACATCAGCACCTGTGCAACCACCTTGACAGGGTCCAAAAGCTTGCCTGCCTCTACAGCTTTCCGAGCCACGTAGTCTGCAATGTTAGCACCACAGCTCACACCAAGGAGAACACATCTGTTTATGATATCAAAGCAAGTTAGAAATTTGGCAATGTAGCCTGCTTGCAGCGTAATTTCCAGAAAGGGAGAGCAAAAACAAACAGAAGATACTATATATACAGAATGAGAAAATGCAGAGAACTAAGTCATATTTAGTGCTCAATGCATAAATAATGCGGGCAAAAAGGTTTTCAGTTTAAAGATAACTGGAACCACAGCCAACCCATGACAGCATAGGAACATAAATTAAGGCCTTAATCTAGACCTTATATAATAAATTGTTCTGCTTTGCTAATAGTTTAATGTTTATGGTTGAGACATTATAGAAGTAGTTTCAAGAAAGCAAAGATTATCTTATATCAACATAGACAAATCCCACTCCAACCCCTCCTGCTTGCATAAACTATTGACTTTTGTCATCCAGAAATCTTGAGATTTAGCAACAAATTATGAGGAAAATGATAACTGCGTCTTCTCTTAAACTACATGAATCCAGCGTGTAATCTAATATAGCAGATCAAGGTATCAGACAGGCCAACCAAAAGCATAAATATTTTAGAAGAAAACCAAGCTTATCAAAACTCTATGGAAAGATAAAATCCAGTCATCCACCAATACCTTGCCACTCTAAGTTGAAATTAGCCCTATTAACTTATCTATATCTATTATATGCGCACAAGTGCACATCGACCCAGCCTCTGGACATCAATTGAAGTCCTCAGATGGAAATTAACTCAAACACTAAAGCATTGCCACCACCAGCAACCAGCCTAAACAATTATTTTTAGTTGGGAAATGAAACAAGTATGCAAACTCAGCTACTAGCAACCTATTACAAGAAATCAACCCATGGATCTGATAAACTCCAAAGAAATGCCTATAAACTTTGAACACTAGAAATGCAAACATGAAAATCATATTACAGCAATATCCACAAACTGAACCAAGAATTGTAAACTCATGTATCATCATCAATCATAACACACTAGATTAGAAATTTCAGTTAGAATCTAAATATAATAATAGTCACGTTGCAATTAGAAGAAGATTATAACCTCGTTGGATCTCCATGGGCAGCCAACCAAGGCTCAACCATTGAAGCCCCAAAAGTGTCCACGATATGCCGATGAGAATCGGCCTTCTTAAACTCGGTAACGCCGCCGAGAGTGCTCCGTCCGCTTCCCATGGACTTACTGCACTCAGCCAAATTGGCCTGCTTCCCAAGCCAATTCAACACCTTCAACCCGTCCTCGAACGCCGCTGGGTATCGATTCTCTGGCGCAAGCCGATAACCCACCGCCAAAACGACGACGTCGCACAGCTTCGCAATCCGCCGACAGAAGATGTCGTTGGCCACAGAGTCATTGCTGCCACTGACCCAGCCGCCGCCGTGAAACTGCAACATGACCGGCAATTTTCGACCGTTCTTGGTCAAATTGGCCGGCGAGTAGCCTCTGTACACTCCCACGCCAGCGTTCGCCATCAAATTCATACTCTCTATGTCATTGCTACACCCGTAACTGTTCCTTCTCTGCTCGCTTTTCGCCAAATTGGACAGTGTCGGATTGCCATAGCTGTTGCGCCGAGAAGGGGTGGCGGGTAAATTGTTCAGGCTCTGGCGGGCCGAATCGGTTCGGTTGGATCCCTGATTGAGATCGGATCGTTTAGGCGTAGCGGTAACCCTAGACTTGGAAGCGGGTTCGGGTGGGTTGAGAGCGGACTCGGGGAGAAAGATTCGGATAGAGAGAGAAGTGAAGGGGTCGATGTGGATGTCCTTGGTGGCAACGCCGTCGTCGAACAGAGGATTAGGTGAGGCGATTGTTTCTTCGGGTCGAGACGTGACGCCGAAAGGGTTGAACTCGTCGGGCTGGGTTTGGATCCGATTCTGCAAACGGTGCTTCAAGAGGAACTTGAAGAACACGCTGTAGAGCTTAACAGCTACGCTTGGCATTTCTCTCTCTCTCTCCCTCTACAAATTATGCGATTTGCAGAGACTGGAAATGAGAAATGTTGTGGGTTTTCTGGAAATCAGTGTAAATTCATGACAGATTAAGGATTGAGATTGGGGATTAATCTCCCGTGAATGGATCACATGGGATGGGATTAGGGTTTTGTAATCTGAGAAAGCCTGAATCTTAAATTCGAATGCTTCAATGGCGTGAGACAGAGAGAGAGAGAGAGAGAGATTAGAGCGAGAAGAGACGCAGGTGCGTGAGGGACACACATGCAACTTTACGCTGTCTCTTGTGGCCTGTTCAAATTTGTTGTCATTTTTTCTTTCTGATTTTTTAAAAGGAAAATTCTAGATTCAATTGTTGTCTTGTTACCTCAAAATAAATTCAGAGAAATAAAAAAGGAAATGGGGTGGCTGTAGTAAGAAGAGCTATTATCATCTGTCGCTCGTTTTTACGCAATCAGGAACTGTTCTGTCACTTTAAGTTGTACGCTTGAGGAGTTGGACTGTTGAGTACAATCATATAAAGCCAGATTATTCGAGGTCCAGTGATAACCGGTAAAGGTGTAGCACTGGAATTATAGGGCTGCATGCAGCGGATCATTTACTGATTGTGGGTGGCGGACGACGGGTCTGCTTCGGAAACGGGAATGAAACCAAATCATATCCATGATCATGATATCATGTTTTTTTTTCTTTCCGCACAAATGCACATTATGAAACCATTTCTTAATCACGTATTAAAAATTAACACAAAATTATACTTGCCTGATTAATATTGCATTTATTATAGCTCTGTATTTACTATCCCCATCACATTTAAGTAAATTTCCTGAAGCTTAATTCGATTAAACTCCTTTCTTTTCTTAATTAGCATTTGTTTAATAACTTTTAATTCCTTACGTGAAAGTGAGTTTAATAAAGTCATTGGAATTTAATATGTATCCCGCTTAACTTTATGTCTTCATTGATTTGATACTAACATCACGACCATAAGATCCTTAAAAATATATCTTTTTACTTTTATGTGATACTCAATTGAATGGTGACAATGATTTTCCGAATTCATGAACAGTATACTTTGTTAAATTTTTGGTGCATTTTTTGCAAAATTATAATACAAATTTATAAATAAACCAAATCCTAGACATGTATTTATAAAAAAACCCAAACACTATTTAAACATAGAAACACATCCAAAATCAACAATTGTATATTTTTTGGGTGTGTTTATCAATGGATTTTGAGTGTGTGTAATGATGGGTTTTGGGTGTGTTTATAAAGTGTTTTGGGTGTTGGGTTTTTTTATAATTTCAGCCCCCATTTTGGGTGTGCAAAGTAGTTAATAGCAATTACCCAAAGTCTAAGACAATCCCTTTATTAGTAAAATAAACATTTGGATAATCATGGCTGGACTATGAATATGAAGATAAGGTTACTTTCCTCTTTATTCTTGCACTGCATCATGTTATGGGTAAATTAAATTCAATGAGTTTAGCGGTCAGAATTTATTAGTCAGATTTTTCTATCCATAAATTCATATTTTTTGTTCAGGTCTGTAGCTGGACCAATTAGAGTATATCCTCGTCAGCAACAGGTAGGCCATCATTAATAATGCTGAATTATTGTTTCGATTAGGTGGAAACAAGTTGGCCAGCCCAGCTCAGCATAAGTCCATACTTGAAAGATTAAGACATTCAGATGTCTTCCAGGCGTCGGCTAGGCCCAAAGCCTAAAGCCCAAACTTGTCATTGTTGGATGGCCATTTGCAGTTTTAGTGACAATGAAACATCAACTCTGACTTAACTCTGAAATTGAAGGTGGTATAGGGATTGATCCATTCACAAAAGCAACATAGTTTGATGATGATGATGATGATGATGATGATGATGATACATACAATACAAGTAATTGAAGATTGAGGACATGATGTCTCTATTAAACCAAATCATCCAAAATTATGTAATCACAGAGATATGTCAATTTCAAGCCTTTCTTTTTTGTAAACTTTAAAACCCCCATGACAAAGAGACCAGCTTTACTCACCACACCTCCAACACCATGCTGTGGCTGTGTGGCAGGGTCACCCCTTTGTTCTTCTGCACCAAATCAAATATATACAGCCCACACCCCCACATGGTAAACCAAAAGGGGGCCAATTGTATTCCAGATTGAGCCATTCATGCATGCTCTGTGCTGTGACTTGATCACCTGACAACTCGAAATTTCGCCAGGTAAAGCGGAGGAACCAACAAGAAGATTGAGATCTCAGAACTTATACAGCAATGTCAGTCTATGGTCTGCGTAATAATTTGAATATCAAAATCACTGTAATCACATTGTAGGGAATCTCAAAAACTTGCTAGCCAGAAGGTTTGCCGGGGGCTTTTCTGGGGGACACAAGCACTGCTTCATTGCTTGTAGCTTTCTTGGCAGCAATCTCTTCCAAACGCTTCCAAGTGATTTCACGTCTCAAATTAAGTTCCTTCTCTTGTACTTCATCTTCCTGAAATTTGAGCAAGCATTCCTCAAAAAGCTCAGGGTCAATATCAGAGAAAATCTTCCGGACATTTAGAGTCAGGCTCTGTACTGCCTGGTTCCAGTGGTTTCTTGCATTTTTCTCCAATGAAGGGAATATGATTGGCAGTAAGACACTGCGGTTCTGTTTGATTAGGTTGGCAATGTGATCATTATTCCATAAGAACAAAGCTCTCTCTGCCACCTGCAAATTAAGGGCCAACTGGATGCATGAGAAGGACTCATTTATTGAAATCATTAAAGTAGAAAAGTAAATTAAGGCAAATATCTATTTCTTATTCCATACATTTCACATAACTTTTTTCCTTCTATGTACAAAAGGCTTGAGATCATTCATAACTGACTTAGCTATGACCAGAAATTTCCTTTCAAAGTAGGACACAAAACTAACCAAGAAGTCTTTCTCATTTGCTCTATGGGATTCAGTAACTAATCTGAGAAACTTAATAGACTCCAGAATAGACTAAATGCGGGTACTGCCAGAGAACAACTCAAACCAGCATCTTAAGATCTAAGGTTTCAAATTTTGAAATGCCTAAGGTGCATCTTTAGAAGAAATATACCAATAAACGTTAGTCAAATATCATTTTTCTCCATCATAATATAATTGCTATATCGGCACCAAAAGAAAACTATGTGTAATACAAACTACACGAACAAACATTCCAGAAAGCTCAATATTTGACCACCCACAACAAGTTCATATAACTCAACTGACATAGTGCTACTGCTCATCACTACCTCTCACATTATAAAGATTTACACAGGACTCTACAGAATAGAGGAAACTAGCAAGTAGAAAACAGATGAAAGTGGTGAACTACCCACCTGAAAATGTGAACTGCTCAAGCATCGGCCAATTTGGCGAAACAAAGGTACCATACAGCGTTGAAATTCTGCAGGCTGAGTTGCTTCTAGAACTTCTTCCAGCTCCCCTAAGAACATGACCTCCTTAGAACTATTTGTAATAGGCCAATATTTTAGTAAACCACGGATTATTGTATCTGCAAGTTTGCAGTCTTTCTCCACAAATTGGGTAATGCAGTAAGATAACTGCTGGTGGTACAAGGGTATGCATTTGGGTTTGTGAAGTGGAATAAGCACTCGAACAAGAAAGAGTTTGTGCTCTTCTTTCAGCGGCAGAGCAAAACCGTTTATTATACTTCCCAAAATCTCCAACAGCTCTGCAATCCCATTATGCTTTTCAGTTTCAAAAATAAAATGATAGAAGATGTTGTTGATAGCTTTCCTGATGAATGGGCGGTGCACCATAAATTTCCCATAGATGCGGTGCAGAACCGTTTTCAAGTAATCCCTCTCTCTATGGTCCTCTGAATCAAAAAGACCTAACAACCTGAGAACAAAAGAGTGATCAATGTACCTCTTAGCCAACTTTGCATCTGTCTCAGGTGATGCCACAAACCTCAGGAAGAATTCATACACAACTTGCAAGTGTGGCCATGCTGGGTCCATTGAGGGCTCTTCCTCTTCTAAGTCAAAGGCCTCTAAAGCTTTGTTTTCGAGGGGTGGAGAAGTGAGTGTTCTAAATAAATTTACGCACACCATCTTTACAATTTCTTGCATGACAGTTTCTGAGAATTTCCCATTAGCAGAAGCAATGTAATCCACAAGCTCTACCAATGTCTGTCGCTTGATGTCCTTTTCCTTGAGGTTCTTTGTTGGGTCACTGAAGTCAAAGATAACACAACACAAGTTCAACTTTTTTATGAATAAGTTCTGCTTCTCTGCATTTGGAACATCTTTGAAACTAGGCAATGCCTCATATGGAGAAGCCAATGAATTCCCATTAAGCTTTGAATTCACGTTTACTCCAAAATTCGGAGTAGAATTAGGGCCTGAAAGAGATGAAGTACCCGAATTCACATATCTGCTACTTGCTAAAGAGCCGCTTCTTGAACTGGTGGAAACATTTGAAGAAGAGTTAGAAGATCCTCCTTCACGATTTTCAGCTGACTTAGAGGGCTTCCTCGGGAGCCTATTAAGTATCTGTTTGATCATAACTTAAATGACAAAAGAAGCCCTTCTTTGTGCACTTCAGAGCACAGTGATAAATCAAACTTCTAGAGCAACTACAGCATCAGTGATAGAGGAGAGACACAATTCCAATTAGGGAAGAAAAGCCCAGAATTATTAAACCAAATTTCAGTGCAATGAAGCAAGAACCCGGGCTATAAGCTTCTTGTGTTCTTCCTTGGTAAAGACTGGGGACTTTCCCCTTATTAGAAAGAAACGTTCTGAGCCAATTGGGGAAATCCGGGGCAGAGATATCACACCCACAGAAAATGAGAAGAAAGCTGCATATAAAGCCATTCCGAGCTGAAAATTAAACAGAATACAAAAAATTGGAAATTTCTAATCAACTAAACAATGCAAAAACCGCAGCTTGCTTAACTTCTGATCTCTGATCCATTACCCAAAGCAAAATCCGTAGTTTGCTTAGGTAAAAGTAAACATCGAGACCTATATCGGGAAACCCAGATGTAGAAAACCATCAAATTTGTATCTAAGATTAGAAAGTTTGACCTGAGCTTAACCCAAACAAAAAACGAAAAACATACTGAATGTTTGCCTCTCTTCACCAAGATTGACAAGCAATTCAGCTGGATCAGAAGAGAACAAGATCCGGGTATGATCTATTCGAAAAGGAAAAACCCGTTTGGCATTCTCCAGCAAGTTTAACATGCAAAATTTGCAAACCCAAAATACGAAAAGTTATTACATAATACTATACAGGACTGAGTCTCTGGGAAATTTTAGCTGGAAACATGCAATGGAGAGCAAATTATAGAGAAAATAATGAATGTTTGTGGATACTTACAGAGAAAGTTGAGCTGGTGCTTCCTGTTTCCTTTGAGATAGAGAGAAATAGAAAGGTGGGTGGGGGGGTGTTGAAGAACAGCAATCTTTGGCGGCTGTAAGCTGTTGTTGTTGTTGGATGATTTCTTTCGTTCTTTTTTTGTTAGCTGAAACTGTAATTATTGTAATTGATAATTCGATAATACATACATACATGATGATGCACCATTATCCTTTGCACTCGAAGAGTATAATAATAATATTATGGTTGATTAAAAAGGAAGAAAAAAAAACAAAAGCATAATTATTGTGAAATTTTGATATTTTTTATTTCTTTTTAACTTCCTCAGGAATTTCAATTTTCAACCTCAAAAACTGTTCCTCGCTTTGATTCACTCCAGACGACGAGAGTCGAGAGAGATCCCATTTGACCAAATTAACCTTCCAATCTACTTTGGCTTGGACAAAGTCTTTGGGGAGGAAAGGGAAAGGTTGAAATGGTATTTGCGCAAAATATTATATTTTAAAAAAATTCATCATAACGTTTAGCAGTTGGCAAAGCAGAATGAGATGTCCCTGTACACTTTGACCGAGGGCCGACGTCGAAGCTTTTGCTCATATCTTTTAACGGGCTAGCTTTGGTCTTGAATCCATTAAGCGCTTCTGAGACTTTTTCCCGCAGAAACGGTGCCGTTTGCCGACACTCTTATATGGAGTTGTGATTAGTTTCTTATAAATGGATTTGGTTGATAATAGATGAGCTGGTTAATGATCACAATTCATAGGTGAAGCTTTTTTCTTTCGTTTCTGTCTCAACAGGGGTCACTACTTGTTGCCCACCGCCACCCCGTCAAACAGGCAACCAGTTTCCTCCACAAATAAAAAAGTGAAATGACACATATTAACAAGGCCAAGAAAGAAGACAAAATGGACTAACTTGATACTCACAATTCCAGCATTTTAACAGAAATATACCCTACTGAAAGAATAATGAAGAAGAAGAAAAAAGCTATCCTACGGTTCAACAACAATTTCTCAATTCTGTTGTTTCAGCAACTTACATTTATGTCAGATTAATCAGATACATATAAATCAGACCAACAAACAATCTTGTCAGGTAACTGAAACTTGATACTCAAAGAAAGAAGTATTGATGCACACCTTCGGGCTAATAAGAACTGCACGTGCGTGATTCACCCTGTTCTTAACTTATACCCACCAAGCAGTCAGATGAGGTAGTTTTTGTAGCATCCGTGGACAAAATCACCCCATATAATTTGTCTGCAGCGTGATACAATCAGGTTGGGGCTTTGGATTTTAGGGTTCTAAGATCCAGGTAGGAGTTTCAACACGACACAATCATCTCCGAGCATTTGTCATGCATGTACAACAGCACTGCTAGCAGGTTCATAGTTCCCTCCAAACACTGCTGAGCTGGAGGGTGAAAATGTACAGAACATCAAATAAATCATACAAGCATGTCAACAATTACTTGGGAAGTGGAAAGTGTCCCGAGAAATGGAACCAAAACCATCACAGCGACCAAATATCTCCTTAACCAAAAATTAAGGTTGCTCAATATTCAATGTCAGTGCTCCATTAATGCTGTATCAGTTTCTGAAAGCGGCGCTGCAAAAAGAGTAAAGAAAAATTCTCTCAATGGGAAGAAGCTAAAGGAGACAAAAAGAGCATTGCAGTTTAAACAAACTCCTCTCAATGTGTCCTTGTGTGTGTCTGTGAGTTGTGATATAAACCATCTTGTATTTATGATAGAGGTCGTGTGGTGATTGACCTCACTGCTAATATCCCCAAGGGTTAACGATATAAACTAGAAAATCTAGTGCCTGAACCATCAGAGATGAACCATTTACTTGGAACTACAAAGGCACTCAATAACAAAATGAAGTCATCCACCGATAACAATCTGTACATATAACAGCCTACAAACAGAAATAGTAGTGGCTGGAGCAACATACCAAGCAAGTCCTCATAATCCGCTAACAGTGATGAGTCCATTAGCAAAGGAGGCGAGAAAACCTGCTCCTGAGCTTCCTCGAAGTCATAAAATGATCTTTGTGTGTCCGAAGCAGCACAGTTTGAACCCGTAGCCGAAAGAAACCCATTTACTTGGTCATAATCATCAAGTGAATCTAAACCGTTCAAAACTTGAGATAATTCAGAGTATTTGCTCTCCATATGACCATCAGAAGCACGATTTTCAAGCAAGGAAGCCTCTGTCTGAGATGCAAACCTTTTACTCCTCAAGGAAACCCCTTTAGATTCTTGGCTTTGACGAGAAAACCCAGATGAGGAAAGAGGTAAAAAGAAATGCTCAGAGCTTTCATCAGAATGGCTGCCTCGTGATGATTCGGAATTTAAGGAGTTCCGTGACAGAGCAGCTTCTCTGACAGATCTCTTTAGATTCTGGACAAAATAATTATCACTATCTGCATAACATGAAACTAAAAATCAAAAACCAATTCCCAATCCACATATAATTTGAAATGCCTTGAGCAAGACAACATGCTTATAATGCAATGAGACTTTGAGAAGCAAGGCACACATGGCAGACCTTGTGGTAGATTATCTATGTGATTATTTGATATAGGCTGCTCCACAGATTTCCTTTCAGAAAAGCTCTCTATTTGAGTTGTTTGAGCAGCTGAAGCAGGGCGCTTATTCATACTTGCACCTTTCCCAGAAGAGTTAGGAGTCAAGGTAAACAACTGTGGGAGCTTTAAAGTAGGGCTAGCTGACACCTTTTCAAGCTGAAAGGTAGACAATTTTGAAGTCACCTCAGCCACATCATCAGTGTTGCTTTCCTGAATTATTACAAAGGAAAAAAATACCAGTACATCACTTGTAGACTGCAGTAATTCAAGGTGAGACAGGTTTTAGTAAATATTAAGTTTTGCATAAAATAGGTGTGGTGTATTACCAATGTCCTTCCACTGCTCTGTGCTTGAATAGGTGAGGTTGAGCGACCAGGATGTTTGGTCATTGGAGGCAGACTAGAGGAAATGCTATCTACTTTATCTGTACATTCTGATATTGACTTTTGTATTGCCGGAGCAACTTCCTTCAGTTGATTAATGAGAACCTACAGAAGTTATGAATTAGAAAATCTCAGCATAGAATCAGGAAAGCATAGCCATGACAAATATATTATGCATGAGAGAAAAGGGGCATTCAAGAAAGGCATGTGCATGAATCATCTCACTTTTATTGACAGTCATATGATGTCTATTCAGTAATAGAAATCCAATCATTTTTAACATTCACTATCCCACATTACCCCACCTACCTACCAACAGAAAAGCTCAAATCAACATACTTCATTGAGGTTATATTTGAAGGAATGTCAGAATATTAATTGGTTCGCTTAAACAACAGACTGCTCAAATAACACATTTATTCTGGGATGGGTCAAAGAGCATTTGGAGAAATTGACCCCTTATTCTCAAACAGTCCTGGTTCACCAAGAAAACGGTTGATTCTAATGCAATATCCTACAATTCTAATACTTTGGTCGCTATAAGGAAAACTGCAATATCAAAAAGCTCTCTAAATAATACAAGTCTTCATATCTTTGGATCAACTTAGAAGGTCTGTATTTATTACAAGACTCCCTTGTCCCCTGATTACAGGATATAACTTTATAAGGAAGAATGATAAATATTTCCATGGAATTTAAACACCCATGAAATGTACAAATACACCATCAAATGCCACATATATCAGATACGAATTGGTTCTACATGAAGTTGAAACTGGGAAGCTGGTAGCACTTCAGATCTAACTAGTACTTTTAAACCATAAGTATTACCTGAAAGCTAACCAAGTGTTGCTGATGTTCAGCAAGAGTTGCAGCTAAAGACTCAGCATGACCACTTGAACTGCCATCATGTGCACTTCTTAAAATTTCTGGACCCTCTCCCTCATTAGCTTTTGCCTACGAATTACCATTGTATAACACCAATTCAATAAGTTTTTCTAAACTTTTATCCAACAATATCATGAGCATATACAAAGTAGCATACCATATGAAGCGACTGTTTATGAATACGCTGTAAAGCATGTGTCCAACGCCTGATAATTTCTGCCACGTCAACTGTTGGGTGGACTCTTCCACTTCTTTCATCTCCTCGATGAAGTGCTTCATCATTTACTTGTGAATGGGATGAATCTGAATTGCTCTTCATCTTTTCTCTATTAACATTGACATACGATCCATCATTTTTTTCTTTGTCATCCACATGCATTGGATTAAAATCACCAGATTGGACAGATAAGACATCTCCATAAGGAACCTGAGAACTCTGATCCATAGCTGCAAGCAAAGAAGATCCAGAGATGCGGTACCTAGAAAGAATTGTATGCAAAGGTGAGTTGGTGAATTGCCTCCAGTGATGTCAAAATGATACCTGATGGTAGATTACCTATGCTCCCTGTGAGCTATTAAATCCTCAATAGGGCCTGAAGCAAGAACTTCATGTTGACCTACACATAATGGTGATCACGTTACACAATTTGATAACACATAAAACCTAAGAAATTGATAAAGGAACCATGAATATGTACTCACTTTTACGGGCTAATATAGACTCCCACAAACGAGTAGCCTTGGATACTAAATGGGAATTCTGACTCGAACTAGAAACAAGGTCATCCCAGTGTTCCCCTTCCAACTTCACTTTGTTCCTAAGGTCATGTAACTTTTCCAGCTCTTGCTGTAAATAAGCCTGAGATTCATGTTTTACAGAGAGATGTGTCAGAATACAAATTGTAAAGTTGTAGGTGAACTGAAAATTTCTAAAAATTTCCAGTAAGCTTCTACTACAAAAAGTTGCTCGTCGAAATGTGAGTTACCCCTATACCTCTTCAGCACAAAGACCACGAAACTCCGCAGTCATCTCATGGGCCAAATTAGACCACATGGCCTGTCTCTGTACTGCTGTTTCCGCATTCTTAATAAACCTTCTTCGTTCAAGTGCTATTCTAGCCTGTACAAGATAATAAGCTCAAATAACTGCTATTGAAGGTCAACTAAGCAGTCTAAAGAAGAAAACTCACACAGAAAAATGCAGATTTTCATTAAACCCTGAAAACTCATCTAAGAATTTTATCGAAAGGAAAAACTCTATGGACATGCCAATAGCTAATAATATCATAATTTGGGAACCCAATTTCAAATGTCATTGGTAATAGAACTTATGCGTGCTTTAAAATTGTAAGTGTAGATCAAGCCTACCTTAGTAACAGGAAGTAAAGTAGCTGCATGTGAAAAGGCTACATCAGTCAATGATGCCGGAAGTGGGTTAGAAGCTACATCAGCTGAAAATGTTCGCCTATGAACCTCTCGCAAAGCATGCAAAGAAAGTTGCCACAGAAGTTCTACAAACCTGCAGTCAACACATGAGGCTTATGATTAACCAACCATAATTGCAATCATAAAGACCCAAACCCATTACCATTAGAAAACCCATAAAATTGTAAACCATGAGTCTACACAAGATATAGTCATTTTAATTAAAGGCTCGTTTGGGAATGATTTTCGGATGGACAGAATCACTTATGGGGAGAAGCACATCCCACGTGATTCTCCATATAATCACTTTAAGTGATTTTAAGTGATTTTGTGGAGAAGCACATAGAAGTGATTATTGGCCTATCCAGAATTACTCTCAAACGAGCCCTCAGAGGAACTTCAACAACATTTAAGCAGAAAGCATTAATTTTAATATCATCAATTGGCTGATTGGAGGGAAAACAAGTTTACTGTTAAATATAACTACATTTTTTTTACATTAGTTTGGCAAATTGTTTCTCACTTAAATGCAAAAGGGAAGTGAGCCCAACAAAACTATGAACCTCGGTCAAACTAAGAAAGCAAACAACATTATGGTTTATATGTGAATTTCGTATCTTTGTCAATTTTCTCACCAATCAAGCCCAATTCCATATTTAAAGTTCAATATTAAAGGCAAAAAATTGTACATTAAAAAAATGCCGATAAAAACAACGAGTAGTATCATCAACCAACCTGGGTCCGCAACATGTAGCAAGTGATGAAACCCTCGAATTGCTCCTAGGAAGCGCCCCTTGCGATTCGAGCTCACTAATGATCCCTTGCACAACCTAATTATTAAAAAAAAAATCCACCAATAAATCATCTCATCCCAATGATTAAATGAAAAGAAAAGTAAAACTAGAAGCACCAAAGAAAAGTGGAATAGTCGAATTTACCTTACGAAAATCCCGCGATTGGGCAGAATCGAAAATTGGCCAGACCTTATCGAAATCCTGAAAGATCCTATAACGTTAAGGACATGATGCAAAGTGGAAGACAGTAAAACGAATACACAAACACATATATGCAAAGAAATTGAATTTGAAATATATGTATATGTATCATCAGTGTAAATATGGGTGAAGCATACAGGGAAGGAAATCGAGATTGTACCTTGGCGGATTGAATTGGGCCTCTGAGAGAAGAGAGAATGAAGTAGAGCAGCTGTTCGCCCAATTTAGGGTTAGAGTGGCGGAAGAATCCGACCCGAGGAGTGGCATTGGAGCCTCCGAGTCCGATAATGGCCGGATCCAACCCTAATAGCAAACAGTTAGTGTACATTGCACTCTCCAGCTCTATCTCTCTCTCCTTCTCTCTGTCCATAGTCATCACCAACAACCCCACAAACCTGAACCCCTCCTCCTCTCTCTCTCTCCTTCTCTGTTTCGCTTTTTTGCTTCTCTCTGCCTCCGGTTCTGTTTCTTCCTTTTTTCTTTTTGATTTTTTTTGGTTATTTTTGCTTTTGTTTTGATCGGAAGGTTTTTGAAATGCAGGTCCCTGAGGAAGTTTTCTGATTGTGAAACGCGACTCGGTTTGAATAAGTTGGGGTTAATTTTCTAATATGGAAATGTGTAGGGACTTTTGTTTCAGAATTCAATTTTTTTTATTTAAAAAAAAAAAGATTTGCTGTAGTGGCTTTGTGTTTTATTATGCCGTTTGATGGGCCCGGAGGAACGGTAAAGTAGTCACGTAGCCGGTTGAGGAATTTGAAAGGTGCTGACGTGGGCTAATGAAATGAAACTATAGCCGGCCATCTTCAAATCGTTAGGTGTCGTCATCTGGTTGTTCGGTGAGGATGATAGCATGCTCCGCCGGACCACTGTAAGCTATGTACTCACTGACACCTTATTGGCCTTTCTTTTTGTTTCAATCTCAATAAATTGATTTTTTGTTTTGGTTGATGACTTTAATAAATAAATAAAATAGGCATGCACATGAGAATATACGTATTAATTGCAAAATTGATGGTAAAATGTAAGATCAAACACAGGACAGGACATAAGTTAATGAGCCGAAATAATTCCACAACTGGTTTAGTGGTTGGATGATCAATGGACCTCCAATGTACAATAGCTTGATAGGTTGACCTTGTTTTTTATTGAGTTTGGCTAAGTAAGGTGCTAGTGATTCAATAGGATCTTCAAAAGAAAGTCTTTTTTAAAAATAAGCGATATTAGGGAGGGAGAAATCGAACCTAGAACATTGAGTGCATGGGTTAATGTTCTTAATCGTTTGAGTTACAAATCCCTTGCGAAAGTCCTTTTTTTTTAATTGTGAAAGAAAATTATGTAGTTTTGTAAGACTTGACACTTTTGTTGAATTTGGTATCTGGAGAAGATTTATCAATATTCGACACATAGTTGCTTTGTATTTTTGATTATTGGTCAATAATAAACTTATCGCTTATTTAAAAGAAAAAAAAAACTTTGCCATAATTAGTACCGTCAAATGAAGAGATAGGTGATTAGCTTAATTGAAGGTGGGGAGGAATTAATAACACTAAATGATATATGATGCTTTTGGGATTGACTTTGATTGCATGTTTTGCTTAGCTTGAATGCTAACTTATCCCTAAATAAGAGATGGCTTCATTGAAGACAAAGGAATGAGTAAAGGTAAAGGTTTATATGATAAAAAGAAAAGTTTGGTGAGCGACAAACTGGTGTGTAGTGAAGAAGTGATTCATCCCAAAGCATTTTACAGTTGATAAATTTTTTTGCTTTTTTTAAAAGCATAATGATGCCTAAAGCAGGCCACCCAATTTAAATTAAATGTGCCTGCCTATATGCAGCTAAATATAATCAAGCACATTTGTCCCAAAAGCCCAATAAAAGATTTAGGCAAAATCGGCTTTGCATAAAAGCAATTTCCAAGGGCTCAAATAGTTAAACCTTTATTAGATTTTAGGCCCACAAGACCACAGGCTTGCAGGCCCAGAAGATGTTGTGCTGGCAGTATTTTGTAACATTTTACAGCGGTAATTTGGAAAAGTTTACTGTTTTACTCGTGCAAACTTACTCTGTATTTTGTAGGAAGGCCTCCCAAAGAGGAAAGGAATAGCAGTGCATCTGTCATACGTATAAAAATACAAGTCACACCGCAAACGGCGAACCTTATATTATACAGAGAGAGAACTTTCTTATCGGATCCCTCTGTCTCTTTGCTTCTGGGATTTCTTGGAGTGTCGCTGATGATCGTTGATGTTTCTTCTCAATTTTCCTTGAAACGAAGGAGGTTCACCAATATTGATCCCATGGAAGCTGAAGAAGCTAAGGTTTTTACCCAAGTCCCTGCCTTTTCAATCACGAGTATATATATTTTCTTGATTTCGCTCTCTTGGTATTCGTTTTGCTACTGGGTCGATCTGGGTTTTGTATATAATGGATCATTTGAGCTTTAATTTTCGATTAGTGATCGTTGCCTATTTCTAAGTTGTGGGTCTACTGCAACTTCCCTGGTTTCTTTTTTGTTTCTTTTTATTTTATTTTTTGCAACTACAAGAACAAGAACATGATTCTGTGTAATCTTATGCTTGAGGTTCTGTGGCAATAAATACTTCTCATCAACAGGACAAGAGTTGAATTTGGTGCGGCTAAGGTTTTGGTATTTTTGGTTTTTGTTGGTACCCATTGCAATTCCGAGCAAGTGCTTTGTGTGCTTCTTGTACTTCAAGTCTTCAATGAAGTCAGTGCGTAGTAGCTTTGTAACTAACTACAAAATCACAAGTACACATTGTAATAGCTGTGTTAGTATATACTAATCATTGGTACAAACCACCGCTATTCATTCCGTCATATGAGTGTGGTGAGTGAAAGTACCAAGTACCAATTTTGGAATTGAGATGATTCTAATTTGAACGTTAGATGGATCCTTCTTTACCAGATGTTGTGATATTACATTTACTTTTGCCTTTTCGTTTTGTCGGGGTGAGTTCAGGCCAAGCTCACAGCAGCAAAAGAAAAGTTCGGGAGAGAAATTCATGTTTTTGAAACGTCAGCTGCTTCTTCTTCGCACACGGAAGAGTCTATTACTGGTATGAAGCAATTCAACTATGCTAGGCCAAACCATTCAGCTTATAGCTTTTTATATTTCGGATTATCTGTGGAAGCAAGCACACTGAGATGCCTGATAGAAATTTTTTTCTTTTCGTCATTTTTTGTTTGGCAGAGGAGACAGATGAATTTTTTGAGTTTACAGCAGAGGATTATTATCGGATTATGAATGCCAAAAAGGAAGGTAATTGACAAAAACCATATCATTTATAATTTTAGGGGGAAACATAAATCTTTCCCGTGTAGCGGCTGGTGTTCAAGTTCTATAATATGCTAGCGAATATTTGGGAAACATAATCTTCAAGTCTTGTCAAGTATTTTATTCTAAACAACTTAATAACATGAACGAAATTTGATAAACTATTGGGAATTTAATTACACATTCAAAGACTTATACTGATACATGCAATTGGAGGTATTCTTATGGTGTATATACTTACTATATTTCATTAATGCAATATGAACAGATAAGGTTCTAAAAACACGAAAGCTTAAAGAGGCAGAACAGGCAGCCCGCAGGTCAAGGATAACAAAGGTGGTTGCTATACCCTTTATTATGACTTTCTTTTCTCCTTGTTATAGTGATTGTTTCTATTGTTGTTTGTATAGGATCAATTCTGTCCCATCATCATCGGATGCATAACCTTTTCCAAATCTTAATTAGTCATATAATCGCTTTTTATCTATTTGTTAAGTTCATGTGTGATGTATGCAGACTGTGATCAGGGTTCGATTTCCTGATAATCACACATTAGAGGCCACTTTTCATCCATCAGAAACAGTTCAGAGCTTGGTTGATCTCCTCACGAAAGTAGTTGCTCAACCAGAATTACCATTCTACATATGTATGCAGAGTAAATCAAAATATTGAATTTTCCATGTATGATTATGCAATAGATTCTAACATTTACTGATGCAGATACTACTCCTCCTAAGAAGCAGATAAAAGACACGTCACAGGATTTTTACTCTGCTGGCTTTGTTCCTGGTGCAATTGTGTATTTTTCATATAATATGCCAAAAGGTTAGCACATGCCTTTTGGTCTCATAACTTAAAATGAAATATTCTCAATGGAGACACTCTTCTCTATGATTATGGGGTTGCCCGTCTGCAGTGATGGCAGAGGAATCAGAACTTTTACCCTGAAAATTATTTCACTGATGTGATGATATATATCTTTTGATTGTAAATAGCAATGGCTAATGTGAAATGTTTGATTATTGTATTGTCATCCAGCAGATGATGCTTCAGATGCCAAGTCAGGTCCCTTCCTTCAGGAAGAGATCATGTCTTTGAAAGGTTTGGAACTCCTCACTAAACATGCAGAGCCTGTTGAGTCTGCACCAGAAACGATACCAGAGGCATCACCTCCTGTTGTTCAAGAGAAGAAGCCTGCGGAGAAAAAACCTGTCAAGCCAAAGTGGCTGAAACTGTGACATGAATCACATGAGTTCTGTAAATTGATGAGAGCAACTCCCTATCTTTAAGATTGTGCTGATTCTGACTCTTATTTGATGGCCGCAACTTGCCTTCGGATAATTGTTAGGAGTTTAAAGAGAGAACTTCTGCATATGTGCTTTGCTAAGGTGGTTCTTATTTTCTAAAACAATATATGAATGTAACCATATATGACATGTCAGTGACTCTGCTTCTAATTATTTTACCTTTTCATCTTACGTCTTTGATTATTATGTTTAGTGCTGGCTAGGCATTTTTATTGCCTGTTTTCCCAACTTCCTTTTTCTGTGTTTATCAACGGGGAGAGGATCTGAATGGCAAAGAAAAACATACGGGGAGGAGGGAATTTGGACACATTATGCCCTACAAAATTTAATAGTGCTGGTTTGGATTCGTGTATCGAGTCATGTCAGAAATTGCCACTAAATAGAAAATAGATGTTTTCAACTAGGAATATCATTTAAAGAAATAAATTTTTTTAAATCTACTACTAGGGGTTACAAAAGCATTAAAAATTTAACCTACGTCAGCAAAATAAAAATCTAAAAGAAAAAAAAACGCTCAGACCCGCCTAGACCGCCTAGGCGGATTTTTTAATTAATTAATTATTATTTTCTGATGATTCAATCGCTTTTGATTTGTGGCACCGGGAATTCGCGTAATTGTTTATAGTTGGTGCTCTTTCTTTATGCACCAAGCTCTCATAGCTTTGCCTACACGAAGAAAACTATCGAACGAGAGTTTGACCGCAAGCTCCCGGAGAGTTTTGATGATTTTGAAGAGAAAGCAGTAGCATCTGGAAGTATTGCTCAAGTGTGTGGAGCTGGTCAACAGGTGAAGCCCATAGTAGTTGTCTGGTGTTTGTGAATCGATTGGGAGAGATTTTGATATAATCAATCCGGTTGCAAAAATTTCAAACTTTATTCCTGAAGGTAAAGCCGGGCGGCTATACTCGGATTTTAATTTTTTTTCACTGAATAGTATAGCCGAACGGCTATACCTTTTAAACATAATGTTTTTTTTTAAAAACACAGTATAGCCGTTCAGCTATACGTATTTTGACACGTGGGTGCCTGCCAGGGGGACAACTCTTTTTAAAAAAAATAAATAGCATAGCCGGCGGCTATACCACCTGTTTTTATTTTTCAATAAAATAGTATAGCCGTCCGGCTATACCCGTTTTCAAATTTTTTGAAAATAGTATAGCCGATCGGCTGTACCTTGTTATTTTATTTTTTAATATAGTATAGCCGAGCGGCGATACTCCTAAATTTTCCTGTATTTGTTGTTAGGCTATGTTCCTTCGTGCTTGTCTTTAGGGGAAAAAAAAAAAAAAAAAAAAAAAAAAAAAAAAAAAAAAAAAAAAAAAAAAAAAAAAAAAAAAAAAAAAAAAAAAAAAAAAAAAAAAAAAAAAAAAAAAAAAAAAAAAAAAAAAAAAAAAAAAAAAAAAAAAAAAAAAAAAAAAAAAAAAAAAAAAAAAAAAAAAAAAAAAAAAAAAAAAAAAAAAAAAAAAAAAAAAAAAAAAAAAAAAAAAAAAAAAAAAAAAAAAAAAAAAAAAAAAAAAAAAAAAAAAAAAAAAAAAAAAAAAAAAAAAAAAAAAAAAAAAAAAAAAAAAAAAAAAAAAAAAAAAAAAAAAAAAAAAAAAAAAAAAAAAAAAAAAAAAAAAAAAAAAAAAAAAAAAAAAAAAAAAAAAAAAAAAAAAAAAAAAAAAAATTCTTCAACAAGCATGGATTTGAGATTGTTATTTTATTAATTTTTTGTATTCCTTGGTTTAGGAGGAGACCAAACAGAGGGTTTGGTTCTGTTCTTTGGAATAATTTGATATGTTCTGTATTCTAAGTATCTTGTGGACTTTGTGTTTGGCATTGTTGCATTTATAGTAGTAATGGTGATCTCTTCATTTTGTCATTATTCTCCCATTTGTAACCCTTGTCCTAAGATTTTCTGATTAGTCTTTCTTTTTAAGAGGATCTAAAGTTTCTGATTTTTGTGATCTCTTAATTCATTTTATTTTTATTTTTGGTACAAAAAGAGGGAGAATTAGAAACAACGCGTCTCGAGCCATGCAAGTCTTGGAGGCCACTTAGTTTGTGGCTGATTGATGAGGAGGATGTGGAGGTGGCCTCAGAAGATCTCAATCTACACAAATGTTCATCGACTTCTTGAACGATCGGGTGTGGCCTTGAGGTGAAGCTGTTGGAGCGAGTGTGGCAAGCCCATTTCTTCTTGTTGTGTATTTTGAGAAGATAGAATAGAAGACCTTGAAAGAAGGGGTTAATGTAATATGTTTTCCATGTGTTTGCTTAATATGTAGTGTTGGTTGAGGAGGGGGACATGGAATCTCATCCTCTTCAATCATATCAGTGAGAAGGGTAACATGATTTGAATTGGATGATAAGCCACCATGGTTGCTACTGTAGAGTAGCCCACAAAGCAACCGTGCCGAGAGCACTGTGCCATAGGTTGTCCATGTCTTAAACACTAAGTTCCAAATTCCACCTTTAATGCCCCCACATTGGGTCACAAACTCACGTTACTAAGCTCGGCGAGCAAAGTTTTCGGAGGAGTTAACAATATTAAGTACATAACACGTATTATACTTTTCCAATGTGGGATCTACAATTTTTTCAAGAGAGAAGAGGAAAAGCAATAAAACTCTATTAAGAGCAGTTCGGTAATCTTCTCGTATAGAATTGAAGGCCTTTGGAGAATTTATTGTGTATGCTTCGTGCAAGTATATATACATCACAACCGTATGGCCGAGTTTAGACATCCTTCTTGGTATAATGTTTACTGCTCAAAGCGTGTGGGAGTCAAATACTCCTTTGAATGCTATTAGACATTAGTTGTTGATTATTTACCATCTCCCTTGAGATATTTGATGTGCTTGCAAAAATCCCATGTGATCTCGATCATAATTTCAGAAACTCCTGTGAATTTTTGAGATTATCCCATGTGAGGATGAAACTTTTGCATTAATAGTTAAATATTCTTGGCCTCTACAAATTTGTTTCGGGTCAAAAACACTGACCTTCCTTTTTTGTAATTTTTCTTAATCTTGGTCTCTATCTGTTAGGAAGATGTTCTCTGAATTAACTTTAACTGACGCCATGGATAGCATGGAATATTTACAAAGCAAATTGGGCATGAATTCGATATCAGATAGATGATGTATTTGGGTTGGCATCGTGGGTTGTGGGAGGGAGGTAAAAAGGTGGTGGTCATTGGTCAAGTCAAGAGCGGACCTCAGTCGGCCCAGAGAGAGATCAAATGCCGTTATGTCTGCCACAGCTGCTCTGACAAGTCAACCGCCTTTCCACAATGATGCCAACCAGCCAACTGAGATTAGCCGTCAACTTGGGAGCCAAATACGTGGCCCCTCAGCATCTTTGTAGAAGCCTATTATAACCGTAGAGGCAAACACCAGCACTGGACCTGTTGTCCGCGTCTTAACAAGAGACCTTCCCGCATTCTACCTTTAATGCCCCCACGGGTGGGGTCACAACTCACAAGTCGGCAATCAAAATTTTAGGAGTTAGCAATATTAAGGCTCAAAATTTTAATAGATCGTATAGCCGCACGGCTATACTACGGTTTTTTATTATAAAAAATAGTATAGCCGTGCGGCCCTTTTCTAAACCCTAAACATAACTCCGTCGTCATCCTCCTCTCTCTCTCTCTCTCTCTCTCTCTCTCTCTCTCTCAGCGCCTGCCTAGACCGCCTAGCTCCTCCTAGCCCGCCTGGACCGCCTAGCTCCTCCTAGCCGCCTAGACCGCCTAGGGCCCGCCTAGACCCGCCTAGCCCGCCTAGCCATTTATTCAACTCCATTCAATGCTTTGTATGAAATAGCCTTTCAGGTTTCCTTAATTGCTCAAGGGGATGTTCCTCTGTCTATTGTAATGACGGTATGCACAACTCTTGGGGCAGTACCCCTGGATTCAGGTTTTGGGAGAAGCTTACCAAGTCTTAAGTGACCCAGGCCAACACCCAGCATACGATGCTTTTGGAAAATCAGGGATCTCAACGTTAGTTTCTTGCTCTTAATCTGTGAATTTATGAATTCTAAGATTGAAAGGTGTCTGACACGCACCTCATAGGTTGCCTGCATTTGTCACAGTGTATGTGTGTGTTAGCTTAACACATAGTTGCGTGTTTCTGACATTTTTTGAATGGTTCCCTTTCTTTCAGCGACTCAATTATTGATCCTGCAGCAATCTTCGCTATGCTTTTTGGTAGTGAGCTTTTTGAGGAATATATTGGCCAGCTAGCCATGGCATCAATGGGCTTCACTAGATATTTTCTCAGAAGGGGAGCGGTTCGATCCCAAAAAGCTGCAAGAGAAAATGCGGGTACTGTTTTGTTTATTTATCCTCACTAACCCAGTGATCCAAATTCTGCCATTTATGTAACTGATTCTGCAAAGGAAATTAAGAACAAGGTTTGGGTTTGCTGTTGCTTTGGGTTTATTTGTACAACCTTTCTATTTACTGAGACTCTTGCACAATCATTATCGATTCTCTGATTCTAGGGCCAAAGTCTTCAATTGATGCAAGGTTTCAAATTGTAACCTTTTAAACTCTCAGTGAAAAACATGCTTCTCTATTTCTTCAAATATATAGCTGTCTTTCCTTTTCCGAAACCATCATCTACTCTTTTCTTAGCTTTCCCACACCACCAAACCGTAGTTTCACAGTGCCAAATTTTTCTACCCGAAATCACACAGTCCAAATGGTCCAAAATTCTTCAGGATTAACAAAATAAGAATTTGTGTGCATGTACGCAGATAAACAGGTATGCATTTTCTGGTGGACAAGATTCAATAGAGAAACATAGAGAACTTGGAGCACATCGCGAGGTATTTGAATTGTCTTACATGTTAGTAATAGAAATTTGTCGTCCTCAATTGGTTTTGAGAGTGTTATTTGTTGCTGGATCTATTACCTTCCCTTCTCATTATAGATTGTCCAAGCAAGAAAAAAAATTCTGCTTCTCTGTCTGCACTTACATGCCAATTTGATTCATGTCTTATAAGATTTGTCTGTCAGTAGTGTACTTGGTGCCTTTTAGTAACTTATTGAGGAAAAAGAAATTTTGTTGGCTTGTAATTTAGCTACTCATTTTATGATTTCATCATGGATGGCATTCCTGTAAAAGTCAAATAAATACTGTTACTGCATCCAATTTCAATAGTATATTATGCTGTGAGACGTTTAATGGGGACTATCGTCCAAACTATGCCCAACAGTTCATTGCCTTTTGAAGGTGAAAAAATTGCTGAGCAGTAGTTCGTTGCTCAAGATGTAGGAACTGATTTTACGATATGCTAATGTGATTAATATCTGATGGAGCTGTTTCTATGATTATTTCCTAAGCTTTTGAATATAAATTTCAGTGATATGGTCTGTTTTCTACAGCTTACAGGTGTTGATGCGTTGAATACAATTGGCTACATATATGCCAGAAAGTCAGCAAAAGAGCTACAGGTAAAGATGTCTTTGTTTGTACGTAGACTGTAATAAACTTCAGTGTTATATCGCGAGATCGGAAACTTTTACCAAATTGGAACTTCATCCAAACTACAGTGCCAAAATCATACTTTATAAATAAAATCCATACATGCCAAGAAGATCATACCTATTTTCATAGAGAAAAACGATGTTGGTACCCCATAAATTTGCTCACTATACCCGCCTAAATAATTGACGGTCAACAATTTTTTTTTTTTTTGTTTGACAAAAGAAAAATAATAAAAGAAAGAACGGAAAAAATATATGAAAAGCAGATCCATTTTTTTAAAACCCGTATAATGAGCAAATTGAAGCAACTTTGGCCAAGGTTGCAATATAGGCATGTGCAATTTATAAGCACAAAGACGTTAAATTAAGTACACGCAGATTGCTAAACAATAAGAAGGTCTTGTCAGTGCTAATGCTATGATTACTAAAACAATTTTGACAGTTGTAAAATCCAAAATATACCAATCCCAAGAAGTGGACATGAACATTTATTTATTTTTTGGTTTGGAAATTGCAATACGTTTTGAAGGTTCAATCCTTCGGTATTTAGTTTGTTTAAAAAAACCAATTCACATGTAAAAACAGCAGAGAGGTCAAAGACAGAAATAAAATGGAATTCTGTTCTTTTTTGGTAACCTTGATGTTCCTGAATCTTCCCGTTCTCCTCTATTCTAGATGTGTTCATTTGTTCTAGATGCTTGCAAAGATAGGGTATATCATTCGTTGTTAGGCTATGTTCCTGCGTAATATGATGGCCCTTTTTGCATCTTTTGGGTCTTGGAAAAATGTCAGTAATCTGTTTGCTTATCTTTGGGGTTTTCTTGGGCTGTAACAGGATCGATGGAGATTTAAATTTTCCTGATAACTATGCTCCATTTACGTATCTTGTTTAGGATATATTAGTGTACTTAATTTTTTATTTTGGTTCTATGACTTGTTTCAATTTTGTTTTCCACTGATGTTGTTTCAGATTTCATGAAGGCTTGCTTTCCAGTGAGCAAGGTGCCTACATTGCAGAGTCTATCGCTGCTAAGAACATGAAACAAGCGAAGAGCCGTTTTCGGATGTATGAGGATGCCACAGTACCAATCAGTTTCTCTTTTATTCATTTGGACTAATTGTTTTAGAAACTTATTGTTCAATTTTTTTTGGCCGTTGCATTTGTTTTTGTTCCCAGGATCATGGTGGTTCTAATCATTCTGCAAAAGTAGAGCCAGCCAATGGTTGTACAGGTGAAAGGGAAACTGGGAAGTCTGCAAAGAAACTTGGTGAGTTATTGTTGCATCTGTTTTTCCACTGGAAATTTCTTTTTGTTTTTACTTTATGAATTTATTAGTCGCATTACAATCATTTTGATGTGCTAGATAAAGGAAGGACTGCAAAAGAGGAGGCATCCAAACGTGAGAAGGTCCGAGAAATACAGAAAAATCTATTATTAGTATCACACCTTTTATTTATTTTAATACATGCACAAATAGATATTATAACAGTACAGCCGATCGGCTATACTCTCTAAATACAATATATTAACAGTATAGCCGATCAGCTTTAAATACAATATTTTACCATTATAGCCGCCAGGCTCGACTGTATAAATAGAAATTATAAACGTACAGCCGGACGGCTATACTTTCTAATTAGATTCGAATATTTAAACGTACAGCCGTGCGGCTATACTCTTTAATATTATTCGAACGAACACGAAGCTTGCACTCGCAGTGGACGGAACTTCTCTCGCAGTCACTGTTTCGTCCTCCGGGTTCGGCGCCGAAAAAAGACCCAACCTGCCTAGGCGCCCGCCTAGCTACTACCTAGCCGCCTAGCCACCGCCTAGCCGCCTAGCCGCCTAGCGCCCGCCTAGCCACCGCCTAGCCGCCTAGCGCCCGCCTAGCCGCCGCCTAGCCGCCTAGCTGCCCGCCTAGGCCGACTTTTCAAACACTGCGATTGACTGAAAGTCTGAAACCCGAAATTGAAAAATTTAGCTGCAAATTTGAGCTTGAGATTGCAAGGGAAGCTGCCCCATTTGTGGATCCTGCTGTTTTGGTGGAAACTTATGAACAAGAGGAATGTGTCGATGATCTTGAAGGGGATGATCGGATTCAATCTGCGCTTGCTCACATTGTGACGCACGCACTTTTGAAGATGCTCCTGGACCTGGTAACATATATATACCTTTGATGTTACTTGCAATGCATTTATGCTTTTGGACTATTTTGATTGAATTGTGCTTAGGTCTTTTAAGTATCTTGTTGTGTCTTGAAGTTTGTGAATTATATCAGTTGATATACCTGAATGTGGTCTGAATACATAACAAATCCAAAAAAAATATATATAAAAAGCTACTATCTTTCTAATATCTTATCCCTACATGGTTGATTTTTTTTTGTCTCTCTATTGTTCTATCTTCCACCATCTCCTCTCTAAAAATAGGCAAGTAATTCACCTTCAAAGGTTTTGCCTTATTAGTTTTTCCTTAACAGTTCTGGAGATCCGTTGCATTCATCTTGTTTGGGTGTTCCTTATTAAATAAGTTGCAGGTTTGATATTTGCCCTTTCAATTCCTCCTTTATGCTCAGATTATGCAAAGAAAGAATTTCATATTAGAATGCTTTTCAATCCAACTTCCTCTGGTAATACTTTCTTGTCTCAAAGCCTGAATTTTGTCAAGCACAATTGAAATATGTGATAAATATATATATATATATGTGTGTGTGGTGTGTGTGTGTGTGTAGTAGTAGTATTCACTCCTTTTTTCGTTTATTCATCACTGTGTGTGTTATGGTTGTAGACAAAATGCAGTTCCTCAATGATATTATGAACTCAGGAAGCTTCTGTTACAAGTTTCCCTCCTTAATAATCTACATTATGTATTTGATTTTAGTCTAATCTTCTTCTTTTTACAGCAAGTGGAGGAGGCATTTGCTTTCTGTGGTACTCCAGAAGGTGATCTGGTCCATCCTGCAGCAGTACTGGAGACAGTTAGGCGTCATAGAGTCAATGTCGATGGCAATGTCTGTACTGTCATGGTAACCACTTTGGTTCTTGAGGTAATTTCTTTTCCTTTATCTATTGCAGCCAAGGCATGGAAATTCTCTTATGAAATTCTGTAATCTTCGCAATATAGGCGTGTGAAATTTATAAGCACAAAGACATTAAATTAAAGCACACGTAGATTATTAAGTTGTCTTTTTCTTTATTTGTTTTTCTGCTTTTTTCTGTTGGCCATATATCCTTTACTCCTTTCTCTTCTCTTTATAAATTTAATTTAATTGTCTCAGAAAAACAAATATGATAGTTTTTTGTATTATATAATAGGTTTACCATGAGTAGCAGAAATAGACAATTACTGATATCTTATACAAATCTGAGAGGCAATTTGCTCCAATTTATATTATCATTGGTGTGATCATCAATTAACTGATCTTATACAAATCTCATCACTGGTTATGTTTTGCAGGGATGGCAGCGGAAACTTGATCCCAGGTACAATGTGATGCAAACACTGCTTCTCAAAGCTGACTGAGGGGCTAATGGCTCCATAAGAAGGTCTTGTCAGTGCTAATGCTATGATTACTAAACAGTTTTGACAGTTATAAAATCCAAAATATACCAATCCCAAGAAGTGGACATGAACATTTAGATCTTTATTCATTTTGTTTGTTTGTTTGTTTTGGAAATTGCAATACATTTTGAAGGTTCAATCCTTCGGTATTTAGTTTGTTTAAAAAAAACAATTCACATGTAAAAACAGTAGAGAGGTAAAAGACAGAAATAAAATAGAATTCTGTTCTTTTTTGGTAACCTTGATGTTCCTGAATCTTCCCGTTCTCCTCTATTCTAGATGTGTTCATTTGTTCTAGATGCTTGCAAAGATATATAGGGTATATCATTTGTTGTTAGGCTATGTTCCTGCGTAATATGATGGCCCTTTTTGCATCTTTTGGGTCTTGGAAAAATGTCAGTAATCTGTTTGCTTATCTTTGAGTTTTCTTGGGCTGTAACAGGATCGATGGAGATTTAAATTTTCCTGATAACTATGCTCCATTTACGTTTTATAATTTTTTTAGGACATATTAGTGTTTTTAATGTGTTTTTTTTGTTCTGTAACTTGTTTCAAATTTTTTTCCACTTATGTTGTTTCAGATTTCCTGAAGGCTTGCTTTCCAGTGAGCAAGGTGTCTACATTGAAGAGTCAGCCGCTGCTAAGAACATCAAAACAAGCTAAGGGCCGTTTTCGGATGTATGAGGATGCCACGGTACCAATCAGTTTCTCTTTTATTTATTTGGACCAATTGTTAGGAAATTATTCTGCAAAGAAACCTGGAGAGTTATTGTTGCATCTGTACTTTTTCCACTGGAAATCTCTCTTTGTTTTTTACTTTATGAATTTATTAGTAGCATGCATTACAATCATTTTGATGTGCTAGATAAAGGAAGGACTGCAAAGGAGGAGGCACGTGAGTTACAGCTTAGGGAGGAGGCATCCATACCTGAGAGGGTCCGAGAAATACAGAAAAATCTATCTTCCATACTTAAAGCACTTGGGGAAATGTCCATTGCTGATCCTATTTTAGCACACACAGTCAGCTTCCTTCCCTGATATGTTCTAAGAGTCTGAACTCGTGGAATGTTTGTTATTTATTTTTAAGATATATGTCTGAATATCTTTTTATCGTTTTTGGATTGTTGTCTTTCTCCAGCTTATTATCTCTTCCATCCATTTTTCTTAGATGGATTTTGATTTTTCTTATTTACTAATTATAATTTATTTCCTGGATCTTATTATTAGTATCACACCTTTTATTTATTTTAATACATGCACAAATAGACGGCTATACTCTCTAATGAGGGCATATCAAATCATATTCCTGAGGCTTCTGCAACGTTATCAGTGTTATAGCCGCAAGGCTCGACTGTATAAATAGAAATTATAAATGTACCGCCGCACGGCTATACTTTCTAACGATATTCGAATATTTTAAACGTACCGCCGCACGGCTATACTCTTTACATATATTCCTACGACCACGAAGCTTGCACTCGCAGTGGACGCAACTTTCTCTCGCAGTCACTGCTTCGTCCTCCGGGTTCGGCGCCGAAAAAAGACCCAACCCGCCTAGGAGCCCGCCTAGCGCCCGCCTAGCCGCCTAGCCACCGCCTAGCCGCCTAGCAGCCCGCCTAGGTCGACTTTTCAAACAATTGACTGAAAGTCTGAAACTCGAAATTGAAAAAATTTAGCTGCAAATTTGAGCTTGAGATTGGGAAGCCGAAGGAGTGAAGCACAAGTGAGGTCCATAGAAGAAGAGATCATGTGACTCTTAATTCATCCAATTCCATTCCCCTCCCTGTTTCGCGCCTTATATTCTTCTCTCTTCGCACTGACAACATGGCGCAGAAGAAAAAAATACAAAATTTGCTGATTTGGTGTCTGTCTTCTGTGGAAGGAAATGATGAAGTTGTCCTATCATGGAGTTTCTATGGCCTTGCCAATAACAAGGTTCTGTGAATGGCATGCGTTAGGCTACTTGAATTCAAATTGATTCTGAAGTTTAAACATTTCTGTGAATGGCATGCGTTTAGCTTCTCTTGCTTTGCTTATTCTTTAATATGCAAATGGCATTTATGCTTGTACCTCACTGCCTGTGTTTTAGGTGGAGAATGTTAGTACAATTTTTGTTTGCCGCATTCCTCGTAATAGTGATTCACTATTTCAGAGTAGTCGAAATTCACCCTTCAGCTATCGTTGTGTTGCTACTCATAACTGTATTAACTATATGAGTCATGACTTGCTGTTTAGTTAATTGGATATTCTTCCTTAACATATGCAGGTTTTTCTGTGTTGAAATGAGACTGAACATATAGTGGAATAAATACAAATTTCATGTGAAAAATGCGGTCCAAGTGTTTGGAATTGCAGCAAGATTTCTTTTTGAAAGCTTAAATGTCAGGAAGCAAAGTGTTTCTAACGTATAAGCGAAAGCGGCAATCAAGAACAGATCCTGTACAGGGACATGAGTGCCGTAATTCACTTTTTGTTGCTCCCAATGATACTTCTTTAAGCAAACCACCAGACTTGCAAGTTCATTTGATTGATAAGCGTTCATCAGAAAATTACAACAGAAATTCTGCGGTGAGATTTTAGAAAGTTGGAACCTGTTCACTTTTTGTAGTTTGTTTCATAGGAATATATGTTGTATGTCAATCATCTTTATGTAGATAATTTAATAATCCATCCTTCCCTATTTTTCCTCTAATAATTTTGTTCTTGAAAAAAAATACTGAAAAAAAAAAAGGTTTTAAGGAATTACCAGATAACACCAGAATGTGCCCTATTCAACCGACCCTTGAAAGCATATCTAGTTGAGATGAACATTTAGATTTGATTCTTTAATTTAGGTTTCTGTGAAGATCTTCTCTTAGTTGTCTTAGATCTATAATTTATTTTTAAGGTCATTGCTATTTTCTGTCTCACCTGCCTCTTTTTCTTGCAGGTATGCCATGTTGTTTTGTGTGCTGTGTTGGAGGTAACCTGAAGCACTGTGGAAAATGCCTTCAGTCGTATCATCTCCAATGCCTAGATAAGCCCCATGAGGAAAAGAAACACATTGAAGTGTCTGGCACAAGACAAATACCAATTAAAACCATTCCGACAAGTCTTGATGAGGTTCCTTCCCAAAGGGATGCATATGGGAATAAGTCTAGTGGCAAGAAAGTAGGCTCATCTTCAAATGCTAATGCTGGAGCATTGGTTGATGATAATAATGTTGGAGGGAGGTTAGTTTCTCAATTGGTGATGAATTCCGCTGTAATTATTGCTGATTTTGTAAGACAAAAATCATCATCAGCAGCAGCAGCAGCATTTGAAAGAAAAAGCAGCTCTGAATGTGATGGTAGCTCGCCAAGATTGAATATATTAAACTTAGAAGACACTGATTCATTCTCTAGAAATAAGTTAGATAAATTCGGTGGTGATTCAGCTTGCATATAGAAATAGCTGCTCATTGATAACCAAATTGAATAATTCTGTTTGTACTAATACCAGTTCTTATGAAGAAACTTCCCCTGAAAACTGCTCAGTAGATCATGAAGCAGATTTGAAGCACTCCAGAGAGGTATGTAATATGAAGCCTATCTTTCGTCAATTTTGGAAATAATGTATCTGCCTATGAGCACAAACACAATCATGTGAAATGAGAAATAGAAAATACGATGCGACATGGAAAATACATTCTCATTTACATGTATTCTATAATAATACATATGTATAAAAACAAGGTCAGAATAAAAGGTACATAATTGTTAGTGCTTAGTTGCCCTCGAGTGGCTGACTGACTCCACTATTATGTGCATTCTTAACCTGTACTTCATTTCTGTATATGTAATTTGTAATCACCGATCTAATTTCTTTGCTACGGATCTTTGATTTTACATATGCTCGTGCTGGATCTGCTGCCGCTGAACTAAACTGTTGGTTCACATTAACTTCAGAACTTATTGGTTTCTTATATTTTAATTGCTTACTTCATTCATCGGGACAGTTTGATGCATGAAGAAGAACAACTTCATGATGAGGAAAAGACAGGCAGTGACGCCTTACAACAGGCTGGAGAAGTACTTGGCCAGAGTGCTCAAAGTGCAATGGATGTTGAAGTTCTTTGCATGGATCATTTAAGAAAAAGTAGTGATACTAGAGACTCCTCTTCTGAAGCTGCAACTCTATGTAAACCAGGAAAAACCCATGCATTGATAAGAGATGAAGCTCAAGTTTTATCAAGTGCTGATCCTAAAGCCACAGAAACCCCTCATTTAGGCAGATCACCTCCTTATTTGGACTTGTCTGCTATCCCCACTGGTAATAGGACTTCATTAATTTCCAGGAATGCATTTGAACCAGTAACATTATCAATTCACATTGTGTTTAACTTATTCATTTTGGACTAATTGTTTTAGAAACTTATTCTTCAATTTTTTTTGGCTGTTGCATTTGTTTTTGTTCCTAGGACCATGGTGGTTCTAATCATTCTGCAAAAGTATGGCCAGCCAATGGTTGTACAGGTGAAAGGGGGAACTGGGAGGTCTGCAAAGAAACCTGGTGAGTTATTGTTGCATCTGTTTTTCCACTGAAAATTTCTTTTTGTTTTTTACTTTATGAATTTATTAGTCGCGTTACAATCATTTTGATGTGCTAGATAAAGGAAGGACTGCAAAACAGGAGGCATCCAAACGTGGGAAGGTCCGAGAAATACAGAAAAAGCTATCTTCCTTGCTTTAAGCACTTGGGGAAATGGCCAGTCTAATATTTGAAGAGTATAGTCGCGGCTGTATTATTTAATTATTATATTTAAATGGTACCGCCGCTCGGCTATACTCATAAAATATTATATTCAAATAGTACAGCCGCGCGGCGATACGCTTTAAATAGAATATTTAACAGTATCGCCGGCCGGCTATACTCGTTAAATAGACTATCATAACACTATAGCCGCGCGGCTATACTTTATAAATAGAATATTTGAACATATAGCCGGGCGGCTATACTCTATAAATAGAATATGTGAACATATAGCCGGTTGGCTATACGCTATGAATAGAAATTTTTAGCTATACAGCCGCCCGGCTATACCCTTTAAATAGAATATTGTAACAGTATAGCCGATCGGCTGTACGCTATAAATAGAAAATTTTCACAGTATATTCGTTTTGTTTATCTGCTTTTGTGTGTTGGCCATATATCCTGTCTTTCAAGAGAAGAAGCCTGCAGAGAAAAAACCTGTTAAGCCAAAGTGGGGGTTGTCTCGAGCGGGTATTGAATCGAGTCATGTCGGAAATTGTCAACAAATAGAAAATAAATGTTTTCAACTAGGAATATCATTTAAAGAAATATTTTTTTATCTACTACTGGGGGTTAAAAAAGCATTAAAATTTAACCTGGAAAATACAAATCTATAAAGAATAACAAGCCACTTCCCATGAACCCTAAATTTAGGGGGTGGTAAAAAAAGATGAAGAAAGAATAATTTATTTCCTGGATCTTATTATTAGTATCACACCTTTTACTTATTTAATTCATGCACAAATAGATATTACAGTATAGCCGCGCGGCTATACTATATAATGAGGACACACCAAATCAAATCACACTGCAGAGGCTTCCGCAAGGCTCGACTGTATAAATAGAAATTATAGACGCACAGCCGTACGGCTATACGTTCTAATTAGATTAGAATATTTTAAATGTACAGCCGTTCGGCTATACGCTTTAAACATATTCCAACCAACACGAAGCTTGCACTCGCATTGGACGGAACTTTCTCTCGCAGTCACTGCTTCGTCCTCCGGGTTCGGCGACCCAACCCGCCTAGCTACTACCTAGCCGCCTAGCCGCCTAGCCACCGCCTAGCCGCCTAGCCGCCTAGCCACCGCCTAGCCACCGCCTAGCCACCGCCTAGCTGCCTAGCTACCGCCTAGGCCGACTTTTCAAACACTGCAATTGACTGAAAGTCTGAAACCCGAAATTGAAAAAATTTAGCTGCAAATTTGAGCTTGAGATTGCAAGGGAAGCTGCCCCATTTGTGGATCCTGCTGTTTTGGTGGAAACTTATGAACAAGAGGAATGTGTCGATGATCTTGAAGGGGATGATCGGATTCAATCTGCGCTTGCTCACATTGTGACGCACGCACTTTTGAAGATGCTCCTGGACCTGGTAACATATATATACCTTTGATGTTACTTGCAATGCATTTATGCTTTTGGACTATTTTGATTGAATTGTGCTTAGGTCTTTTAAGTATCTTGTTGTGTCTTGAAGTTTGTGAATTATATCAGTTGATATACCTGAATGTGGTCTGAATACATAACAAATCCAAAAAAAATATATATAAAAAAGCTACTATCTTTCTAATATCTTATCCCTACATGGTTGATTTTTTTTTGTCTCTCTATTGTTCTATCTTCCACCATCTCCTCTCTAAAAATAGGCAAGTAATTCACCTTCAAAGGTTTTGCCTTATTAGTTTTTCCTTAACAGTTCTGGAGATCCGTTGCATTCATCTTGTTTGGGTGTTCCTTATTAAATAAGTTGCAGGTTTGATATTTGCCCTTTCAATTCCTCCTTTATGCTCAGATTATGCAAAGAAAGAATTTCATATTAGAATGCTTTTCAATCCAACTTCCTCTGGTAATACTTTCTTGTCTCAAAGCCTGAATTTTGTCAAGCACAATTGAAATATGTGATAAATATATATATATATATGTGTGTGTGTGTGTGTGTGTGTAGTAGTAGTATTCACTCCTTTTTTCGTTATTCATCACTGTGTGTGTTATGGTTGTAGACAAAATGCAGTTCCTCAATGATATTATGAACTCAGGAAGCTTCTGTTACAAGTTTCCCTCCTTAATAATCTACATTATGTATTTGATTTTAGTCTAATCTTCTTCTTTTTACAGCAAGTGGAGGAGGCATTTGCTTTCTGTGGTACTCCAGAAGGTGATCTGGTCCATCCTGCAGCAGTACTGGAGACAGTTAGGCGTCATAGAGTCAATGTCGATGGCAATGTCTGTACTGTCATGGTAACCACTTTGGTTCTTGAGGTAATTTCTTTTCCTTTATCTATTGCAGCCAAGGCATGGAAATTCTCTTATGAAATTCTGTAATCTTCGCAATATAGGCGTGTGAAATTTATAAGCACAAAGACATTAAATTAAAGCACACGTAGATTATTAAGTTGTCTTTTCTTTATTTGTTTTTCTGCTTTTTTCTGTTGGCCATATATCCTTTACTCCTTTCTCTTCTCTTTATAAATTTAATTTAATTGTCTCAGAAAAACAAATATGATAGTTTTTTGTATTATATAATAGGTTTACCATGAGTAGCAGAAATAGACAATTACTGATATCTTATACAAATCTGAGAGGCAATTTGCTCCAATTTATATTATCATTGGTGTGATCATCAATTAACTGATCTTATACAAATCTCATCACTGGTTATGTTTTGCAGGGATGGCAGCGGAAACTTGATCCCAGGTACAATGTGATGCAAACACTGCTTCTCAAAGCTGACTGAGGGGCTAATGGCTCCATAAGAAGGTCTTGTCAGTGCTAATGCTATGATTACTAAACAGTTTTGACAGTTATAAAATCCAAAATATACCAATCCCAAGAAGTGGACATGAACATTTAGATCTTTATTCATTTTGTTTGTTTGTTTTGTTTTGGAAATTGCAATACATTTTGAAGGTTCAATCCTTCGGTATTTAGTTTGTTTAAAAAAAACAATTCACATGTAAAAACAGTAGAGAGGTAAAAGACAGAAATAAAATAGAATTCTGTTCTTTTTTGGTAACCTTGATGTTCCTGAATCTTCCCGTTCTCCTCTATTCTAGATGTGTTCATTTGTTCTAGATGCTTGCAAAGATATATAGGGTATATCATTTGTTGTTAGGCTATGTTCCTGCGTAATATGATGGCCCTTTTTGCATCTTTTGGGTCTTGGAAAAATGTCAGTAATCTGTTTGCTTATCTTTGAGTTTTCTTGGGCTGTAACAGGATCGATGGAGATTTAAATTTTCCTAATAACTATGCTCCATTTACGTATCTTGGGTTGTAAGCAACAGTTGAGAAACTATAGTTTGCTGTCATAATGACTTCATAGCCATAAAAGCTTTTGCAGTAAGAAAGTATATATTCAATCTTCTCTGTCTATGTGGATTTTAATTTGACATATGAAGACAGAAGCTAGTTTTGTATACGAGCATTGTTGGCAGAGTTTGCACTCATACAAATATTCTTTAAGGTTGTGGTGCTGGGCATGTTTTGTTTAGTTTGTTTTGGAGTTCTTGCGGTGCAAATGTGCAGCTTGAGGAGTCTTTTTTGATCAAGGTGAGTCTTAATTTGCAGGTATATATCAGCAGCTGTTTGCGGGTTTATCCCTCTTGTTGCTTAGGCAACTTAAACCCTCAACATAGTGAGGTGTGGGGCGAAAGGGGCCACCATTCTCTTTCTTTCTTCAATCGTTCCGATCAGCACAAGTGGGTTGGTTCATTTCGTCCTTCTATCTATGCAATTCTCTGTCTTCGTTCCCTAAGTCCGAGTTTTTTCAGCAATCACCATTATCTCTTTCTTACGCATGGCAGCAATATAATAAAAGAGGGTCTGCCCGCCCCCAGAGGAAGACCTTTATTTTGAACTAATATGAGAGTATCCATTATCGGTTCTTTGCTTGGTTGATTGAATATCTCTTTCCTTGCCTACCTTAGTCTTAATCCGCCTTTAGGGAGTGAAGTGAACCAGGGGTGATCTAATAAGTTGTGAAAGAATCAATTGAGGTATTAATCAAATAGAATGTAAACCTTACGACATGATCTGGCTTGCTGCGAATCCTTGTGTTCCAGTTTTGTTTCGGCTTTAGTCAAATTGGTAATAAAGCTATAAAAATTCTCTTCTTAAACTCTATTGTAAGTCTATGGAAGATCTTCATTGTTTTATGCTCAGATTGAAATGTTGAAACTTTCATAAATTTTGGTGGGCATGCAAGATTAATCCTTCATTTACATGTTTGACACTTGCAGGTTGCTATGCAAAATTCTTCTTTGGGTGTGGTTTTGGCCACTTCTCATTTCACCTCGCCGATGGTTTGAATTATTCTATTGAAAGTAGTATAGCCGAGCAGCTATACTTGGGGATTTTTACACATAAAAGTAATACAAATTTATAAATAAACCCAATCCTAGACATGTATTTATAAAAAAAACCCAAGCATTATTTAAACATAGAAACACACCCAAAATCAACTCCAAAGTCAACTTTTTGGGTGTGTTTATAATGAGTTTTGAGTGTGTGTAATGATGAGTTTTGGGTGTGTTTATATGTTTAAATAGTGCTTGGGTTTTTTTATAATTTCAACCCCCATTTTGGGTGTTTTAGTGAAACTCCCTAAAAATAAAGAGTATAGCCTTGTACGGCTATACTCTTTACATGGATACTATTATCTTTTTTCCACAATTTTTGTTTATCGATAGCTTAGAGCATTTTCCATTACTATTAGGCCTTCACACGAGTCTCTATTGAACCCTTTTGAGTTTTTACTTTTCTAAAGTTATTAGCCGTATACAAAATTTAGCATTTCCATGTTTAATACTCGCATTTTACACGTATGTATGTATTTTTCATGTTTAATACACTTGTTTTTGACAAAATCTTCAATAATACACATAAAATTCACGTATTATAAACCCAGTTTTCACATACTATTCAATAAAAATAATATATATTCACAAATTTAAATCTATAAAGTATATATATCAAAACTAGCAAATTAATATCTATAAAGTATAAACTAATGCAAACAGAATGGTTTTTTTTTTTTAATAAATCGTATAGCCGCACGGCTATACTACGGTTTTTTATTTTAAAATATAGTATAGCCGTTCGGCCCTTTTCTAAACCCTAAACATAACTCCGTCGTCATCCTTGTTTCTCTCTCTCTCTCTCTCTCTCTCTCTCTCTCCAGTGCCCGCCTAGACCGCCTAGCCCCCGCCTAGCGCCCGCCTAGGCCATTTATTCAACTCCATTCAATGCTTTGTATGAAATAGCCTTTCAGGTGACCTTAATTGCTCAAGGGGATGTTCCTCTGTCTATTGTAATGACGGTATGCACAACTCTTGGGGCAGTACCCCTGACTCCTCTACTAACAAAGATATTGGCAGGGACTTACGTCCCTGTAGATGCTGCCAAACTGTCAATGAGCACCATGCAGGTTAAGTCACCTTGAACCTGTTCTGCTTCAAACAACCAATCTTTGTCCTCGACATAGAGTAATATTTGAGGTGTTTCTTGTATACCATTTCAGTTTTGTGCTAGTAATGGGATGATGGGAATTTGTCTATATATTTAAAATTTTCATTTCCTTTATATGGGTTCGATGTTCAGCAATTTGTTTTTCTTTCTCAAGTGTGTTACATCTGTTTGAAGACTTCTGTTCACTTCTTCGGAATAAGTTGGGAGAGAGCTACGTATATATATATATATATATATCATGGCTTGTAGCACTCCAATTATACCAAAGGACTTCTTCATGAAAACAGACCAAGAACAGTCTGGAGAAGACGAAAATAAAAATAGTTCTGGTTTTGAAAAAGTTAAAGAAATGCACACAAATTTTTAATTTTCAGGAAATAATAATGTACATTCTTTCAAAATTTACTTCCTTTCCACTATTGTTTTCTCTGTTTGGCTGGCTTGAACGAAAATGTGGATGAAGACAAGAATTTCAAGTTTTTTTGTTGTTGTTGTTATGAGATCACTAAAATTGTTGACCGAACCAAACCAAACCAAACCAAACCGAAAAAGAGTATTTTTTGACCAAACCGAAAAAGTCAACAACGGACCTGAACCGAACCGAAGGTTAACGGTTCAGCCTTCGGGTCTAATTTTTATAGAACCGAAAAACCTGAACCGAACCGACATTATTTTAATATATATAATTATTACACGTGGCGTCGTATGATTGGCCCAAAAAATTATTAATGTGAGACTGCTTGCAGCAGATCCCTCACGATTTTTTAATTTTTCCCTTAAGTCCCCGTGAGTCACACGTGACTCTCTCTCTTCTCTTTCTCTCAGACTTCTCATCCTCTCTTGTCTCTTCAGTTTTTCATTTCGTTTTGACCTAAGACTCAGAGGCTGCGACGACGCCTCTCTCTCTCGACCGTCTCTAGTTCGATCCTCTCACTCTCAGTCGATCAGCCACCGTGCCGCCTCCATCCCTCCACGCAGGTCAGCTTCTCTTCTCTTATATGTTCGATTTTTTTTCCGTCGCGTCTTTGCTCCGCGAACTCTCTCTTTGCTCTCTCTTCTTATCTCGATTTTTCTATTTTCTCTCAGTCTCAGTTTCTGATCACCGACGAGTCGACGACATCTATTCCTCTCCTGCGATTTCGTCTGTGGGTTTCTCTCTCATATCAGTCAAAGAGGTGAGAGCATCATCTTCCTTTGAATTTAGGGTTTATTGTAAATTAAATTTATGGTTTTTTTCTGTTAAATTAGGCTTGTCGATTTGGTGGTTGAGGTTAATGTGATGATATATTTTTTCTGTTAAGGTTTTAGCCTTTAGGGTTGTCGAATTAGGGCTGCCACCAATTAGTAGGTTATGCTGTGTTTTGATGATTATTTGAAATTGACAAAGAAATTATGAACTGTAAGTATCATGCATTATACAAATTAGGGCTGCAAGTAATGGTTATTGGAAGGAAAAAGAATCTCCAACTAAAAGTCTGACTTATGTTGACCAAAGAAAAATGAGTCTCTCTGATGAATCCCTTAAGGTTTCGCAATTAATTGACAGCAACCAAACAGAGACATATAGTTTTACAGTAAACTGATTTTGGTAGTTTTTTAATTTTTATAAACAAAAATTCTAATTAGTCTAATGTACGGGATGTGACTATTAAAGATTAAGGCATGCAGTTCAGATATTGGTTTTAATTTTAGGACTTTTTTTAGAGCAATGGGTATTTAAGGTTATTTGGTTTGGAGGCATTGAAAGGAATGAAGCTTGTTTGTAACCTAACCCTTTTTTGATTTCATTCACAGTTGTTTAGCGTCGTTGCTGCTGCTGAGCGTTGAAAGTTTGGAAAATTTTGCTTAAATGGAGGTAAATATTCGCTGCTGCTGCTAATCTATTTAAATCTGTTTTTGTAATATGTTTAAATCTGTGTTGTAATATGTTTAAAGCTGTTTTTGTAATCTGTTTTATAATCTGTTTTTGTAATCTGTTTTATACTCTGTTTTTGTAATATGTTTAAAGCTGTTTTGTACTCTGTTTATAATCTGTTTTTGTAATCTGTTTTTATACTCTGTTTTTGTAATATGTTTAAAGCTGTTTTTGTAATCTGTTTTATAATCTGTTTTTGTAATCTGTTTTTATACTCTGTTTTTGTAATATGTTTAAAGCTGTTTTTGTAATCTGTTTTATAATCTGTTTTTGTAATCTGTTTTTATACTCTGTTTTTGTAATATGTTTAAAGCTGTTTTTGTACTCTGTTTTATAATCTGTTTTTGTAATCTGTTTTTATACTCTGTTTTTGTAATATGTTTAAAGCTGTTTTGTACTCTGTTTATAATCTGTTTTTGTAATCTGTTTTTATACTCTGTTTTTGTAATATGTTTAAAGCTGTTTTTGTAATCTGTTTATAATCTGTTTTTGTAATCTGTTTTATACTCTGTTTTGTAATATGTTTAAAGCTGTTTTTGTACTCTGTTTTATAATCTGTTTTGTAATCTGTTTTATACTCTGTTTTTGTAATATGTTTAAAGCTGTTTTATAATCTGTTTTTGTAATCTGTTTTTATACTCTGTTTTTGTAGTCTGTTTTGTAATATGTTTTTGTATTATGTAATTTGTAATCTGTTTTTGTAGTCTGATTGTTGGATAGGTTATATGTTTTGTAGTCTGATTGTTGGATAGGTTATATGTTTTCTAGTCTGATGGTTGGATAGGCTGTGTTTAAATATGGTTTTACTCTGTTTATGAATAGGAACCTGTTTCTAATGAGGCTCAAATGCATGGGAATGATGATTCTCTACCTTGTAGTGATGCCGTTGTACCTCCTACAGCAGCATCACAAAATCCACCATCTTCACCATTAGAACCTAGTACCGGGAAAAGGAAACCTTGTAAGAAGGAGAGTGATGTGTGGGAACATTTTGAAAAGTATGATTTGGTATTGGATTTGAAAGGGGTAGATGGGACTAAAAGAAAAGAAATTGAAAAAAGAGCTAAGTGCAAGTATTGTAGTGCTACTTATGCTAGTGATACCAAGAGAAATGGGACTAGCAATATGTGGAAGCATATAAACAAACAATGCTTGCAATATCCTTATAGGCACAAGGATAAGAGCACACGGACGCTTGCATTTGATGCATCCAAGGGTAATGCTCTTGTTTCTAGGAAGTTTAACAAAGATGATTGTTTGGATGCTTGTATTAGGATGGTGGTTCGAGATGAGCTACCTTTTAGCTTTGTGGAAGGTGAAGGGTTTAGGGAATTTTGTAGTGTTGCATGCCCACAATTTAATCCACCCTCTCGTAGAACTCTTGGAAGAAGATTTCTAGAAATGTACACAAAAATGAAGGAGAAGTTGAAAGTTGACCTTCATTCACATAGAATATGCCTACAACCGATACTTGGACATCGGTTCAAAATGTGAATTACATGGTGTTGACTGCCCACTTTGTGGATTCCGACTATAAAATGCACAAAAGGATCCTAAATTTTTGTGTAATTGATAGTCATAAGTGGGAGAGCATTGGGAAATTGCTTGAAAATTGCTTGATTGATTGGGGACATGAGAAGATACTCACAATTACTGCAGATAATGCAGCTGCCAATACTAAGGCAATTGAATATGTGAGGAAGAAAATAAATGGGTGGAAAGATTCGAATAGTGTGTTAGGAGGAGTTCACATGCATATGAGGTGTAGTGCTCATATAATCAACTTGATAGTTAAGGAGGGTTTGAAGAGATTAGAAAGCTCAATTGTGGCAATCCGTAATGCGGTCAAGTTTGTGAGGTCCTCACCTTCTCGGTTGAGTTACTTCAAAATGTGTGTTGAGACCGAAAAAATAGAGTGCAAGGGGTTGGTGGTGATGGATGTGCCCACTAGGTGGAACTCCACTTATTTGATGCTTGAAGCGGCATTGAAATTTCGAAAAGCCTTTGATAGAATGGGGGATGATCCCGATTCTTCCTACTTAATGTACTTCAAGGAAGATGAAGGAGATGACGAGAGAATTGAAGGCATTGAAGGAAGTGGGAAAGGGAAGGGAAAGTCTAAGACTAATAAGAGGGGTGGGTCCACCTAGTGATGAAGATTGGGAAAAAGCCGTGACATTTGTGATGTTTTTGAAGACCTTCTATGATGTCACGTTGAAAATTTCAGCTTCTTTGCATCCAACATCACACTCAACCTTCCATGACTTGCTTGCCATAGATGGGGAGATTCGGGAGTTATATAGATATGATGTTACAATTCCTATTGAAGAACGGACAGCCATGGATACTCTTTTAAATGATATGGCAGCATCAATGAAGAAGAAATATGATAAATATTGGGGTGAAATTCATAAAGTGAACCCATTCTTGATGATAGGAGTTGTGATTGACCCCCGATTCAAGCTTCGCAATTTGAAGCACATCTTTGAAGAAATATTTGAAAATGATCCTACTTGTGAAAGATTGGTGGCTCAAAAGACAAATGAAGTGAAACAACTTCTTATGAATATGTATGAAGTGTATAAGCCTAGTAGTAACAATATGGGTGCTACTAGTACTACCAATGAAAGTGGTGGTAGTACTAACAATGAAACCGACTCTTCTTTGGTTTTTGGAGGTCGGAAGCGAAAAACCATGATGGAAAGGTGGAAAAAAATTCAACAAGAGAGTGAGAATGTGGTTATAACACATGAAGTGGATAGGTACTTGTTGGATCCACTTGAATCCATTGATGAGGAGTTTGATATACTAGGGTGGTGGAGAATAAATGGGCTCAAGTATCCTACTTTGGCATCAATTGCAAAGGATGTGCTTGCAATCCCTACTTCCACAATAGCTTCGGAGTCTTGTTTTAGCACAAGTGGGAGAGTGATTGACCCGTTTCGAAGCTCATTGTCTCCTAGGATGGTTGAGGCTTTGATTTGCTCTCAAAATTGGATAAGGTCCGAAGATATATCTTCATTGCAATATGTGCCAAGCATTGAGGAGATGGAGTTCTATGAATCAATTGAAATGGGTAATATTTTCATTTCTATAAGTATATTTGAATCTAATTATTTCCTTATTTGTATGTGTTCTAACTCAAATTGGTTTATTTATTTTATTATATTTTGTAGAAATGGGGAGTAAAACATCCACGACAAATTTGAATAAGACTCTCCCTTAGTGTGATTAAGATATGTTGGAAGGTATTTTTCTTGTATCTTATGTTAATTATGATTTGTTGATGGTGAAACTTTGTGTTAATTCTTTTAAGTGTTGTGTAGGTTACTTTGTTAAGGCTTTTGGAAGAATGGATGCAGCAGATTTTTTGCAAGGATATTATCTTCATATGTATTTTTGTGATGGGTTGTAATATTTAATTTCATAAGTTTAATTTGGTTTGTGTATTATTTTTTGTAATGGTTTGTAAAAGATTATATTTCTTTTCCTTGTTTGGTTGGTTGAATGTGTGTATGTGAGATTTATTTAGTTTAGAAACTTAGATTGGAATGATGGATTTTTATAGGTTGAATTTACATAATTTCATGTTTTGAATGTGAGATTTATTTAGTTTAGAAACTTAGATTGGAATGATGGATTTTTCTAGGTTGAATTTACATAATTTCAGGTTTTGAAAGTGAAGTAAAAAGTGTTTTGGGCTTGTTCATAAGAATTGAATAGGTTTTGGCAATTTGACAACAAAAAAAGAGTTTTGGGGCTGAAAGTGAAACCGAAAATGGGCTTTGTTTGGCTAAAAAAATATGATTTGGGCCTTTTTTTTGGGTGCAAATAAATAGAATTCGGGCTTTTTAAAATGGTCAAAATGGGCTCAGGCCCAAACCGAACAGAATTGGAACCGACCCGAGAACCGAGCCCATTTTCGGTTTGGCCCATTTTCGGGTTTCTGCCTAGACCCGACCCGAACCGAGAACCGACCTCTCCTTCGGTTTGGCCCACGGGTCGGCCAAAATTTGAACCGACCCGAACCGTGCCCCGGCATAATACACAAAAAAAAAAAAAAAAAAAAAAAAAAAAAAAAAAAAAAAAAAAAAAAAAAAAAAAAAAAAAAAAAAAAAAAAAAAAAAAAAAAAAAAAAAAAAAAAAAAAAAAAAAAAAAAAAAAAAAAAAAAAAAAAAAAAAAAAAAAAAAAAAAAAAAAAAAAAAAAAAAAAAAAAAAAAAAAAAAAAAAAAAAAAAAAAAAAAAAAAAAAAAAAAAAAAAAAAAAAAAAAAAAAAAAAAAAAAAAAAAAAAAAAAAAAAAAAAAAAAAAAAAAAAAAAAAAAAAAAAAAAAAAAAAAAAAAAAAAAAAAAAAAAAAAAAAAAAAAAAAAAAAAAAAAAAAAAAAAAAAAAAAAAAAAAAAAAAAAAAAAAAAAAAAAAAAAAAAAAAAAAAAAAAAAATTATTTAATTTTTATATTTCAACTAATACGTTTTATTTTTTGTATAACAGAATAAAGCCCAAGTGAATAAGGGCAATAGGAAGAAGAAGACTCTTCTCCACCATTCCGATTCCAGGCCCTTCTCATATAGGATGGATGCACGGCGTGGGTAAGAATAATATAATTTATATTTAATTTTAATCTGTCATTATTATTAATTATTTTGTTTCATACTAATATTTTCTTCTCTTGTTCAATTTAGGGGGGGTCGAAATTCCCAGAGATCGACGTCTTTGGTGACGTTTATGTTCGACCTGGGAATGAGTTGGCCGAGTCCCTTCATGTAAGTGTATTATAATTTTAATTCTTATGTTACGCATTCAATTATATGCATGTTTTAATTTATATTTTATGTATGTTAAACAGACGACGATGGTGGAGAGGAGCCAGTTGGTTTTTCAGGAGTTCGCCTCCCAACTTCCTCCCGAGACTCCGATCGAGTCTGTGGATCCTCACAGATGCTGGATTTCAGATCTTGACGGAGACGTTGGATCAGACTCTCGAGAGGCGGCCGGGAACATATGTAGGGGTATGGGGAATGCCCGACAGAGGGAACCTCGACCCGTATCGTCGCAGGCAAACAGTCAGGTGACTGTTTTGACATCGCGGGTTGCCGAGCTTGAGGGTCAGATGGCGTGATTCTGCAGTCCCGCGCGCGGTCCGGATTCCAATCCCGAATTTTGGTGCGTCGACCTCCGAGGCCGTCCACCCCGAGCATCCCCACACACCACACGGGCCCTGCAGAAGCCCATACCTCCGAGCCGCATTGGCAGAGACCAAAGTAGATTTTGGAACATTATTTGATTAGTTTTTATTTTTATAATTACTTTTACAATTTGATACATTTCTTTTATTTTATATAAAAATGTTTTATTTACAATAATTTTATTTAATTTATAAAAAAAAACCAAATTTATTTTTTTACAAAATTAAAAATCAAAATAATTTTTTTTTAATAATATATATTTCTTTTGCGCGACGAAACGTAATCGTGTAAAAAACCAAAATATTTTAATCATCGCGACGAATAAAATGTGTATGCGCGGTCGTATTGATTATTTCGGCGCGCGACGCGACAACTATTTTGTCGGGCAAGGACTACTTGCGCGAGATATATTATTTCGTCACGCAAAGTTCATGTATCGGCGCGACGGAAGGGTCCGTCGCGCATTGTTTTTGCGACGACCACTATTTTTCGTCGCGCAATATTTGTGGCGACGGACATTGGGGTCGTCCCGAAATGTTTTTTTAACGAGTTGTTATACCTCGCGCAAAACAGCGCGCGAATGACATTTGTTCGTCGACGCCAAATCCTTCTTCTCACGAACTTTGCACGCCGGGACGTGCGCGACGAACCTTCTGTCACGCATAATTATGTGCGACTAAAATCATTTTGCGCGACGAAGACCCCTCGTCGCGCAAAGGACAAACTGTATGTAGTGAGTTTAACCTGCAAAATGAATAAAATTATTTATAAAAAAAAAAAAAAAAAAAAAAAAGAAAAAGATGTGGTCTAAAAAGGAATTCCAACTAAAGAGAGGAAGGTTTAATGAATTATAAATTGAAATACTTTGTCTAATAGCAAGATTTCTTGTTACAAAAAATGATCTTATCTAGCACAATTCCCTTGATTGGGAAAAAAGTCCTCCATTCACACATTACCCCAAATACGAATAATAAATGCAATAACGCTATGGCGACCAACTATTGATCAACTACCTAAATTATTCCTTAAAAAAAACACATTGACACATAGTGTGACATTCCATATATTGCAATATCATTTGAAATTTTGTAAAATTCCATATTTTTTTTGCAACAAAAGAATTTCAACCAACAAAAAATTAATATAAAAAAATAACACCCAACGAGTAAGATTCCATTGAACTCATCCCCTCCCTCTTCCCCTTCACTTCTGTAAAAACCTAAAAAACTCAACGGTCCCTCCATTAAAAGTTCCACTGGGAAAACTCAAGGACTTATTATCATAAACAATTAATGATTAAATTCTCTTTTATTCTAAGAACAGGAAGGTTCCACCAAAAGCAAACAAGGTGTCTACGAAATGGGAAGAACATAAAAGGTATGATAAAGGGCTAGCTTCCCGATCTATAGTGTGTCCCTCACCGTTGTGGTTGTGCTACAGTGTTAAGATCTAATTCAGAACATGAAATATGATACCAACCTTGCAACCTTGCTTAATTTCAATTTACTCTGATGCGGTAGACAAGACTGGCCTATAGGCTATACAAGAATTCAATAATGATGGCAGTGTTCTAGGGCTTTTTTTTTTTTTCTGATGGGTGGGAGGCTAGAGTTTAACTTTGAATCATGATTGGTGTTTTTTTCTAATGTTTTTTTCCTTTTCTTTTCCCCCATGGACCACCACCACCTCCGTACCCCGCCCTCCTTCACCTCAATTTCTTTCCCCCATGACCACCGGCCTCCATAACCCCCAACCCCCTAACCCATAACCCCTCCCTCCTCCCCCCTCCCCGGCCAACCAGTCTGCTATTCTTCCTTGACTTTGTACAAAATCGCAGAGGGGCGCTGGTGGAGGGTGGCTTGGGGGAGAAATTGGATAGAGGGGGGAGGGAGAGAGAGAGATATATATATATATATATTTTATATATTTTTTTAATAAAAAATATCATTTTTGCCCCGCATTTAATGAAATAGTTACAAAATTGATGACAATACCATTTGTTCCTAACAAAACTGAAGTTGAAGGACACGGGACATTTTTTGAAATTAAGACTAAATTGCAATCGGGTCAAAATTTTTGGGGACCCTTAGACCTAAAAACCCAACTTTTTAAAAGTCATTAACTTTGTGTAGCCCCAAAAAAATTTAAAGACTTTTAAAAAATCATAATTGGATACATCAAACTTTTAAAGTCAACAATTGAATACCACTAGACTTTTTATAAATTCGTTAAAAGTTAAATTGAATACTTCTAGACTTTTAAACTCTATAAAAATTATTAATATGTTTGAATTAGATACACCCTCTAGGCTTGAAGGAAAAAAATGAAAATCTCGAACCTTCTCCACCCACTGGCTTTCACTATTTAAAGAGAACCATGCTCACTTTCAAACAACTACTTCGGATTGCTAGTTAACATAAGACCCTACAGAAGTAGAAGACTTTCTTTTGCGCTTTCCTCAATGAAAAGGTATTACTTACTATTATGATTAATATGTTTATTTGATTCAACTGAAGTTCCATTTATTGAAAGATTTTCTTTTAACTGATTTTTGGAGCATTTGCCCAAAGTCCACTTATTTGAAGATCCTTTCATTTTTTTCTTAACATATATATAAGATTGGAATCGAGATCAAGCTGAACAACTGCTCAAGGTTTCAGAGGAGAGGGCAAGAAATCGCCGTCGTGGTTCTGGAAATAAAGATGTGAAAGCAACCCGACCTTCAGAACTTCTGGGAATATAGTCATCGGACATAATAGCAAAGAGTCTGGAATACGAACTTCGGGGATGGAGCTTCGGGTACAAACTTCGACACTGATGACAATTTTATTTTTTCAAACAGATGCTGTCGTTTTGGGATTACCGACTTTGGCAACATTAACACAAAAAGTCGTTGACCATCTTATTTCTTCTTGTTCTTGTTCTTGTTCTTCTACTCCTTTTATATAAATTATAGGTGATAAGCAAAACTAAATAAGATAAGCAAGCTGGCTGAGTGAAAAAGAAGGCACGGAGAAGGAAGAACAAAAAAAGCGAGAAAGAAAGGAGAGGCTTGGAGTTTCCCATACTATTACCCATCGGAAGGGTTTGGGGATGCATGGCCACCCATTTTCTTTGCATTCCTTTCTCTGAATCGGAATCTTATGTATTATATATTTCTGTATTTTCTTCTTCTTTTACATGTCATAAGTATATTAATGCAATTAGTGTCCAAATATTTTTTTCTTCTCCAATTCCTCTCTTGGCCAGCTACCACTATAAAAAGACAGATATTTGTGGTCAGCCAATGGGTCACAAAAAATACCGATTATGTTAACTAAATGCAATTAGTGTCCAAATATTTGTGGTCACTTGGTAGAAGCTCGTCACAAATTCCATTTAGTGACCAGCGCGCTGAAAATCTGGTCATTAAACACAAACTATTAGAGACCACCTTTGGGTGGTCACTAAAAAACGGTGCCATTTGTGATTATTATTTGCATATAGAGGTCATAATGGGTCACTAACATTTGTAAATTGGTCATTAAAATATGGTCGTGCACTGATTCGTGAGCTATCTCTCTTGGTCACTAAAAATTCATCACCAATTGCAGTTTTCTCTCTTTGTTTTTGTTTGTAGTTTAGGGTCACATTTGTTTTCATACAATCATTGCGGCAAAAACAAATTCAATACTTGACAACAACAAATTACACATTCTATTTCACAAAATAACTATGTGTACATCATGTTTATCCATCAAACATAGCATCTACAACTCCCTTACAAACCATGAATATTTGAATACTAGTTTCAATTCTGAAAATGAGAAGTCACACACAACTTTACTTTGCACCATAATTTAAATGCATGTGTTTTGTACCTAGTTGATATAGTATCATTTACTAGTCGAGTTTCATCATATTTGAGTCGGATATGATTTAATTCTTACAGTCTTTTCGAATGTTGAAGTCTTCTTTTGTTTTACAGTGTATAAAAAATGTGGTAAGTCTAGTATTATCCTAAATAAAAAGCCTCTTATAAGAGGGAAAACTTTTATTTATTTCTTTTTTTGTTTAGATAACATATAACATTTATTTATTTTTTGTTACCATGCTAAAGTATTCAAATTCTATGCATGTCCTGGTTAATCAAAGCATACAATCGACTTAATTCAATGAAGAAAAGAGGAAATAAAATAAAAAATTTAGATTTGATCCAAATTGGATAGTCACACCAGGGCCGGTAGCGTTAAAGATATTTCAAATCAACCCTTGAGAAAAAGAGAAAGACTCAATTCAAAGCAGATTCATACCATGTTTCTTCTTCATATCAAGAGAAATGCAAGTTCAAAATATCAAGAGATGGCATCTGCAATTGTGATCAGTCTTGTCCATTCTTCTGTCATCACTTCCTGTAATGTTTTCACCCAAGACCTCTGATGAAGGTGTATGAATAGGGCTAGCGGTTTCTCCAAGACGTGTTTGCAAAAATTAATAAATTCTGCCGGTTTTTATTTTTCTTTATTAATTTTGTTTTACAATTTTATCCTATTTTAATTAAAATCATGCAATTTAGTATTTTAGGTTACCAAGGGTATTCTGGGCCTTTTGAGGCTTTCCGCCTCTATATATATATAGATAAATTTATAATTGCAAGCACTAATTATAATTCTTATATAATTTATGTGTGAACTTCTCTTTCAAAGGGGCATGTGCGTGTCCGAAGAAGTCAAATATTTTTTCCACAGGAGTACCTTTTGTACTACACTATCGATCATGACTATTATTAATTTTATTTTTTTTGTTGAGAAATTCTGGAATTGCATACATAATTTGGGTTAAAAGACGGAATTGCCCCCGTCTATCACACTCTCTCTCTCCCGCGCGTCTCTCCCTCTCTCCTCTGGTTTTCGCGACAGCCACCGTGGCCGACCACGTTTTGGCCGGCCGTGCACTCGTCCGGCCACCAAAGTCGACGGGGCCGGTACCGAAATGACCGGGCCGCCGTCCTCTTCCTACCCCGGCCAGGTCCCGTCGCCAGCCGCCGTGATTTCGCCGGAAAACGAGGAGAAAAGCTCCGGTTTTGACAGAAACTTCGCCGGCTTCGTTCTCCGTCGTCCGGCCGCCATTTTTGGCGATCAAGGTATGGAAATTCATCCCTTCTGCATGATCTAGCTGATGGTTGGGTAGGATTGCATCGATTTTGAGCCTAGATTATCTGATTTTCGAGTTAGGGTTCGGCCGGATTTCGGGATGAGATTCCGGCCACTTCCGGTCAGTTTTTGGGGTACGTCCAAGAACAAAAGTGACTCCAAATTAGGTGTTTTACCTAGGGTAGGAGTCTTGAGCCGTGATTTGTGGTTTTTCCGGCGATGGGTTATCGCTTTGGACACCCACGCGCTGCCGGCGCGTGTGGCGGCGCGTGGGCACTGTAGCTGAGGGGCATTTTTGTCCCAATGTGATCCTCTCGATGTCACGAGCGCGTAGGTGTGCTCGGATCTCAATTTGGATACCGTTAGAGTCCCGAACGGATATCGCATATCGCGTATTTTCCGGGTTCGCTAGGTTTGGACCGTTGGATGGTCCTGAAGTTATAATATGTTGATCTAGGTATTACCAGGATCGTGTAGGATTCGACGGATCGTAAAACGGAGTCCCGGATACTCCGGAAATGCCAACCCTGGGGTTAGGGTTTTAGTAACCGTCCGATCGTGTGATCGTGAGCGATCCGACCGTCCGATCTGGACCAAACTTGCAGGACTGTGTCCTAGAGCCTGTAGAACCTATAGGAACTTTCGGATCGGAAATTTGGAGGTTGTGGGCCCCGCAGGCCCGTTTGACCCTAGGTTGACCGTGAGACTTCCGAGATAGTCTTACCTTTATTTGAGGGTTAGAATGACCTTAGTGACAGGTCTTGAGCGTTGTTGAGTAAAATGGATATTGTGGGTTTAGGATATAAATTGGTGAATTTAAATGGTGGGAGTTTATGGAATGTTTTATTGGTTGATGTTATTGTATGATATATTTAATTAATTGTGTGGAGGTATAATGATATATAAGGAGATTGAATGTTAGTTTGCAGTGCTATACGCACTACCCCACGTACCCCTCATATTGTGATTATGCTCAGGCCCAAGTGATAGTGTGAGGTCGCACGCGTCTTTGGGTTAGCCGGCGTGTTGACAGACCCCGTACGTGGCCGGGTGCGTCCCGACGTATGAGTGGGAGATATGATTGTGTGAGGGCTGGTGAGAATGTAGCCAGGCCCAGTGTGAGGTCGCACGCGTCTTTGGGTTAGCCGGCGTGTTGACAGACCCCGTACGTGGCCGGGTGCGTCCCGACGTATGAGTGGGAGATATGATTGTGTGAGGGCTGGTGAGAATGTAGCCAGGCCCAGTGTGAGGTCGCACGCGTCTTTGGGTTAGCCGGCGTGTTGACAGACCCCGTACGTGGCCGGGTGCGTCCCGACGTATGAGTGGGAGATATGATGGTATGATGGCTGGTGAGAATGTAGCCAGGCCCAGTGTGAGGTCGCACGCGTCTTTGGATTAGCCGGCGTGTTGACAGACCCCGTACGTGGCCGGGTGCGTCCCGACGTATGAGTGGGAGCTATGTGATTATGTTTGGTGTGTTGTGATGGATAAACCCGAGAATGTATGAATTTATATGGATGTAATGGTTTAATTGATATCAGGAGCCAGGATTGATAGGAAAGAGCTACGTGTGGCTTGATCCCTTAGTAGGGTACGTAGGCAGCCTGGGATAGCGCCTAGGTGCAGCCACGACCTAGACACCACTTAGGTGGTTTTATCGAGTATGATGCGGACCTCGTGGTTGGTCCCGAAACTTGGTTGAATTGAGGCTTGTCTGGTGGACTGAGTGAGTGAAGGTGTGTATAGATAGATTTGGAATTTGTTATATGCATGTTTGATGCATTAAGTTATTTTGAAAGCAGTGTGAGTAGTCTATTAGAATCATTGGAAGGCCGGAGGCCATTTATGTAAACTGCATGAGATTATATTGTGCGTGCTGCTGGTTGGGTTATAAAATGTGTTTTATGCAGGTGGACATTTTGGGGGAAATGTTCAATTTACAGGGGAGACTCTGCCGAAATTTCGGCAGAAAGTCTCGTGCCCTTAATCCTCTATGGTAAACGAGGACGTAGATTTAAGGAGTAAACCCGGCGTGGGTGTGATGCCGGGGGTCTCCGCAGGGTTCGTCTCGGGTTCCGGGAAATTCGGGACGGGTCCTGTCACATCGTAACTAAGATTGAAAAATAAAAAAAAAAAAAAAAAAAAAAGCTTGTAATCTATGAAATTAAAGATCCACTTTACAAGTTCTTGAAGATTATGAATTAGGTTATTACAAGATTATGAATTATGAAAAACTTTAAACTTGTAATCATGGTGCAAAATATGATAAATGAGAATCCAAAGCTTGTTATCTACGAGATTAAAGATCCACTTTACAAGTTTTTAGAACTCTTATGTCCAAACCATTATGTCAATAAAATATAAGTAAAGTGCAATTGAAACTATAAGGACCCAAGTGGTAAAAACCGAGAAATTATAGGACTAGAAATGAATTTTTCCCTTTTTAAAACCTGCTAATGGTCATAGATTAAAAATAATACAAAAAAAGATTCAAGGCCATACAATAGTTTTAAATTTAGATTAGATGTATCGATACAACTGGGGACGGCTATGAATAGATCTTTAAATAAAACGGGGCCCATCAAGAACGCGGGATGCAATGAAGCAAGCAAAGAATGGGAGCGCATCTACGGAAATGGGCCCCAGTAGTTTAACCGGCAAAAATGAAAATCAATTAAATAAATTTAAAAAAAAAGGAAAAAGCTGTGGTCGAAAAAGTGAATTACCAACTAAAGAGAGGAAGGTTTAATTAATTATAATTGAAATAATTTGTCCTAATTAGTCAAGACTTCTTTTTACAAAAAATGATTTTATTCTAGCACACTTCCCTTGAATTTGGAAAAAAAATGTCCTCCATTCACACTATTACCCCAAATAATAATAATAAATGCAATAACGCTATGGCCACCAACTTATTTAAAATAAAAGCTGTGGTCGAAAAAGTGAATTGCCAACTAAAGGGAGGAAGGTTTAATTAATTATAATTGAAATACTTTGTCCTAATTAGTATGACTTCTTTTTACAAAAAATGATTTTATTCTAGCACACTTCCCTTGAATTTGGAAAAAAATGTCCTCCATTCACACTATTACCCCAAATAATAATAATAAATGCAATAACGCTATGGCCACCAACTTATTTATCAACTTATAAATACCAACACATGTGACACATGATATGGCAGACCATATTATCTGCTATATCATCTTTCTTTTTTAAATTCCATATTTTTTTGCAACAAAAAGAATTTCACCAAACAAAAAATTAATATAAAAAATAAAACACCCAACGATTTAAGATTCAACATTGAACTCATCCCCTCCCTCCTCCCCTTCACTTCTGTAAAACCCTAAAAACTCAACGGTGCCTCCATTAAAAGTTCCACTGTGGAAAACTCAAGGACTTATTATCATAAACAAATTAATTTAAATTCTTCTTTTTTATTCTAAGAACAGGAAGGTTCCACCAAAAGCAAACAAGGTTGTCTACGAAATTGAAAGAAAATAAAAGGTATGATAGAAGGGCTAGCTTCAGATCTAAGGGACGGACCATAGGCATGGCTAACCTGGGCTATAGCCTAGGTGGCTTTTTTTTTCCCAGTCGATAAAAAAATTATAGCCCAGTCAGTGGCGGATTTACTAAGTAAATGTCTTTCTTCTTTTACTTTTATTTATTTTTATATTACTCCATTTACTTAAGTTTACAATGTAAATAAGGAAGTACCCCCCCAATTGGATTCAAATAAAAATACTAGAAAATCAAATTCTCACCAAATCAAAATATGAAAAATCGGTTTTTAGTGCAAAATAAGTTTTAGGCTAAAAATAATGGCTCATTAAGTCAATATATACTTCATACTAAAATCCCATAAAATCAAGTTTTCTTATTTGATGTGTAAGGAATAAAAGCCGCTAAAAACTATCTTGAAAAAATGATAATTCCGAAAACTATTTTTCATACTTAGCCAATATTTTGACATAAAATAATTTTTCATGTATAATATGAATGCATGAAGGGACCTAAGGTCAATCTAGTTAAAAGCCGCCACAAAGAGTTTTACAAGAATAACCTAACTCTTAAGTATTGAAGAAATAAAAGCCGCCACTGGAGCATGTTTGTTTTTATATATATATATATAAATAAATAAATCCTGGCCAAAATTGCACATTCGCTAAAAAAATCATAGGTTTTCCAGTAAGCCCAACCAATTGAACAAGCACTACTACAAAAATCGAAATAGACGGCGGGAAGCCACCGTCGTGTAGAAGGTTTTCCAACCGTCGTGAAATCGACCGTCATCTTTTGTACTATCAACAACGACGATTAATAACCGACGTTGTTAATGAATTCAACGTCCATATTTATTACTAACCGACGTGTAATTACTATATAATTAGCCTAAAATGAAATCTCCAACAACATTACACGACGGTTTTATGAAAACGGAGACGTCTAAAGACTGTTACATGTCAAGATCAAAAGAAGAACTGACGTACAGATAATTATCCACGTCTCTAAATGAAGGAAAAAAGACTTGGATAAGCTAGAAACCGTCGTGGTTAATATTATACATACATTAAAAAAAAAAAAAAACAGAAGTGTGAACCATAAACAACGACATACACACAAACCAACAGACGTTTAAAGAGTATTACATGTCATTTGTCTTTCCATAACCGTCGTAAAATAAAATAACCACGTCCTGCACCAGGCATCACCGATGCTTATGTGTTTATCCATGTCATGAACTATAATACAAACCGACGTGTTAACTCGTTGACACATATGTTTTTTTTCGAGAATCGTCATTTAAATAGTACAAAGAAGGCCCTTTAACAGAGGTAGACGTCACTTTTTCTAAATAACCGACGTCTAAAATATTTAAAATGACAGAATATTACTCAATATAGACGTACAAAACTCTCCTCCACGTCGGTTTTATGTCAAAGGATGACGTTATAAATAGTATTTAAGGCGTGGATAGGAACATAACTGACGTGGATTATAGGTTCAACGTCCATTGCTTTAAAACAAAGGACATGGTTAATTACTTCACTACGTCTAGAGATCCATCTGCTTGACGTTGTAATTACTTACCACGTCGGTTCTTATTACATAATGACGCGGTTGTCCTTTTAAAAGTCGCTTGTTTGACCTGTCGTAGCGTATATATACACGGAGACGTCAGTTGTTTTAGACTAGCAAACATGCAGAACATCTGTCACGACAGATAATGGAACTGAATGGCCTTTATTTTGCGGTTTAGACGACGGTTTATTTTAAGCAAACCATCTTGATTTCTTTTTCATATGTTTGTTTTTTTGTTTTACGGTATGTTCCCTTGTTGAAACCCGACGTTCTTTTTATCTTAGACGTCCGTGTTTTCAATTTTTATCCCTGACCGTCGTACTTTGCAGCTTTAACCTAGCATTTTTAATTTTTGATTTGTCTTGCCCAAAGCCTGCATAATGAAAATGTGATAAGAATTAAAATGTTGTACATAATTATTAATTAATGTCATGCAATTAACTGAATAACTAAGGTCATACATTGCAACAATCAATCAATCCATATATCTTCACACCCATCTCTAATATTTTCATTCCCAAACTAACCCACTGAGTCATCAAATGTGTCAATATTTGGTATCTCTCTAGTAAATGGCTCACACTCAATTCTAGTATCACCTAGCACATCATCACCAATAACATTATTATATTCTCTATTAGGCATTGATAACACTACCGACCAACCACGATGCATTGGGTCGTCAACATAAAATACTTGTTTTACTTGAGAAGCCATAACAAATTGGTCATTCCTATGTCCAATTTTACTCAGATCTACAAGGGTAAATCCAAGTTCGTCGACTACAAGGTCCGAAGTGTTATCTATCCAATCACACCTCAAGACTAGGATTCTAAACTTTTGGTAGTCAAGGTCCCAAATTTCTTGAATAACACCATAAAAACCCATATTGGAGACAATATGGGTTTTTATCCTTAGCACTAGCAACTTGCATAGTATGTGCAAGTAAATAAACTCCACTATTTTGGACAGTTCACACATCATCTTGTGCCTTGGTGTTAAATTTAACATCATTAATAAGATAGCTCCTATATGATGGCACTGCCATGCTTGGACCAGCTGCTAGCCACCTCAAATTTTCCGATACTCCATTATGCTCTTCCTCATTAAGTTCACTTCGAACCTGCAAATTAATCATATATATCTTAATTCAATCTAACATATAGAATGGAAGAAAATTAAAAGTTGATGCATGTCATTCAATAACATATATATACCTTAAAGTGGAGCCATTGAATTAAAGTGCTATTGTGCTTATCTTGCAGCCACTTTGTTCTCTTTCTAAATTTTGGATAAGTGATCTTGATGTGGATCATATGTTCCCTACATTAACACCAAAAAATCAAGCATTATGATTCCTTGTACATAAGATAAACATAATGAATAATAATATTTAAAAGGGCTCCATATGAAAAATAAAAGTCATACGTACTCGATATAAGGTAGGACTTCCTCCGTATTCTCCAAGACATATAAATGTGCCTAGTTTAACAAGTCCCGATCAACTAAGCTTACTATGCAACCTGATAATGGCTTCGAAACTCCCATCTTCTGGCTTGAAGGCACTCCAACTGTATTAACTTCAGATAAATGCTTGGTGCAAAACTCTACAGCTTCTTCAGCTATATACCGCTCAGCAATGCAACCTTCCGGACGAGTACCGTTCTAAACATACCCTTTTAGCACTTTCATATACCTTTCAAACAGATACATCCATCTAAAATATACTGGGCCACATAGACGAACTTCTCTGACAAGATGTACTACTAGATGAACCATGATATCAAAGAATGAAGGAGGAAAGTACTTCTCAAACAAACACAAAGTAACTACTACATCTTCTTCCAACTTATCTAGCTTGGAAACATCCACTGTCTTTGCACATATAGCATTGAAGAAGAAGCACAATCGAGTTATTGCACACTTTGCAGGCTTCTCCAAAACAGAACGAATTGCCACAGGGAGCAATTGTTGCATCAAGGTATGACAATCATGAGATTTAAGTCCAAGAAGTCTTGAATCTTTTAAAGATATAAGATTTTTTATATTTGAACAATAACCTTCAGGGACCTTCATACCATAGAAAGAATTGCAACCCGCTCTCTTCTCTGCTCTTGACAAATTTCAAGGCCCTGGAGGCAAGCGAGTACGTCTTTGTCCATACTCGGGTTGCGAATCAGTTTTGACCCCCTATGTTCAATAAATCTAACCGAGCAACAATCTCATCTTTATTTTTTCCAGGGATATCCAGCAATGTACCAATGATACTATCGCAAACATTCTTCTCAATATGCATAACATCTAGGACATGCCTCACATGAAGGTATTTCCAATACTCGAGATCAAAGAATTTTAATTTCTTCTTCCAACAAACTCTGTCACCATCATTCTCACCAACACTTCCCCCATTTTTCCAGCCCCATATGTAATTAATATCTTCAACAATGTGCAACACTTATTCTCTGTTTAATGGCTTGGGAGGCGTGCCATATTCAAGTTTCTCATTAAAAGCTGCACGCTGCCTCCATAGGGACTGAACAGCTGTCTCCATAGCCAGAATTGCATCATGACCATAGGTTAATGCATAGGGGGTCATGCCAGTTCCTTCTCTTTTTGAAGTTCTATATGCCCACAGAGCTTCTGACAACTTCTCATGTCATTACTTTGGATTCTTCTCAAGCATTTTTCTGATAATGTTGATGATTACTTTGTTGCTTGATTCTGTCTGCCCATTAGCTTGAGCATAATAAGGAGTGGATTGAAGCAGCCTGAATTTGAATGCCTCTGCCATATCCAACATTTCTCCAGATACGAAAGAAGATCCTTTGTCAGTTGTGATTGATTCTGGGATGCCAAACCTCTGTATAATATGTTCTTCTATGAAAGTGATGATCTCTTGAGATGTAGTGGATTTAACAGGCTTGGCTTCTACCCACTTAGTAAAATAGTCTGTGGCAACAATGATAAAATAGTGTTGCTGGCTGCTGGCTAGATAGATCTTGCCAATGAGGTCCATTGCCCATCCTCTAAAGGGTCATGGCTTTACCACTGGATTCATGGGAACTGAAGGAGCTTGCTGGATTGGACCGTGTCTTTAACGAGACTCACACCCTTTGGAATAGTTAATGCAATCTTTCATCATGGTTGGCCAGAAGTAGCCATACCTTCTAATTAACCAGCACATTTTCCTCCCACCTTGATGAGCTCCACAGATTCCTTCATGAGTTTCCCCCATAACTTTCATGTATTCTTTCTTTCCGAGGCACCTTAAAACCTCATCCTTACTCTTTCGGACCAAACCTTCATTCCACATAAGGCAGTTCAAAGTCATGATTTTGACTCTTTTCTCGGAGGGCAGAGTTGGATATCATAAGTAAGTCATGATAGGATTTCTCCAATCATCTTCAGTGATTGCGGCAGAATTGACATCTATTTCCATCCCACTGGTCAGAACAGATGGTAGGCTTTTCTTCCTTATCTTGATGATTCTTTGTACACAATCTTTAGGCATTTGTATTTCTGTTGCTACCTGAGCCAATTCATTGGTTGCAAAGTTTTCTTCCCCTGGGATATGCTCCCAAGTAGCTTCTCTGAATTCTGTCAAAAGATTCCTAGCTGCCACCAAGTAGACGGCTAGAGAAGGACTTAAGCACTTGTATTCCCCAACAATCTGTTTCAAAACAAGCATGGAATCTCCCAAAATTTCCACAGATTGGATTCCTAGTTCTACCAGCATTTCTAAGCCTATGATTAGAGCCTCATATTCTGCTCGTTGGTGCACTGGAAATCCAATTGAAAAGAGTACCTGTGTCTGATTCCAAGCGGTTCTTCCAAAACAATTCCTGCCCCAAAAGATATATCAGTTTTTGATCCATCAAAGTATAGCTTCCAAGGTGTGAGATGGACTAAATAGATAGGATTGTTGAGGCAGGTGTGAGCTCTGGTCAATAGATCTGCATTTGCTATGTCCAAAGAGTCCATGTTTTCAATCTCCTCCCCAGGATGATCTGCTAGGAAGTCTGCCACAGCTTGTCCTTTGACAGCTTTCTGAGGAACATATCTGAAGGCAAATTCTGTCAAGGCCAAGGTCCATTTTCCAATTCTGCCTCTCAGCATTGGTCTTGTTAGCATGTATTTGATTAGATCTGTTTTGGCAATGATGTAGATGGTGTATGGCAGCATGTAGTGTCTGAGTTTCACAACAGTGAAGTACAAGGCTAGGCAAAGTCTTTCAATCGCAAAATATTTTCTTTCCACCTCTGTCAGAGTTCTGCTCAGGTAGTAGACTGCCTGTTCCTTCCCTTCCTTATTATCTTGAACCAACAGACTCCCAATGGATACTTCTGATGCAGATACATAGAGCTTGAGTGGTCTGCCTCTCTTTGGTGGGGACAGAATTGGTGGATTTGAGAGGTAATGCTTGATTTCCTCAAAAGCTTGTTGGTGATGTTCTTCCCACTTGAAGGTTTGTTCCTGTTTCAATCTTAACAAAGAGGAGAAAGGCTGGATCTTCCCTGTAGAATTGGATATGAATCTCCTTAGAAAATTAATTTTTCCTAAAAGACTCTGCAATTCTTTCTTGTTCCTAGGCGGTAGAGCTTCTATGATGGACTTTGCTTTGTTCTTGTCGATTTCTATGCCTCTCTGGTGGACCAAGAATCCTAGGAAATTTCCTGCTTGAACTCCAAAAACACATTTCTTTGGGTTCATCTTTAGTTTGTGCGGCCTCATTCTTAGGAATGCCCTCCTTAGATTTGGTATGTGGTTTCCCTCTTCTGGGGATTTAATCACCACATCATCGATATACACTTCCAAAGAATGCCTTATCATATCATGGAAGACAGAATTCATTGCCCTTTGATAAGTAGCTCCTGCATTTCTTAAACCAAAAGGCATTACAGTGTACTCAAAAGCACCTATATGTCCTGGACACATGAAGGCTGTCTTTTGGATGTCTCCTTCTGCCACCATGATCTGATTGTAACCTGCATTGCCATCCATAAAAGATAGCATTTGGTTGTGAGCAGCTCCATCTACTAGCATGTCTGCCATTTGGCATAGGGTACTCATCCTTTGGAGAAGCTTCATTTAGATTTCTGTAATCCACAAAGATTCTGACTGCCCCAGTTTTTCTTTTCAGAACTGGTACAATATTAGCTAGCCAATCAGCATAGATGGCTGGCCTGATGAATCCTGCCTTGAGCAACCTTTCTACTTCTTCCTTGACCTTTAGTTCTGTGTCCATGGACATTCTTCTTCTGGCCTGTTTGACTGGAAGGTATCCCTCTTTGATTGGCAGCTTGTGCTCTACTAATTCCCTGTCTACACCTGGCATTTCATGATAATGCCAAGCAAAACAATCTCTGAACTCCTGCAAAAGTGCAATGAGCTCAGTCTTAAGTGGTTCTTTAATAGTGCGCTGATAAAACTAGGTCTTGGATCCTCTTCTGTCCCTAAGTTTATTTCCTGTAAAGGATCTTCCATTTCTGGCAAAGAGTCATCCAGTGCTGCTGGCGCAAAATCTAACACTTCCTCCTGTAATTCTTCTTCCTCTTGGTCTTCCGTGCTCTCATGGGTGAATTCTGCCATATTGATGGCTGGATCCTGCATGAAGAGCTTCTTTTCCTCCCAATATATCAACAATCTTTTTGTAATGGATCGGATTGTTGCAGCTCGATCCTTCTCCTGTTGATTGGGACTAGACATCAGAGTTCTGAAAGTTTAGAACAAAATGTCTATTCTAGTCCTCTAAGGAATTGGTTAGACCATCTTCAAGGAGCCTCTAGGCCGTGACACCATGGGGGCGGCCGTTCTGGTTGACTCCAAGGAAGGTGAAAGAACCAAGGTCATCATGATAGTACCTTCCTTCGAAACACATGGCAGAAGGCAGAAATGGCCGTGGATCAGCCTCTACTATCTCCATGTAACCTTCTTCATTCCATAAAGCTAACTGTTGATGAAGAGTGGAAGGAACACATAGACTCTGATGAATCCAGTCTCTGCCAAGCAGTGCATTGTAAGTGGTAGAACTAGTATCCACCACAGAGAATGCAACCTTCAGCTTCTTGCTTCCTACTATGACATCCACATCTAGGATCCCATGAGTTTTGGTGATGCCCCCTGCAAAGTTGGTGACAGTTAAGCGTGTTGGGATCAAGTCCTTCTCTGTTCTGCCCATTTTGCTCAGCATTCTGTGAGGCAGAAGATTAATGGCTGCATCTCCATCTACCATGACTTTGGGAATAGGAACACCTCCAAAATTTGTTGTTATAAACAAAGGTCTGAGATGATTGGCCACCTCCTTGGTTGGTTTGGAGAAACAAAGCTGTTTTGCAGTTAGTTTGTTGGTAGTTCCACTTGTCCTGGGACTGTCTGCTTGCTGTTCTGGTACCTCCTCTGCTTCTGCTAACCTGCATTCGAAACTTTCCTGGGAGAAAACATCTCCCTCCATAGTGCTTTCTTTTCCTTCTGCAGCTCTGAACTTTTCTGGCAGAATGAACACCATGTTGATGCCCAAATCACCCTGCAACAAGTTTTCCAATTCTGCACCAAAAGCTTCGATTTCTACATCTAATTCCCCATCATATTCCATCTGTTCCTCCCCGAATCCTTCTGTCCAGTCTTCCTGTTCTCCTATTTCGAGGAGTGCATTCTGGTCATCTGCAGATGGCTCATAATCTAGCTGCTCCTCTTCATTTTCCTCAGTCCAGTCTTCTTGCCCTTCTACTGGAATAGGTTCAGATTCTCCTTGTATTGTGAAGGTTTAAATTGATTGTCTGAGGATGAAGCAAGATGGATAGAAGGCTTAACTGGAGATCCAGCTTTCAACATTTTCTGTGGTTGGATTACTTGATCTGCCTGGGAAAGCATTTCCGGATCTTTCCCTTTTCTGTCAGAAGTGGTCTTTGGAGGTGCCTGTGCATCACTTTTGTTCTTGAGGAATATGCAGTATTGCCTTTTAACCTTCCTCTTCTGGGTTCTGGTTAATTCCATAGTTGGTCTGCCACTTTTCCCGACAACATATCACATTCCTTCTATGATAGCAGCCAGAGGTTTCTCATTCCCGGGCATCTTGATTGATATTTCCTTCTTGGGCTGCTCTGTCATCCTCCTGCTGTACTGGGCTGGTCTGGGATACTCCTTCCGCCTGGCTCTATCTCGGGATGAGGTTCCAATCCTGTCAAAAACACTCAGAATGGGCTGACTCTGCCTGTCCAGGACCACTTCTAGCTCAGCTTCACATTTTCACTTGCTGCAGAGCACTACTCCAGCTGAGATAGTTGCTTTTGGCCTTTTAATTGTTTCCCTTGAAACCATTATGCCTCTGCTGGAACTGGCTTCTATTGTTAGCCTGCTTCTCTTCTATTCTGGCCAATTTAAGTTGACCATGTTGACTTGTGGTTGGGGAAAAGGATCTGTTGTGACTGAAGGAGATTTCTCCGCAAGTTTCAACCTTCCTGCTGTTATTCCTTCCTATATAACATCTCTGAAAACTACACAACTATTGGTAGAATGGTTCTAAGAGTTGCGCCACCTGCAATACTGCCTGCCCTTGAGCTCTTCTGGTTTGGGGATCCTGTGGGGTGTCTTTATTGCCTTTTGCAGCAACATTTCATCAAATAAAGCATCCACCTTGGTTAGATCAAAAGAATAAACCCTGTTCTGTGTTGGTTTGCTCGGAACAAAACCTCCTGTGAAAGGTGGCAGCTTCTGATCCTTCGGTGGCTTAGTAAGGGCCTTGCAGCTGATGGGATGTTTCAATTTTGCCATTTCTGCTACTGCAACTTCTCCCTCCTCTGAGCATTCTGCTTTCTCTTCTGATTCTACCTGAACCAGATGTATTGAAGAGGAAGGTGACTTGTAATACGTGCCTTTGGATGAGTTCCTCTTCTGTTGTTCTTCCCTAAGCAGTTCCTCATACTTGGATGCTTTATCTACCAGTTCTGCCAGGTCTCCAAACAGCATCCCATCAAATCTTTTTCTCAGAGAGATCTTGAGGGCAGCCTGAGCCATTTGGAAGAAGTGTCTTTCTTCCATAGGGATCTGGCACTTCATTTTGGGCTTCCTGAACCTGGTTATAAAGTCTTGAGCAGGTTCATCTTCACTCTGCTTAAGGGCAGCAAGGTCACTGATGGTGACTTCTGGCTGAATCCTGTAATAATAGTCGTGAAAAACACTTTCCATTTGCTCCCAGGTTTGAACAGAATTAGCTGGCAGGTTGGTGTACCAAGTAAAAGCTTGTCCAAAGAGAGAATTCCCGAAAAGCCTCAACTTCAAAAGATGATTGTTCTCTATGGCTATGCATTGGACAGAGAACCTGCCTATGTGCTCAACTGATGAAGCATGGGGATCCTCTCCGTTGAATAAGGTGAAGTTTGACACCTTAAAACCCGGGGATAGAGATATTTGATCGATATAAGCCGGATATGGCTTCCTATAGGTGGGCTTTTCTCCTCTTCTGGCTTCAGGCTCCATCATCTCTCTGATCATCCTTTATAATGCCCCCACGTCATTCAGAGCATTGACAGGGTGGTGATTTCGCCCCTGTTCTGGCTGGGCATGATAAATCATGGGCTCCGCTCTGTATGGCCTGGGCAGAACTTCCTCCCTATGTTCTTCTGGTTCTTCCAAATCTGGATTATTCCTCCAGTTTGCCCCCAGCCTGTTCCTGTCATTGTTGGCAAAAAGGTTATTACCCCTTCCGCCTCTTTTGCCTCTTCTGCCTCTTGCATGTGGAGGGAATGGATTGGGATCCATTCTTCTGGGTCTATAAGGCAACACTGTTGGTGGCTCAGGCAGAAGTGCCAAAGGTTGATCCTGTGGAATAGGGTGAGGTTCTGGCTGGTTCTGTTGCATCTGAACTGGTGCAGGGCCTTTTGGCGGAGCTGGGGCCTCACGTTCTTGGACGGGAAGGGCTCCTCCCCTCTGTCCAGTCTGAATTTCCTCACGTTCTGGCATCCCAGCTATCTGCGCAATAAGAGGATTCTCTTGATATGGCCATGCCAATCCTGGTGGGGGACCATAGGGAAGGTCTAGCTGCTGGACTACAGCATCCGGATTTGGAATTTTGGCCATGGCAGCCTCACGGTCCTTTCTGAACTGCCTATTGACCAGCCATTGCATCATGGCTGTCATATTATTTAGAGTGTCCTGGCTCCTTTGTGTTGTGACCTCTTGTCGCAACACATATTCCTGAATCAGGTTCATGCTTCTGGAGCCGGTCTTGGATCTTCTGCTCCCTGTACTTCCTTGAGAGCCACCTGGTTTATCTCCATGGCGTGGTGTGGGTTCTAGCTAGAGCTTCTAATATTCATAAACTTGAGAGGAATTCTGTGAGAATATGTATACTGCGAAGTCCCACTGGGCGTGCCAAATTGTTCACCCGTTTTGCGTTTACTCCTGTGGTGGAAAGGCAAAGTTCCCCACTGCCTTGTGAACCATTGACTGGTCAACAAGTCAGCTTTCTTTGGCGTGCGAGCGTGCCACTGCTAGCAATGAAGATTCTAGCAGACTTAGTTTAGAATGGATAACTTGCGCCCCAAGTTACTGATTTCTGCAAACAAACGATTGTGAATTTGGGTGAGGAATATCTCTCAAGTAAGTTCTTTTCTTGCCTCAGACTGGTAAGGACTTTAACAATTTATTTCAGTATAAAGAGGTTGTTCTGGCCAAAATGGTTGATGGAATTTAAACTGTCTTGGGCAAAACTGCCTTTTACAAAACTATAAAAACAAATATCCATGCTCGAAAGATGAAAGGACAGCTGGAAATTCATTTATGTTTGGATAAGAGGCTCTGATTTGGGTTGGGCTGGAAATGCCTGGGCTGGAATGGACTGTTGACAACTTCAACTGCTAAGCTTCAGCTGTAAATCGATACCAAAGGTTAATTCTGGCAGAGCTTTAGTGTACTTCAAGCTTTTGTGAGGGTTTTGAGTGGGCAGAACTTCAGTTTCTTCAGTCTACAAGGGCAAAAGTGGCTGTTCTCGAGGACTTCAGTGGGTTAGAGACTGCACTGTGAAATTTGTTGAGGTTTTCATGTTTGGGAAAAGCTCAAGCTCTACCTGTCTTGATTCTTTGCTGAACCAAATTTGTAACGAGAGAAATTTTGTTTTGATTGACTTTTTCTAAGTCTGAACCTTGGGAATTCTGATCTGAAGTTGGTTTCATTTGGAATTCAAGTGGGCTTTTTGGTTGATTTTTGAGTTGTTTGTTTGATTGTTGTTGTTGTTGAGTGTCTTTGAACCTATTCACCCTCTCTTCTATTTATAGAAAAAATGTTTTTTGAAGAAGGGTAATTAATTTTTTAATAATGGGTGACAATTTTCTAAGAAAGATCTTTTAATTTTAAAAAACATAAGAAAAAGGAATTTTATCTAATTTTTGGCAGTCGAGCTCTCAATAGTCGCTTCTCTGTTTTTGAAAGAGAACCTAACTCCTTTTTAATCCCAACTACCCTTGTGAGATGTCAAACCGTGATGGTTAGCTTGATTTCATGTTTGAACAACTCTCTGCCCTTCTGCTTATCTTTTAAATAACAAGGGCTGCTTATCTCTTGGGACAATCACCCTAAGAGAGGACTTTGATCTTCCGATTTATCCAGAGATGTCCCTTCCCAGTTTGCCAGCTACTGCCCTGTTTTAATTAACTCCCAATCAACTCAATTGAGTTTGTTGACTTTTCTATTTTTGGTAGTCACGTGGGCTCCTAAAAAATAAGCTTTAATTAATCCTGTGATATTTTTAAGCTGATCTACGTTAGTGGTAGGCTCCTTCAAAAAGTTGGTTTTTTTTAAGCCCAATCTTTTCTTGCTAATTTGATCAGTCTTGGTTTGCCCTTTTGGATTTCCTGGGTTCCTTGATTTTGGGCTGGATTTGCAAGATTTTGGCCCAATTTTCAAAGAATGCTGGTGGCTGCCCAAGATTAACATGGGCTTTGGTTTTTGGACTGGGTGTGCCAAATTTTTGGCCCAAACAGTAAGTTAAATTTAGCCCAGTTAAGTTTGAAATTCTGGGTCCGTCCCTGGATTTAATAGTTGTTCCCTCACTGTTGTGGTTGTGCTACAGTGTTAAGATCTAATTCAGAACATGAATTATGATAACCAAACTTGCAACCTTGCCTAATTCCATTACTTTGATGGTAGTACAAGACTTGGCCTATAGGCTATACCAAGAATTCAATAATGATTGGCAGCGTTCTAGGTTTTCTCTTTTTTTTTTTTTTTTTTTTCTTTTTTTTTTTTTTGATGGGGGTGGGAGGCTAGAGGTTTAACTTTGAATCATGATTGGTGTTTTTTTCTAATGCTTTTTTTTTCCATTTCTTTTCCCCCATGACCACCGCCACCCTTCACCCAGCACCCCTTCACCTTCAATATCATTTTTTTTTTGTTTTAATACAAAAATGTCATTTTGCCCCTGCATTTAACAGAAATAGTTAATAAAATTCACAAATTTCCAAAGTCCATTCATTCATAAGTCATTTTTTTTTTTTTTTTTTTTTTTTTTTTTTTTTTTTTTTTTTTTTCCATATTCCAAAGTCCATTTGATACATTTATAATCAGAACATCAACTCATCAAGCATCATTAAAAAAAAGAAGGTTTTATTTCTTAACACTAGTAGGACTTGAACATAGATTTGGTTTGAATAAAATCAAAGAGAACCATTAATGTAAGATGGAACTTCAGAAATCTTAATGTTATTAGCTTCTTATATACTCTAGACCTTTATATATATTAGTATACTACTGTACCTCATATTAAGAAACTATTTTATAAACAACTTTTAAAAGAACAATTAAATAAATAAATATTTTGGGGCCCTCCATGAGATGGGGCCCAGGGCAGTAGCCCTTCTCACCCTGCCTTAGGTCTCAAACTTTTCTTTGCATTCCTTTCTCTGATTCTGAATCTTATGTATTTTATATTTCTGTATTTTCTTCTTCTTCTTCTACATGTCATAAGTATATTAATGCAATTAGTGTCCAAATATTTTTTCTTCTCCAATTCCTCCCTTGGCCAACTACCACTATAAGAAAGACAGATATTTGTGGCCAGCGAATTGGTCACAAAAAAGTACCGATTATGTTAACTAAATGCAATTAGTGTCCAAATATTTGTGGTCACTTGGTAGAAGCTCATCACAAATTCCATTTGGTGACCAGCGCGCTGAAAATCTAGTCATTAAAACACAGACTATTAGAGACCACCTTTGGGTGGTCACTAAAAACGGTGCCATTTGTGATTATTATTTGCATATAGAGGTCAGTAATTGGGTCACTAACATTTGTAAATTGGTCATTAAAATATGGTCGTGCACAAATTCGTGAGCTATCTCTCTTGGTCACTAAAAATTCATCACCAATTGCAGTTTTCTCTCTTTGTTTTTGTTTGTAGTTTTAGGGTCACATTTGTTTTCATACAATCATTGCGGCAAAAACAAATTCAATACTTGACAACAACAAAATTACACATTCTATTTCACAAAATAACTATGTGTACATCATGTTTATCCATCAAACATAGCATCTACAACTCCCTTACAAACCATGAATATTTGAATACTAGTTTCAATGTCTGAAAATGAGAAGTCACACACAACTACTACTTTGCACCATAATTTAAATGCATCTGTTTTTGTACCTAGTTGATATAGTATCATTTTACTAGTCGAGTTTCATCATATTTTGAGTCGGATATGATTTAATTCTTACAGTCTTTTCGAATGTTGAAGTCTTCTTTTGTTTTACAGTAGTATAAAAATGTGGTAAGTCTAGTATTATCCTAATAAAAAGCCTCTTATAAGAAGGAAAACTTTTATTTATTTCTTTTTTTGTTTAGATAACATATAACATTTATTTATTTTTTGTTACCATGCTAAAGTATTCAAATTTCTATGCGTGTCCTAATTAATGAAAGCATAACAATAGACTTAATTCAATGAAGAAAAGAGGAAATTAAAATAAAAAATTTATATTTGATCCAAATTGGATAAAGCCACCACACCAGGGGCGGTAGCGTTAAAGATATATCAAATCAACCCTTGAGAAAAAGAGAAAGAGTTCATTCAAAGTAGATTTCATACCAAGAGATGGCATCTGCCATTGTGATCAGTCATGTCCATTCTTCTGTCATCACTTCCTATAATGTTTTCACCAATAATAGAATGAGCCACACTTGAATGAGCCACACTTATATTTCTGTATTTTCTTCTTCTTCTTCTACATGTCATAAGTATATTAATGCAATTAGTGTCCAAATATTTTTTCTTCTCCAATTCCTCTCTTGGCCAACTACCACTATAAGAAAGACAGATATTTGTGGCCAGCCAATTGGTCACAAAAAAGTAAGTTCAAAATATCAAGAGCAATTGTGATCAGTCATGTCCATTCTTCTGTCATAACTTCCTGTAATGTTTTTTATGGAGAAATCATTTCCGAAGGAGATACATTAGTTACATTTATATATGAAAAATCTAGATCTGGTGATATAACGCGGGGTCTTCCTTCACCAATAATGGAATGAGCCACACTTGAAGGAACCACCCAAGACCTCTGATGAAGGTGTATGAATAGGGCTAGCGGTTTCTCCAGGACGTGTTTGCAAAAATTAATAAATTCTGCTGGTTTTTATTTTTCTTTTATTAATTTTTGTTTTACAGTTTTATTCTATTTTAATTAAAATCATGCGATTTAGTATTTTAGGTTACCAAGGGTATTCTGGGGCTTTTGAGGCTTTCCGCCTTTATATATATAGATAAATTACAAACCAGACAAGGATCCCAAGCGGTGAAAATGTCTACCGGCTGGCTATATCTGAAGCCTCCACTTGGTGATCAGAAACAAGGTTCTGAGGATTCTTCTAAGGCGAACACCGACCAACAAAACAGCAACAGCTCGAAATCCCAATCAGTGAGCACCAAAACTCTCCAACCCAAGAAAAAAGACAAGGGAGGAAGAGGCAATGATTTCAGCATCGTTGGGAATAATATTACGGGGAAAAAATCAGAGAGAGTAGGAATTTTCGAGTTCGGCAACACCCACATCTACGAAGGCCACAGGAAAGAAAAACTAGTCGACTCCGGTGGAGAAACTGACTCGGGATCCAGTACTGATGAAGACGAAGCAGAACTGATGACTCACTGAGGTCTGTAGATAGCTAGGGCCTCCCCTCCCTTCTTAATTACATGTACTATTAATTTGATGAATAAAATAAATATATATATTCTGTTGATGGTCGTCAATATACAATATTAATGCTCTCTCAAGTTCAGCAACAGTGGCATTATTTTACGGATGAAATATGAATTTGGAAATATGGAAGATGTATATAACAAAATGCATAAATATCTAATAACGATTTCTCCCCAAGGCACAGGCACAGTAGTATGAAGCAGAAGAATAAGCCATCAGATTTTTGGAGTATATATGGATAAAAACAAAATAAAAAAACAGAAGCCAGCGAACCACAAAAATGGAAAATGAAGAAGCAGAGTTCGTTCATCAAATTTTCGTGAAAAATGAAGTTTTACGAACATTAATACATATAACAAATCTCTCGTTATCAAAAAATTCGTTTATTATAACCGACCGTATTATGTATTTTCGAACACTAAAATGAACTTTACGGTGATCATCACCATGTTCGAAAAATTCGTTTAGGATATTTATTTCCTATTCTATTTGGATTTTATTTTTTTCTCTTTTGTACAAATTTTGTGTAATTAGAATTTTATTTGTTTTCTTGTATAACCTTATTAGGGTTTACACACTTGTATTATAAATACCTCATTTGGATGAATGGAAATATATCAAAAAATATTTTACCCTGTATTGTTTGACTCAACATCGCTCTTGAAGTTTGAATCCCTTAAATTGTAGAATTTCACATTTTAAAATCATAAATTAATAATAGCAATACCTATTTTCAAGGTTATGTATGCTCCAATAATTAATATCACTAGTATCTTTGCTAACGTTACAGCTAAAAAGAGGGAAAGTTGTTGTAATTTACGCTAAACAAACTGGAAAGCATCAAAATTGCTTGAGCCCCTCAATTCTCAGTAGGAGTGCAAGTATAATATATAATGTGTCAGATCACAGGCAACTATAGTTTATATTTATAATGAATTTTTATTTTAATACATATCATAACTACATAAAATATTTTTACATAATATTTTTATTGTTAGTGAAATAGTTTTTCCCATTTGAAAAGTTGTAGTTGGTTTTTGAAAAAATAAAATAAAATATGCATTCTTCGAGGGCATGCATTCCACTAATCAAATATTTCTTCGTTTCGATTCATGATATAGTTAGTATATAATTTAATGAGAAGTCATGTTGATTCGATTCATTTTCACTCTGATTCATAGTTAACCTTAAGGTTGAGTCGTATTTCTTTTTCCAATGATAAAGGAATCCAAATTCATAATATTAATAAAAAAAATAACCAAAGCCCTCTATTATCAGTAGAGCACCAAATAACAAAGCACATAAGAATTGTCACTAGGTACGTGATGACATGTGATGTGATGTGAAGACAGAGGATTAAACATAGCAACAGCCAAAGATTATCACTAGGCACGTGGTGACCTTCAATATAAAATTTTTGCAGGTGACCTGCCCGGAATATGCGTATAGATCAAAGGAAACTGCAGAAGTTGATATAAAATTGTTCATATTTTTATATTTTGATATAAATATGAACAGTGGACTGGCTAAAAATAAAACAAAGAAGCTGTTTTATTTTGTTTTTTTTTGGTTTTTGGTTTTTTATTTTGTTTTGTTTTGTTTTTTGTTTGTTACAAAACACATGAGCTCTTTGTTTAGAAACCAACTGGGCATATACTACGGACACTCTGTGAAACATGGCCACTTACCAATGTCTGTGTCCGGCCCCCCGTAGCATTTGGACAAAAGTTGTCCTGCATGTGATCAAAACAAAAATTCAACGTAGCTAGAAAATTTATAATTGCAAGCACTAATTATAATTTCTTATATAATTTATGTGTGAACTTCTTTTTCAAAGGTGCATGTGCGTGTCCGAAGAAGTCAAATATTTTTTCCACAGGAGTACCTTTTGTACTACACTATCGATCATGACTATTATTAATTTTATTTTGTTTGTTGAGAAATCTTGAAGTTGCATACATAATTTAGCTAAAAAAGTCATTAGTCACAAATGATCAATACAAACTTGTCATAAGGGGCAATTACAATAAAAGACGATCTAACATCAAAATTAAGACAATCTGATGTGCATCCACTAACGATCACTTATGATCGAAAAAAGTTACAAATCTCTACAAAGAATTCCTGTTCATTCTAAGAAATATCTCATACAAATACTATACCCGCTTGGTAACTGATCTAAACACATATTCAAACGTCATATTTATGCCCCTCTCAATTGTGGACCCCGGGCGATGACCTAGTTGCCCTGGCCAACACTGGTGATTATTCAAATTGCTACTTTCCAAATTCTATGTACAATGTATTGTATAATTTTTCCACAAGCATGGCCACTTTAAAAAGTCTGTCCGGTCCCTTTTTTTTTTTTATAAGGAAAATGAATTACAATCGGAAACCACGCTGGCACACAGGCCCTACCAAGTCAAAATAAAAAGGAACCGTACAGCTTAACGGTAGACCCCTAGGGAGGGAGTAAGACTATGGCCTAAGCTAGCAACAGCATCAGCAGTAAAGTTAGACTCTCGAAAAATGTGCTTAAAAGAAATCTCTTCGCAATAAGAACTGAGCAACCGAATGTCTTGCACAAGGATACTTATGCTCCAGGGAACCGAAACCAGATTATTAACACAATCAATGATAAGCTTTAAGTCACCTTCCACAAGAATCTTTCGCCAACCCTTATGAATAGCATGCGCTAGACCATCCCGAAGAGCCAAACACTCTGCAACTGTAATAGAAACTTGACCAGAGTTTTTAGCGCTAGCTAAAAGAACATTACCATTCCAGTCACGAATCACAAAACCAGTAGCAGCCAGATTCCCACACACCGAACCATCAAAATTCACTTTAATCCAGTCCAACGGCGGTGGTTCCCACTTGATGTTAACCTTTCCAGTAGATTTTTTAGGAGGACAAGAGTTAATTTTCCAATAATCTAGCCCAATGCGACCAGCCACATTTAGCACTTTAACTGGGTGTGGATCGATGTCTTTAAAAATGCAGTTGTTCCTGGCTTCCCAGATCTGCTAGCATAGAAGAAGAGCTTTGGAAAGAGCATTTGGGCCATCGGCAGCCTTGGTATGAGGTAGCGAAGCCAGCCACTCAAGTTAAGCTATTCTCATGGCTTCTCATTCGGAAAAGACTGCAAGTTAGAAGCCATCTTTACAAATTTTTACCTAATATCAATCCAGAATGCCCTCTGTGTAAGAATCATATGGAGACTATTAACCACTTATTTTTGAGTGTCAGTTTGTTGTTAATATCTGGAGGTGCACGTATTTTTTCCCTAATTATATTCAGTCCGGTCCCTCTTTGATTAGGACAAGAGGGGTCCTCTTTTGATAATTGCAAGATAATTATAATTTCAACGTAATCAATTAGCTAGATAATTGATAATTGCAAGCACCAATTATAATTTATTATATAATTAATGTGAACTTCTCTTTTCCTGAGCACCAAAACTCTCCAACCCAAGAAAAAAGACAAGGGCGGAAGAGGCAATGACTTCAACATCGTTGGGAATAATATATTACGGGGATAAAATCGGAGAGAGTAGGAAATTTTATTTGATTCAAGATCTTTTCCTTGATGTGATTCTATGTGTGTATAGGGTTTAAGGAATTTATGTAATTAGTTTACAATAGTAACTTCCAGTTATTGAAAGATTGTCTTCCAATTGATTTTGGAGTATTTGCCTCCACTTATTTGAAGATCTTTCCATTTTTATCTTTGCATATACATAAGATGGTCTCGATCTCAATCTGAAGCTGAACAACTGAATCAAAGAGGATAAGAAATCGCTTTTCTGGTTGCCCTAGAACGTTTTTTGGACAAGAGCCCCAAGGAGAAAGAGTAGCAAAACAAAATAATGAGGCAGAATATACTGATGAAAGCAACGTGAGACCTTCAACATTAATGAGAATGATTTCTTCGCAATTGAAAGCACGGATATTGGAATTCACGACCCTTACAAGGAAGAAGGTGGAGGTGGTGTTGATGTTCATCAACCAAGGAGGGGTCGAAACCACAACATTTGTGGCAATACATTTTACGCAAACAAAGGCGAGCGTGTTGGGATTAGCAAAGTTGGCAACAAGTACAGCGAGAAGTCGAGCGTACCATTTCTTCTAGTTATTGCTTCTTCTTTTTCTTTAATATATCAATAGTGAGTACGCAAAACAAAAATGAAGGAAGCGGCTTGAGTGAAAAAAAATGGCACGACTGAGAAGAACAAAAATAAATAGTTGGCGAAAAACTAGATTTTATGGGGCAGGTCAAGACTCTACCACATGTTATGGGGCAGGAAAATCTAGATTTATGTATGGACTGGTTTTGTGGCAATCAATAAGTCAGATTTCTTCGTTATTAGTTCTTTCTCATGCTCAGAATTAAGCTTTCAGCTGTGCATGGCATTCAAATGCGGGAAAGTTTCCCCTTCTCGTTTGCTCAAATTAATAAGAAATCCAAATACACACAGATTACTGATGAGTATACGTTAGGGGTTGATCCTTCTATGATTTTGATCAAGACCCACATGGCTTCGGGGTTCATAATCCCAACTTTTCTCATGTAGAACGTATTTTTCATTCTGCAAATCAATATTTTAAATTCCACAGATCGACCCAAGAGACCATATTCTCAACTCCAATACTGTAACTAACCACATTCAAATAGTAGACACTACAAAGAAACAAAGACATGGACTATAAAATGGAAATTAACTCAAGCCTCTTTCTTTATTCAGCAGCGCAGCTCCCTTACTTTCTCTCTTGTTTATTTTTACCAAAACTTATACCATGGCTTCTTGCTCGTTCCTTCTTCTTTCCTCGAGTTGTAGTACTTGTTGCCGAATTTGCCGATCCCAACAAACTCCCCATCTTTTGAATCAATCTTGTTGCCATCAATGTTGTAGTCAGTTTTGTTTTGACCCTTCCTTCCTTGATGATGATCGACAGCACCACCTTCATGATATTCGTTGTTGAAGTCGAAAACCCCAACGCTTCTGCTTTCTGTTGCGGTAATTACATTCTCACGAATGTTGTAGGTCTGGTTATTACTATTTTCTGCCTCACTAGTTCTGTTTTGCGGGAGCTCTGATTCAGTTTCTTTTTGTGGGAGCACTGTTTCAGTTTCTTTTTGTGGGAGCTCTGTTTCGGTTTCAGAAAGTTTTCTAGAGGAACCAGTAAAGGGTTTTGTTGCCATCTCCTTGTGCAGGTATTCAGCTTCATTTGGAGACCCATCTTGTATAGAGGTGAGGATAAAAATGGAAATAACAAATAAAAAAAGTCCTGATAATCAACTTGGATTAGTATAGTCAAGACTCAAACGGTATTTTATATATGTGGGTGGAAAATTTTCGTTTTTCCTATTGGTGTTCATGTTTCTTTCACATGATGGGAAATAAAAAATTGTGTAGATCCAAATTGAAATGGTGAGGGCTGCTACTAATATTAAATAAATTATGTTTAGACAAATGCTGACAAATGCTAATTAATTATGTAAACTTTATTAATCATAAACAACTAAAAACACTAACCCCATCAAATTTCTATTGTCATCATGAAGCGCAATTGTTAAACAGGTTCACACCCACATGAGCAAAAGTCTTTTACTCACTCCTATTCTTTATTCAACACGCTAATGGACCCACGTGCTCTGCCAATTGGTTGCTTTATCTTTCGCCATTGTCTTATATATAAAGAAAAAGAGTTTCGTTTGGCTTCACTTACAATTAGAAACTATAGTAACTTTTTCTGGCTATATCGATACCTCCAGACAAGGATCCCAGACGATGAAAATGTCTACCGGCTGGCTATATCTGAAGCCTCCGCTTGGTGATAAGAAACAAGGTTCTGAGGATTCTTCTAAGGCGAACACCGACCAACAAAACAGCAACAGCTCGCAATCCCCATCAGTGAGCACTAAAACTCTCCAACCCAAGAAAAAAGACAAGGGCGGAAGAGGCAATGACTTCAACACCGTTGGGAATAATATTACGGGGATAAAATCGGAGAGAGTAGGAATTTTGAGTTTGGCAACACCCACATCTATAAAGGCCAAGGGAAAGAGAAACCAGTCGACTCCGGTGGAGAAACCGACTCGGCCTCCGGTACTGATGATGACTCACTGAGATCTGTAGCTAGCTAGGGCCTCCCCCTCCATCCATCTTAGTTAAGTTATATGTAATATTAATTTGATAAGTAAAATAGTTATATATTATGTTGATGGTTAATATTAATGCTCCTCCCAAGTTCAGCTTTAGTTAGTTAATTCCCTCAATTTTACTGTTTGATTGCACGCATATATGATATAGGCAATAAGGTTCTTCTGAGCATCACCATTGCTGAAGTTTTAAATTCCTCAAATTGTAGAATTTGTACATTTTGAGTAATGCACTTACCACATTATTATCTCATATTTCTATGTCACATGATGTGGCATGTCTATATCATATGCCACATCAATTAAATGAATGAAGTGTATTTTAATAAATAAAATTAGAAAAACAGAAACTAGTATTTTACATAATGTGGTATGTACACATCAGTTGCCACATCATGTGGTATAAAATTACGGTATAAAAAATGTAGTAAGACTAGTATTATTCATACATTTTCAAATCATAAATTTATAATGATAGGGTAGCAATACCTGACCCACCCTCACCCACTCTCTCATCTTCGTACCACCTTCCTCACCCTCTCATATTTTACTAGCCGACCGACCACCTCACCCACTCTCATCTTCTTGTAGCACACCACCTCCCCCACCGTGTAGCCAAACAATAGTTTAATAATGAATTTCTATGTTAATACATATCATAAGTATAGAGAATATTTTATAGAATATTTCCACATGAAAAGTTGTAGTAGTTTCGTGTTGAATTCCAAATGAAATAAACTTTACTTTCTTTAAGGGCATTTCAGTAATTAAATATTTTTGAATTCCATAATATATTTGGGATTCTTGTACATAATGGCTAGTTTCATGTTGAATTTGATATGACTTAATGATCAAAATAGATATAGACGGACGAGCTATTTCATAAAGGATAACGACATATAAATTATATCATATAATAGTTGTTTGAGTTTTTCATGTGATTTTTCAATTTTGAGCCAACTTCAACCGTTCAAATTGTTAGACATGTTTAAAACTTCCATTGATTTTCCGAAATTTTCCAAAAGAATTCTGAAATTTCGAATTTGAATGAATGTTGAAATTCGGAAATTTTTGGAACATAATTGGAAAAGAATTTTCATTTTGAATTTTTTTACAATGGGATTGGAATCCTCTTATTCCGATTTGATCTGTCCAAAAATCAACCCTAGAGAAACATATCATTTTCACTCTCCCTTCCTCCCTTGAAGAGAATGGGAGGAGAGGTTTAGGGTAAATAAATCTCAATTACAATAGGATTAAATAAATTGGTAAGTAACCAAAATCCTAACTAAGTAAGGAACCAAAGTCCTAACTAAGTCTCCGTCCTACCATAGTGAGAGTCAATGTCGGCGGAACCGGCAATGTGGAGGTGTAACTTTTTAATCTTCACTGTGATTGAATGAAGATTATGCTTATAATTCTCCTTCAACTATATAAGCCTTCATAAACTGTTTGTTTTTAAGATTCAAAAGAGTTATGTCAAAATAAAAAGGGACACGTACGTAATGCCAAGACACAGCAATGTCACAGTTCAAACGATAGAGACCACTCGCTGGTTCACGGGCATTGTAACACCCGGACTCCAAATTTATTCCTATTTTAATTAAATTAAGAGAATTATGAATTTACCCTTGGGTTAAGGGTAATTTTGGTCATTTTCTTATCCGGGAAGATTTTGGGACTACGAGTGGTTTGGTTGCGTAGGTGGTACTGAGACGAATCCGTTGACATGCGGTAGGCTTGAATCGGAGTGGTAATGAAGTTTTGACGAGCAAATTAGGTTCGGTGGCGCTACCGTAATTATTTCAAAGTAAGTTTGAGTAAAAATCAGACTTTTCACTTTTACCTCACACTCTCTCTCTCTCTCCCCCGATTCTCTCTCTCTTTTCACTTTTACCTCACACTCTCTCTCTCTCCCCCGATCTCTCTCTCGCGCCCCCCCCCCCCCCCCCCCCCCCCCTCACCGAGATGGAAACCGCCACCCAGCCGCCACGTCCGACCACCTTAGCCCTCGAGACCGGTCCCGTTCGACTCGTCGTGAAGTTCCGATCAAGACCCACCCAATTTCCTTGCCGGAAAGCCAGAGAATCGTCGACGGTATCGACTGGTTCGAACCGGAAGTTTCTGATCGTTGCGCCGCCGCCTCCGCCGTCCGTTTCAGGTAAAATTGGTGAGGTTTCTTCTCCTTTTTACGTATTCTAGCTGACTGTTGCTTAGGTTTGGATCGATTTTGAGTTTGGGAACCGAATTGGAAACCTAGGTTTTGGCCGGTTTTCAATTTGAAATTCCGGCCAGTTCCCATGCGAATTGGACCTCGTGGTAGTTGAATAAAGTGATCCTGACCTTGAGAAGAAGCTAGGGTAGGAAGGGTGAGCGTTGGTGTGGAGATTTTCCGTTTCCGGAAATTCCTCTACACACCCACGCGCTGGCGGCGCGTGGGCAAGGCTGGTTAAGTTGCTTTTTGTCCCGATGAGATCCTTAGGTTGTTACGAGTGTGTAGGAATTCGCGGATTGTGAATCGGAGCCCCGGATGTTCCAATTCAATAATTCAAAGGTTGTGAGATTAGCGATAACCATACGATTAGAAGCGATTCCCCAACCTGTAACCGGACCTTAGGATATCCTATTGGACGTACATGCACCGGGAACTTGGGGATTTAAGTATTTCCTTTTGTGAATTCCCGTTTCGAAGTGCATTAAATTAATCAAGGGTTCGTATCTTGAAATAGGTACTTCGGTTGATCATACGCAGCAGGCAGGACCCTCTCGGGGCCGGGCAGCTTGGGATTATCTGTGAGTGGACTTTGTTTTTAAGCATTCGCATGGTTTTATTGATAAAAGATTTGTGCATATGTTTTTAAATGGTAAATGTGATTTATTAAGTATTTGGTTGATGGATTTGGATATTCATATATGTATTGGCAATATATTTTGGGTATGGCTATATTTGAGTATTATGGATATGTTTATATGGATTTTGGGATATCTGTCTATATTGCCTATGTATAGAGTACGAGGAGTTGTTGTTGTGAGATTATGGAAAGATATGAGTTTGAGGGATGGTTGTGAGATGTATGAGTATGTTAGGTGAGTACCATTGCTTGGTTACTAGGCTTCCCACACACGTCGTTGGCAGTGCCGGTGAGGTGGGAAGGCCATGAGATTGTAGGTCTCACACATGTCGTTGGCAGTGCCGGTGTGTGAGACACTTCCCATATGTGTCGTTGGCAGTGCCGACGTATGGGAAGAGTATGTATATTGCTTAGTATTATCACACATGTCGTTGGCAGTGCCGGTGGGGTGATGATACTGTCTGCGCACGTAGGACTTGTTATGAGATATGTGAGCTACACGTGTCGTTGGCAGTGCCGGCGTGTGAGCTATGGAGTTCCGTCCCCCGGTTGGACTACTCATCCCTGGATGTGGGTTAGTACCTGGAAATCCTGCGTACCAGCCAAACAGTCCCCCGGTTGGATTGTTTTCCCCGGTACATTAGTATGGAGAGAAGTATATGTTATATTATAGTTATATATTTATATATATATATATATGTATGGGTTGGCGAGAGTTGCATATTTTGGGAATGGAGTTGTGGTTTGAGATTTTGAGAGTTATTGGACTTTGAGATTTTATGTTTTGAGTATTTGGTTTATGGATTGTGAAACTGCATGCTTAAGCATTATTTTTACACGGTGGGGTTACTATGTTGTTTTTAAATGCAAATTTTATTTTTGTCCACTCACATATTTCTGTTTTGCGCCCCCCCAGGCAGTAGTTGCTCTTGGAAGCGTTCGAGCAGAGTACGAGCTCAAATCGTTCCATCCGTAGATAGGACTTGTGTAAATTCCTTCTACTCAATTGTTTGTTGTAAACTAATTCTGTTAGATGCTCTGTTATCGCCCATGTTAGGTTGTAACTTGAGGCCGGAGGCCACTTTAGTTTGGATTGTTGTATGTTGAAAGCATGCTGGCAGTTGGGATTTATATTATGTAAATTATGCAAGTTGAATGTTGTTGGGTTTGAGCATTTTACAGGGGAGACTCTGCCAAAATTTTGGTAGGATGTCTCGGGTTTTAGTAAGTGGGCCCAGCATCGGGGAGATGTCGGCACCAAGACGGGGTCCGCCCCGATTTCGGGGGAAATTCTGGGGCGGGTCTTGTCATGCATGTTTTCAAACCCTACCATATAGGTAGTTGAATACGTGAAGTGTGAACAAAACTCTTGTTCAAACTTTTGTTTTTGGTCTGAATCTTGTTCAAACTTGAATTCATGGTGAAATGATCACAATTTGAAAAGTAAGGGCAGTATATGAACATGGTAGGACCACCACTAACCTAACGTAAACCCAAACACACACAAGTAGGATGCCTACACTATATTAAGTACCACTAAGATTCCCTAAACCACTAGGAAACAATAATGTTCACAATTACTACAGAAAAAGTTGCAGTTCGCAATAACTGTCAACGACTAAAAAAAACCCTACACGCCGAACATCTAAAGAAGTCAGCATTTTAAACTCAAGGGCTCGATAGTTAAACAACCTCAGTTGGAAGCAAAAACTTCACCAAGACCCTTTGGCCCTCTATCAACGACAATACGCTTTCTTACAGTCGTCGAAATTGGTACTTAGGTGACAAGGGATAAATTTAAAAGATATTCAACCAAGAACGCAACAAACTTCCCACACTCTAGACCTTGACCAAATACTCTTGTGACTAGTCAACGGTCAGATATGAATTATACCAAACAATAACATACACAGAGCATACTAAGATGTATCTGCAAGCCTAGAGAATTACTAGTGACAACCTAGGCACTCGGAAGGACCCATCAATCTAGGCATCCCTTGTGCTAGCAACAACTATGGTGAAAGTGGGTGAAGACATCATAATCAAGCAAACACCAAATAATAGAAAAAGATGACTAGTCAACCGCAAGAACACAAACCCAGATGACTAGTCAACTATCAAGAACACAAACCCATAAAATTTACAGAGATGGAAACCAGAAATTGTTCACTCAGAAACCCATCATTGGGAAAAACTGAGGGTCATCAACCGACCAGGCAATCCACTAAGCAAGCTCAAGAAATTGCTAAGTCTATTTAGGAAGATGTACCTCCTTTGTGCAATCTTCTTCTCCAACTTAGCAAAGCTTGAAGCTCAGTTCTTCATGGCAATGACAGCTCCTTCTCCAGCTCTTTCATCCCATGGCACTAGCTTGCAAGCTCTAACTCATACAGAAATGAAATTTGGATTCATGGAGAAAATGACCAATTTCTTCAAGAAACCATACTTTTGAAGAAATCAATCTTGAATCTGACCTAAATATATATGATAGAGTGTTTAATCTAGCAAGATGAAGTTTTCATATTTCAAATGCAGTTTTCAAAAAGAAACAATTTGGAAAACTCAAAGATGAAAAATATGAAGGTTACTCTTGAGGAAGAAGAAGAGAAAGTTTGCTATGAAACTTTCCAAAACTTGTCCCCCGAAGTGACGGCTACCAAATGAAAAATCCTTTGGCCTTTAACCCCAAAAATTCCCTAGGTTAGAATCAACACATGGCAGCAGAGAGAGAAAGGAGAATAGGACAAAATAGTTGGTTATCTAGCTGGAAATCCTACAGAGCAAGAATGACTAGTCATACGAGAAACAAATGACTAGTCATCATTTTATGAAATCAATTTAATGCAATGTGATCCAATGCACAATTTGCTTGAACCTCCATAGGATAGTTGTTAGTTAAGAACACCTGGAGAAGCTATTCTTAATCTAAACTTGAGCTTGATAAAAATAATAAAAATCTTATTACAAAATTGTCAAGAGAAGCCAAAAGAAAAACTCAAAATGCATACATTAACAGTCGTAAGTTCCACAAATCCTCGATATCACCTCAAAATAGTGTCAAAACCCTAACCTCAATGCTACCCATCTCAATTTGATACCTAAATTCTCCCCAAGATCGTTAAGCCCTGAGTGCAAAGGTTTAACTCTAATCTTTTCTTTGAATTGAGAGTTAAGCCCTAATTTCCTTAATGGCACGAGGCACGTTTACAACTTAACAAAAAATTTGACACTACAGCTAGATTTTGAACAATCATTAACCATTGTCACGACTTTGCTAGAATTAATGACATATATAGGGACAAAAAAGTAATGCAGAAGCTAATAAGCTGAATGAACGCAATGCATCAAAGAAAAATGATCTAATTTTTTCAGTGACATGACGTCTGTAGTTATTATTGTTAGGATAAAGTGTCGATTAGATGATACTTCAGGGTAAAACTTCTGAAAATCCTTATTGTTATTTGCATTCTTGATTTGACCTCTCGAGTCTTGATAATTTCTGCTATGGTAGGTGGGGTGGTAATTGCTTTGGCAAACTATTTTACCCTTGATTTCTTCTTACCTGGTAGGACCGGTGTATTTATTATTTTTTGTATGATTAGGTTATGTTGATTTGGCTAATCTTAATTCTGCTTAATTTTGGATTGTTAATTTGCAATTCTTTTATTTTATTTTTAATAAATGCACTAGCACTGTCGAGGTTTGGGAGGAAAAAAAAAAGGAAAATCTCTAACCTTCTCCACACACAGTACTTTTTGGCAAAGTCTATATATTTCAAGTTGATCATTCCCGATATAATAAAGAGTAATAAATAAATCCACACATATAATAGTGTGTTCCTATTACTAGTTGAACATAAGAACTCTACTGAGAGGAGAAGACTTTCTTTTGAGCTTTCATCAATGGCAGGTATGTATGTAATGCACGATTAATATTTTTATTTGATTCAAGATAATTTCCTTGATGTGATTCTATGTGTGTATCCTATAAGGAATTTGTGTAATTATTTTGCATATATAGAAGATAGGTCTCGAACTAAAGCTAAACAACTGAACAAGAGCTCACAAGAGAGTGTTCATCCGTTTTGTGTTTATTCCTGTGATGAAAGGGCAAAGTTCCCCATTGCCTTGAAAACCATTGACTGGTCAACAAGCCAACTTTCTTTGGTGTGCAAGCGTGCCACTACTAGTAATGAAAAATCCTAGCAAACTTCTTTGAAACAGATAACTTCCACCCCAAATTACTGATTTCTAAACAAGCGATTGTGAATTTGGGTGAGGAATATCTCCCAAGTAAGTTCTTTTCTTGCCTCAAACTGGTGAGGACTTCACAAGTTATCTCAGTACAAAATTGGTGGTTCTGGCCAGAATAATTGATAATAAAGTGGATTGTTTTAGGCAGAACTACCTTTTACAAAACTAGAAAAGAAAAAATCAACTATAGAAAGACAAAAGATAGCTGAAATTCCATTTCTGCCTGGACAGAAGCTTCTGATCTGGACTGGACTGGATATATCCGTGCTGGACTGGACTGTCCCTAACTTCAACTGCTCAGCTTCAGCTGTAAATCGATACCAAAGTTCAATTTTGACAGAGCTTGAATCTATTTCAAGCCCTATACGGCTTTTTGAATGGGCAGAATTGCAGTCTTTTCAATATAAAAAGGGCAAAAGTGGCTGGACTTGAAGACTTACTGAGCTGGAACTGCACTATAGTACCTATTCTGCTTGATCAGGGCTCTCCACAAATTTGTTGAGGTTTTCATATTTGTAAAACTCCAACTCTGCTTGTTTTAGCTTTTGCTGAACCAAATTTGTAATGAGAGAAGTCTCGTTTTGAATGACTTATTTCTCTAAGTATGAACTTGGAAGTTCTAATCTATAGCTGGCTTCTTTTGTGGTTCAAGAGAGAGCTTTTGATTGCTCCCGTTTGTTTAAAGGTTCTCAGTGATCAAGTGATCATTTTGAGTTTTTTTGCCTTTGGTTGATTTTTGGTTGTTTGATTGATTGTTGAGTTGAGTCCCCTTTGCTCTGTTCATCCTCTCTTTATTTTTATAGGAGTGCTGGAATAGAATTTTTAATCCTTTAAAAATGGGCTGCAGATTTTCTAGAAAGCAGGATCTTCCATTTTTAATGGAAAGAAAAAAAACAGGGTTTTATCAATTCTGACAGATAAGCTCTCAATAGTCAATTCTTCAGATCACTTCCCTATTTTTCCTAAAAAAGGGTCTAACCCCTCTTTAATTCCAATTGCCCCTATAAGAGTTCAATCCGTGATGGTTAGTTTGATCTTCCAATTTGAACCACTCCCTGTTTCCTGCTTATCTCTTTTGAGTTTGTAGCTTGCTTATCTCTTGGAAGGATCACCTTTTCTGACGTAGAATTTAAAAAAAAAGGATTTCAGAGAAATTTTCTTGCCAAATGACCTGCTTCCATTTAATTCTCAATCACTTCCCCTATGATAGTTGAAATTGTTGACTCTTTCTAAGTCAAGTAGTCACGTGAATTCTGAAAATAGGCTTTCCAAAAAAGATCTTTGCTATCTTTGCACTCTGGGCTTTGAGATTTTAGTGGTGAACCAACAGCTGGGCCCCATCAAACTTCTTTCAATTTCTATTTATCTATTTTTGGTGGTTGATTTGCAAGAAAGATCATAGGTTTCTAGATTTTGGCTTTTTGGGCTTCCTCTTTTTTGAACTCAAAGCCTAGTCCTCCGTTTTTTTTTGTTTCGTGGGCCTTTCTGAGAAATGGGCAGGTGCGTGGTTGCTTTTGGCCCAAGCAGAGAGGGTAAGAAACTTTTTTTCTGGTCACCCTAGAACGCTTTCTGAACAAGAGCGCCAAGAAGAAAGAACTGAACAAGAGCTCCAGCACAACGAAAATAGTAGGGAGGCAGAAAATACTAATGAAAGCAATGAAACCTTCAACATTCTTGAGAATGAAATCATCGCACAGATGTTGGTATTCGCGACACTTGCAATGAATATCATGAAGGTGAAGGTGCTGTTGATGTTCATCAAGCAAGAAGGGGTCAAAACCACAACATTGGTGGCAATAGCATTTATTCAAACAAAGGCAAGCGTGCAGGGATTAGCAAAGTTGGCAACCAGTACTACAAGAAATCGAGCGTACCATTTCTTCTTATAGTCTTCTTGTTCTAGCTTTTTTTTTCCTTTTATATATTAATGGTGAGTAAGAAAAACAAAAAATGAAGCAAGTGGCTTGAGTGAAAAAGCAGACACGACCAAGAAGAAAAAAATTAAATAGTTGGCAAAAATTAAATAAACAAATAAATAAGTAAGCAAGAAACGCGAGGCTTGGAGTTTCCCGTGCGATTACGCAGCGGAAGGGTTTGGAGATGTATGGCCACCAAAGCTGTTACAGTCAAACTTTTCTTTTCGTTCCTTTATCTGAATTTGAATCTTATTTATCTTATATTTCTGTCTTCTTTCTTCTTCTACATGCCATAAGTATATTAATGCTAAGTAATAGTGACGGAGCTCGGATTTCACATTAGAGGAGCCCTTCATAAAACTTGTCTTCTCTTCGTAATTATCATGCATTTCATATTTTAAATTGGTTAGATACTCATCTATGCAAAGACTTAAAAATTAATCATTTATATTCCAAAAATAGAAAAAAAATAAAAAAAAAAAAAAAAAAAAAAAAAAAAAATAAAGCACAATATATATTAAGGTACCCAACTCATACATGAAAAAAAAATTTGAGGAAGATAAAAAATTCACAAAGCTTTAAACAAAAGAGGAAGAGAAAGAAAGGTTAAAACTTTGGGAGTTTTTAGTGCAAATATCATAAATTAACCTAGAAGATTTAAAGGAGAAAAGTAGAAGAGATATCAAGAAATTTTATAGTTAATTTGTAGACGAAAAGAACCTAATATATTATTTTATTTTAGGAAATATTCTAAAACTAATGTAATATTTTATAATATTATATATCATATATAATATACAAATAGAAGAGGTAAAAAGTGGAGTGGAGGCCTGGGATCACACTGGCCCATAAATTCATTATTGTTTTCTTAATTGTGTCACTTATTTTGTGGGAGATTATCTATATATATAAAATAAAAGGCAGAGAATGGTGAAACATTCAAAATACTAGAAAATGTCATCTGTTAATCCAAACATTAAGGATTAAAATTATTAATTAAATGAGGATAATGTGGTAAATTCACACATTTTTATATTAAAAAAATTAAAATTAAAAGAAAAATAATGAATCCTATTTTTATATAACACAACTACCCATTATCTCTTTTAATTCTAAAATAAATTTTAATTTTTGTATTAAAAAAGACCTCTCACAGGCATAAAAGCGCGTACGGAGAGGCTAGTAATCTTCTTATAAGAATTACAGGCAATGATTCTGATGGGCTCCCTTGCCAACTAGTTGTACACTCTTTTGACTCTAGTATTAATATAAAATGCAGCTATTTCAGCCCCATGTTCTATTTTCCTTTCCACCTTATTTATAGAATTTTAAACATAAATTTATCCCTTTATAAATGACTTCTAAGGACTTATGAAAAAACCTTAACCCACCCATTATACAGTTTGACAAAAGAAAAACTCTTCTCCTCAACTCATTTTCGATCACATATCAGCACTCTTAATATATGATTTTGCCGTTCTATTATCTTTAGTGCAAAACCAGAAATTTCATTAACTAAAAAGAAGAAGAAATAAAAGTGGGAGGAAGGAAGGAAGGACAGTCATTTTTTTGCTCTCAGTCAAAACTCCATCCACACCTCACAGTCATTTTCTGCTTCGTTGGTCGAATCGAAGCCATAGACCCAGGCCACACAGTTGGTATGCCTTTCCAATTTTTTTCTTCTAATTTTTTGTTTCATTTTTGGAATTATGAGTTACTTATGTCGATTTTTCTTTCATTTTTCTGCTTTATTGTGGCTTCCATTCTATCAAATTAGGGGTTTGGTGTTCAATGAACAGAATTAGGGCTTGGGTCTTCATTGAATAAATTTAGTGTTTAGGTATTTAGAAGCAGATCATCCAAAAGAGAGGGGTGAGAGGACAAGATTTGCTTTTGCTTGAAGATGTAAAATTTTGTCTCGGTTTGTTAATTCTTAAAATTTTCAGGACTTATAACACAATTTTTTTCTTCTAATTATTATTTTTATTTGGAAGATTTCCCCTCAGTTACTCATGGTTTTTATTTTTTATTTTTGTTAGTCCTTGCTGAATCTGATTCCTGCTTTGTAGGATTTTTGTAATCCAAATATCGTTTCTGATCTTTTAAAATTTGAATAGAATTATGATTAAAATTTATCTTGTTTGTGTACCTGTTGTCTATTAAAGCTCCAGCCAGAAATGAAAGAAGACGACGGCAGCAACAGATATAGTGCCACAAATGAAATTATGAACCCCGATCACGCAGCGGATGTTGGGATTTTTGAGCCTCCCAACTCAGATGTCAACGGGAGCAACGCCGCCCAAGGCCAAGGTGGTGGAACCAGCCAATCCAATATTTATAAAAATACAGCACGTGGCTCGAGTTCCGCCCAAGGTCAAGGTGGCAGCACCAACCAATCCATAATTTATAACAAAAAAATTACAGCACGCAATGGATCCTCATATGTCGGGAAATTCAACTTTCACAACGTCAACATCAATGCCGGCCAAGCTGAAGGTGGCTCTGAAGGAAACGAGGGCTTCCACAAAAACAAAGGTATCTGTCACAACATTGATTGTAATAAAATTACCGCAGACAATAAATCCACAAACGTTGGGTTTGAAAACTTTGGCAACAGCAACATCAACTTCAAGTCTACTAGTACTAAAAATCACGGCAAAGCAGCTGGTAGCTCGAGTTCCGCCCAAGGCCAAGGTGGCAGCACCAACGAATCCATAATTTCTAACAATGAAATTACAGCACAAAATCAATCCTCAAATGTTGGGATGTTCAACTTTCACAACGTCAACATCAATGCCGGCCAAGCTGAAGGTGGCTGTGAAGGAAACGAGGGCTTCCACAAAACGAAGGTATCAGTCACGACATTTATAACAACACAATTATAGCAGTTAATTCCCGAAAAGTTGGGATACAAAACTTTGGCAACATCAAATACAACTGCAAGAATATTATAAGACGATTATTGCGTTTTTTAGGCATATCATAGTAATTCCAGAATTTCTTTAGCCATGTGAATTGAGATATACCATATGAGAATTTGATGTTGCCATTGGACTCCTCCGCATTGTATAAACTCTTTATAGTTATTGTAAAACCTATTAGACGGCGTGAATGAGTAAAACTTTCTATTCTCCACCACAGGTCTCATTGTATATTTTGTTTTTGACATGCTGCGGATATGATTTTGTCTGGCAGTTTTAATTACTTTGTTTGTACACAAGAAATATTTGGGATCAGTCACCAAAGAAGGGTTTAATGCCTTGTACCATACGATATGTTGGGACATTCATTCTTCTATTATATTCATTTGGTGAGTTGGATTATATAGCATGATATAGTCCGGGGCGGAGAGGGAGCTAGGGCATTGGGGGATCCTATGCTCCCCTCTAAACTTTCTTGAGACCTTTGTTTTCTTAACACAATTACAAATATTTTATTATCAAATCTTTGTATATCTGACAGAGTACATTTAATTTGAGTCAATATCTTTTGCTAGTATCAATGATAAATAGATAGTGAATGTGATATGTAAAATAATATAGTAATCAAATTTAGGAATTTAGTATCACGTAAAAAATTAGTTCAAATGTCACCGTAAGAAAAATATATTTTAATATTTGAGATGCCTCTTCTATCAAAGTTTCTGGCTCCGTTACTGGTTGCTTGTCTAATGGGTGATGTGTATGACGGTGAATTTTTTGTTAAGTTAATGCATGTCGCCGCCCCGCCCCCCACCTCCCAACATCTCCTACTCCAGCACTAGCATATCGGTCCCTGTGCTTAAGGATTATGATATGATTGTATAATAGGCTAAAGGAGCTCCTATATGTGTCGATTGGTATATAAAGTACAGGCATATAAAGTTATCTAGAGAGTTTGTTGAAGGGCAAAATTGTCAAGGTCGGCTGACTATACTGAGCTTCCTGCTCATGCTTTTGCTGTCTCGACACCAGTTTACACACCCCATTAGTAAGTTGAATAACTTTGGTTCTGTTAAACGTAAGGCATTTTCTCCTTGTAAGATGTATCAGTTGTTAAGTAGAGTTGTGTCTCTTGAGAAGAGCTATGTTTAGGAAGAGTTGTATCTCATTAGAAGTCTAGAGTTGTGTCTGCACAACTCTTGGAACTAATCCAAGAGTTATGTCTGTTATGAAAAGATTTGAATGTTATTATAAATAGCCAATAAGATGGCTTAGTGTTGTAATCAATTTTAGGAAATCAATAAAGCTTCAGTTTTTCTGTTTAAAACTCTCTTCCAAATTCTCTCATATCCATCTTTCTCCAACAAATTTGGTATATCAGAGCCAGTCGATCCCTCCATTGTGTTAATCATGGCATCAAGTTCAAATTCCTCAACCATTGGAAATATTCAAAATTTAATGCCTATTTTCGATGGAGAGAATTATGAATATTGGAGCCTACAAATGAAGACCTTGTTCATCTCTTAAGATCTTGGGATCTTGTAGAAGATGGTTACGAGGAACCAGAAAAAACTTGGACGGGTAAAGCGACACCGGAATCGCAGCCAGCACTTAAAGAAATAGGAAAAGAGATGCCAAGGCTTTATTCCTAATTCAACAGGGAGTAAGCAAAAATCTCTTTCCAAGATTACTTTCTGCAACTACATCAAAAAATGCTTGGGAAATACTCAAAATTGAGTTCCAAGGTTCACAAAAAGTGATCTCCATCAAACTCCAATCCTTGTGGCGAGAGTGTGATAATTTATTACTGAAGGAGAATGAGTCCATTCAGGTTTTCTTCACAAAAGTTTCTGGAATTGTTAACCAAATTAGAAGTTATGGGGATACAATTCCAGACAAGAAAATTGTAGAGAAAACTCTACGCAGTCTACCGCCAAAGTTTGATCATGTTGTTGCAGCAATAGAGGAGTCAAAAGATCTCATTGCACTTTCACTCCATGAACTAATTGGTTCTTTGGAAGCACATGAAAAAAGGATTAATAGGTATGCATACCAATCCTTGGAGCAAGCTTTTCAATCCAAATTGGATTCAAAGGAGAAAGAAGACAAACAAAAAGGAGAATCTCAAAAGTCCCAAAACAGAAAAAGTAAAGGAGAATCTCATTGGCAGAAGAATTACAACAAAGGCAACTATAATAACAACAATTAGCAAGGATGCAGCCATCAAAACAACCAGAATGGTAACCTTATCCCTGAATGTCATGTTTGTAAGAAGACTGGGCACAGTGCAGATTGTCGGTATAGGTGTACCCGATGCAGAATACCCAACCATTCTCAAAGAGATTGCAGATATCAAAAAAATAATGAATCCAATTTCATAGAAAATAATGACTCTCCAGAGCAACTATTTTATACATGCCTTAGTTCTCATCAAGAACCACAAGATATATGGTACGTGGATAGCGGATGCAGTAACCACATGACGGGAAACAGACAATGTTTTGTCAAATTTGAAGAAAATGTGAATTCACAAGTCAAGCTCGGAGATGGAAAGCTTCACAACGTGGAAGGCAAGGGTATTATCTCTGTTCTATGATGTGCTATATGTTCCTAACTTGGCACAAAATTTATTAAGTGTAGGACAGCTCCTACAAAAAGGCTTCTCTATTAAATTTGATGATGATCACTGTGTTATTTCTTACAAAAAGAAAAACACTGTAGTGGCTAAGATAAAAATGATGGCAAACAAAGTCTTTCCGTTGATCATGACATCAAAAGAAAACTATGTTTTGGAAGTTGAAAATGTAGAAGAATCACTATTGTGGCATATGAGATACAGACATCTAAATCAAAGGAGTCTACAGCTCTTACATCTTTCATGTGAAGGTTGTATTTTTGGAAAATTTCACCGCTTACCATTTCACAATCAACATGGAAAGCAAGAGCCCCTCTTGAGTTGGTACATGCAAATATATGTGGGTCGACTCGAACACCATCTTTTAATGGCAAGAAATACTTTCTTCTCTTTGTTGATGACTATCACTACTACATTTTACTATTTACGCGACGGTATTTTGCGCAACGAAGAAACATTCATCGCGCAAGACATAATTATGTGACGGAAAAATTCATTCGTCGCGCAAAATGGGAAAAATTTGCGCGACAAATATATTCTGTCGCGCAAGAGAACGTCGTCGCACAAAGGGAGGAACAAAAAAGCGGGAAAGATTTTATGGTGCCAAAACATTGCACGACAACATATATCGTCGCGCAAAAAACAATTAGCGCAATGAAATAAAAACCGCCAATTTTTTTTATCTGGCGACAAACACTTGCGCGACGACAACACTCATCGCAAAAGAACACTTTGCGCTACAATAAGGTTTATCGTCGCGCAAGAAATTGGGCTTATACCTTGCGCAACGGAAACTGGTAGCGTCGCGTAAAGGTTGATGTCGGCCCGGTCATGTGCGACGGAAACTTAATTTTGCGTGACAACAATCGTCTTTTGTGCCACGACAAACCATTGCATCGCGCAAAAGCTGGATGTCGGCACGAAGTTGCGGGACATAAAATTTATTTTGGGCGACGAAACTTTTGCGTCGTGTAAAAGCTGGATGTCGACACGAAGTTGCGAGACGAAAAATTTATTTTGGGCGACGAAACAGAACACATGGGCAACGAGATTGGGGTTTTACGCGACGAAACCATGCTGTTTGCACGACGGAATAAGATTTTTTTGCATGACGAATTATGGGTTCGTTGCGTAAAACTCTTCTTCTTCATATGCTGGATTCTGCCATTGCAGAGGCAGACTTCAAAAACAAAAAAACTATGCTCTGCCCTGCCTCTGCATCTGCTGCAGCTTCTGCTTATGCTGGGAGTTGACTACGATCATTAGGTATGTATTTGTAGTCGTTAGTTTGAAAGTATTAATTTAAATTCACACTAACGCAATTAATTTCGTTGTCTTTAGGGATAATTGTAATTAGCGATTGGTGGAAAACGATTGAGAAGGTATTTGATAATTTTTATATTTTTTGTTGTGAAATTATATTTATATTATGTTGTTAAATTGTCCGTTACGTAGCACAATGTGCTGTGATGTACGAAGTTAATTGAAATTAACTTCGTACTTTGTTTTTTATTATATTAAAACTTAGTTTCCCGTTCGAGATTAGTTGGATTTCGTGCATGGATGCGTAAAGCATGACTGCGGTCCAATTAATTCTTGAATTGTCCCATTATTTGGACAGTTTGGTAATGCATAGTGTTGTCACGTAATCTACGACTACATGACTAGGTTTCGATTGTGGAAATTTCGGTGTCATCTCGGTACGTTCTTTGGGTGGTACGTAGGTATTTATACCTATGCCCACCTCAAGAACTGTATCGAGATGCTGCCGAAATTCTTCCACGTCGAAATCTAATCTCATGTAGCCGTAGGTTACGTGACAGGACTATGCATTCCCGAATGGGATAGGACCCTTACCGGAGGCATAAGGTGATATTATAACTTCGTATGAAGTTGTTGTGATTGTTGTGTTGTGATTGTGGTTCCAGGAATAATGAGCAGGTTGTGGATACAAAACCCGAATAGATGCACAGACGAATACTTGGATGGAATCGAGGATTTTATTGAGTTTGTACATAGACACAACCCGAGTGCAACTAGAATCCGTTGTCCTTGTAGGAGGTGTAACAATACGTTATGGGAGACAATTCACTACTACAAAAATCGAAATAGACGACGGGAAACCACCGTCATGTAAAAGGTTTTCGCCCGGTCGTGAAATCGACTGCCGTCTATTTCGGTTTCAAACTACGACGGCTTTTCACCGTCGTTGTTTATCAGTAAAGACGACGATTTTTAAAGAAAATCGTCGTTGTTTAGCGGTAAAAATCGTTAATTATAGGAAGAAAGACGACTATTTTTAATAAAACCATCGTGTATTGTATGTAAAGATGACGATTTTTTTATGAAAACCGTCGTGGATTGTTTATAAAGACGTCATCTTTACATACAATAGACGACCTTTTTTTTATAAAAAGCATCATCTTTACATACAATAGACGACGGTTTTTATAAAAGCGTCATCTTTACATACAAAGACGACGGTTTTTTAATAAAAAAGGTCATCTTTACGTACAATAGACGACGGTTTTATAAAAAGGGTCATCTTTACATACAATAGACGACGGTTTTTATAAAAAGCGTCCTCTTTACATACAATAGACGACGGTTTTTATAAAAAAGCGTCATCTTTACGTACAATAATGCTTTTTGATTTCCTATGATGCTATACAACGATTTTAACTAGAAAACCAACCATAATGCTTTATCAAAAATAGTTTCTTTCATAAAACTTGAAGATTCAATAGTTATTACATAGTTAACCAATCTTTATTCTACAACAAACATAATTCCTAACAAGACCTACGTACTCCTAATCCAAGCATTCCTCATCCAAACATACAA